GCTATGAAAGGCCTGAATAGAGAGAATCCCCTCAGGACTGGAGATTACCGCGACCTTCAGTGTCACCAACACACAGTCAAGCGTTCCTTCATCCAACCAAGATTACTAACTGCCTGAACAACCTTAAATGTTTCTAAAAGTAGAAGAGTTACACTGAATAAAGGTAACCTCTGCTATAGTCGTGGTAAAACTGTCAAAGCTTCCAGCAGGAAAATCCTGAGTATGCAACCAAATTCTGCTGTCTATATTTAAAACATTTGTGATCTCCCTCTGTGGTCCCATCTAAACACTCCTTAGATAGACAAAACCTCCCACGGTAGTTGAAAACTGCTATTCTCTGTTCAATCTTTAAAACAGAAAACAGGCAGAAGCCAAAGTATTATCGACCTATAGCACTCCTGCCAGTGTTGTCGAAAGTATTGAAAAGCCTGAAAGACGACCATTTCAGGGAATACTTGGACAAAAAGAAGGCACCATGTGATCCTCAGCATGGCTGCAGAAAGGATAGGTCCTACACCCAGAAATCTCTGATAGACTATAGCAGCTAGAATGCATGCTGGGCCCTCTAGGTCTCTGTTCATTTGACTTGCCTGGATTTTTCCGTGGCCTTTGAAATAGTCTCATATACCACTCTCACGTGCAAAATAGCAAAGCAAGGTACCAGTGGTCAGTTGTTATCTTAAAGTGAGGACTATTTTGAGGTAAGTGAATTCTGCCCAAACGTCAATAGGGTTTGTTCACCTTGAAAACCATCATCCGGTGTATCACAAGGAGTGATTCTGGGTCCTCTGCTATGAGTGACATTTCATCAAAGTTCAGCTCCCTTATTCTACTTAAGCTGACAACATTAAGTTATGGACAGCTGTGAAATTCAAATTGGAATCCAGTACATTACAAGGCGACATCAGAATGCTTGAAAAGTGGGTGAACAGAACGAACAGGCATTTAACCTGAATAAATGTTGGACCCGGTTTTCATTCACTCCTGAGTCATAGAAAATAACCTGCTACCTCTGTGGCGCTTACCTTTATCACACAATCCCAGAATTAGACGTGGAACTAATAATAACTGAAAAACTAGACACTAGTTCCAATTACTTAGGAGACAGCTCTTGAGACTACACAGAACTACACTTCATTCACAAACAACTAGGTGTCCTCACCTCGAAACTTTTTCTGAAGCTTTACAGAGCCTAAATACTACCTTAATCAGACTTTACCAATGTCACTGCACCCCCACGTCTGAAAAAGATGCAAACTTCCTGGAGAAAAGTCAGAGGTTAGCCACGAAGGGTGTTGTAGAGAACCAGAGAAGAAATACACGATGATAAGCTGAAGGATATAAGTCTGTACTCTCTGTTACCACAGGTTACGTGATGATTGGATACCAGTTCACAAGATATAGAATAGTTTAATTCACATAGACGGTCTGATCTTACCAAGGGGTCACTATGCCAACCCTCGTGGGAACCCAAAGAGCAGCCTATGGAAGGGCAAAAACCCCCATACTTTCACATTTTTTCTCCCCTTGACTTTGCAACTACTGAAAAGCATTATTTATATGGATTACTACAGATCTATCTGTCGACAGCTTCAAGAAAATCTTGGACAGCAATGCAGTGACTCACAGCTTACACTCATCCAGTTGAACATAGGCTAAACCGAAACAGCCAGTTGACTTGGCATCATCCCAGCACAGTTACCACTATACAAGTTCTCTTGTACTGCCACTGTCATCAACGACTTGCCTCGACGTTATACTACCCTACTAGACGTCTTATTTTCCAGTTTACTTATCATTAATAACGTCATTACTGTCTCTTTTCCCATTATGTCCAGCATAATTTTATCTACCTTTTTCCCTCCCTCTGGGTTCCCTGAATTTCACCCTGTTTATTAAGGCTTTCCACACCACTGCTTTTGTTCCCGTCCTCCCTTAATTTTTCTAGATTGCTCCTTTCCTTTCGTTTCACCTCTTCCTCTTCTGCTTTTACTCACTTCCTCTCCCTTGTTCATTTAAATCACATTTTCATTCTCTTAATCTTTATTTCCTACCAGTCCAAACAACTGATGAGTAACACGACATAGTAAAATCACCTCATAATCTTTGATTCTATTGATAGTACGATATTCCACATCTCTCGCATAGGTGTTGACTCGTTCCTAACATTTCTGTTGCCTTGTACAGTAACAAAATGGAGGTTGTGTACTCCTCCCGGCTCGAGTTGCTGTTATTATTCACACTAAGATTAAGGTGATCTTTTCGTTTCTTATCTGTTCATACGAATTTCTGAGTAAAAAGCAGATGATAATTATTGATTATTAGCAATTATTTTTTGTGCCTGACTCTCTGGTTTACGTACCTGCACTGACTAATCAGTTCTCTAGGTTTGTCATTTAGATATTCGACTAAGCCTGCCTTAACTGACTAGCTGACTGACTGACTGACTAACTGACTGGTTGTTTAACTGACTGATTGATTGACTGACACTCGATGAGATGATTTGAAGTAGTCTAGATACCCGTTGGAGTGTGTCGGTTTCCTGTGGACGCTAGTATCCAAACCATCATTCGTTCTTCCTCTTATCCTGCAATCCAATATACGTAATTCTCCTTGTTCATTTTCTAACTCGTTAGGGTTAGGTTGGATTGCACCTACTACTCAGTTCATATGTGGCATGAAATTGTTGATATGTTCCGATCTGAACACAGTGAATGTGTCATCCATATATCGCCACCAAATCATAGGTACAGAACTGAACGTAAATAAAGCCATGTATCTTCAACTATCCATAAATATATCTAGTACGACAACTCGAGTCGGGAGGAGTTCACAACCTCCATTGTGTTACCCTACAAGGAAGGTACATCAGAAACTTCACATGTGATCCTCAACAAAGCTGGAATCACAGTGGCATTTAAGGCTACAAATGCACTCAACAGAGATAAGCGTTGTCGGTTTAAGCAGCCAATAGAAGGAATTCAGCATGATAATCTGATCTATCAAATTCCATGTAATGACTACCTGGTCAATTGCATAGGTGCAACTCTCCGGTCGGTATGAGTTAGAATAGTGGGACATGGGAATTTATCTGAATATAGAATGATGGACCCGAATAAGTTGAGTAATGTAGAAGGTTACACGGTTGTTTGAATGCAAGGATTAACACAAGAAGGACGCAGTGAACTAGTTATGTAGGCGAGATAACGCAGTGGGCTATGAGGCAAAAAATCCCTCTATTTAAGTGAAATGTGATTATGTGGAGGGTGAGAGAGATTGATCACTGAATGTTTGTTCATCGAATCGAGACTGGGCACAAGTGATAGGAATGAGTCGAAAGCTATAAGAGAGATGTGGAGTATTGTGCTACTAATGAAAGCAAATAATACCAGGTGATAGTACTGTAAGACTCAGATGTGCGAATTAGCGTTATCACATTGATAGAATTATGAGCAGAGATAATGTATGCTCAAAATGTTTTCATCAAGCGAGTAATACTGTGTGACAGTGTGTTATGAGTCAAATAAACAAATCTTTCATTCTATTTTTGCACCGGTGCTGTTTCTTCTTATTGTTTAATTCAGCCGTTGGTTCATGTATGTGAGTTTTTCACACTTCATTTTGATGTACTTTCGGCCGTCTTGATTTACCTGTTATACTGTCGGTTTATCTCTGGTATCTGTTTTGGCAACGTTGAAGTGCGTTTCACTCCTGTCGCTTTCTGTTACACCTACATTCTCTATTACGAGTTAGCGATCGATTACATGAATAGTAATATTTCGGTTCTTTTCATCACACACTGACGTCATTCGGAATACTGTTGTAAACCCGAAGTAAGTGGATAGTTATCCTGTTCTGCTTTCAGCTTACTCAACAATCATTACCAACGATCTCGTTAGTAGTCAAGCCCAAGGTCGGCAGGAATCGTAACGAGCAGGTTGCCAGTTAACAACTGGATTTACATCTAGTGACCGAATTCATGATAATTTTGCCACCATCTTCCAATGCTGTCGGTTAGTGTTTGTCCGGACACTCGACTTGTTTGATCCAAAAGGTTAAAGTGACTCATTAGAATTTCGAAAAATTTATTTCTAATCAAGTCACTAGTGAGTTGTAAAAGTAATCCGACCGACAGTTTTATTCCCTGTTTTACGATGGTCCTGCAACCGATATCATTCTCCAATGAATATCACCCTTAAAATCAGCCAGTCACACAAACAATCAGTTGGTAAGTTTTACTTTTCCATTCTAATTTATCCTTTTGCGTGGTGTTTCGACTTCATCAGTGAGTGAGTTGTATGAATATATATATATATATATATATATATATATATATATATATATATATATATATATATATATAGTTTTGAATTAATGATGTTATATTTGTTTATTGTTAGTAGATAAATGCTCAGTCTATATCGTATACATACAGTAGGGCAATTTAAGCATACCATGTGTATTTAAGGCTTGAAATCTTATTAAGACAGTAATTTAGCAGAGAAACAGTTGAATGAAGTAATTAGACTTTATTGGATTACTCTATTTTCGGAAAATCAGGCAGTTCGTTACTCATCGCAGACTGACTTCAGTTGGAGGAACATTGGAAACCTGAGAGCATTGGAGAGCTGTTGCGTCCTAGTATGGGATTTCTCAGCACTGAGCACCCATGACTCCACACAGCCAGAGACCGAACTCAAAACCTTCAGGTCTATGGCCAGCATGTCACCACTGGGTCATTGGGTGCGAATCTAATGGTCCATATTTCCAACTTCTCTTGGTTCATGATACGCCGCGACCATCACCGAATATCATCACTGAGTATTTGTCCTCACGGCCATCAGGTTTGCCCCACAGGCCTCGACTTCTCAATGGAGCTTTAGGAATCACCTCTAGAGGGTAGTCACTAACTTGGAAAACCTCTAAATCCCTACAACGTCCCAAATTGATGAAGTGCTCATTAATGACTATCTTCTAAAGGTGATTCCTAAAGCTCCATTGAGAAGTCGAGGCCTGTGGGGCAAACCTGATGGCCGTGAGGACAAATACTCAGTGATGATATTCGGTGATGGTCGCGGCGTATCATGAACCAAGAGAAGTTGGAAATATGGACCATTAGATTCGCACCCAATGACCCAGTGGTGACATGCTGGCCATAGACCTGAAGGTTTTTGAGTTCGGTCTCTGGCTGTGTGGAGTCATGGGTGCTCAGTGCTGAGAAATCCCATACTAGGACGCAACAGCTCTCCAATGCTCTCAGGTTTCCAATGTTCCTCCAGCTAATATCAGTTCATGATGAATACCAAATTGAGATCACTGAAAAATCTCCACAAACCCCCAAATTAAATCAGGCAAAACTTGCATCAAGTACCTACTATAATAAAAAGTAACATAACTAAAGGTGGTCGAAAGTAGGCGGTCTTGTGATACGTAAATACTTCTTACATCTTTTATGTCACCGGAATATACCTACATCAAGATAAGCATAATATTAAAGACAGTTTCAAGAAAACATCCAGATCTGTGTCCTTTATACGGCTCTTATTCATCGATGTATAGAGCAAACTATCAAATTTACGTAATATGAGTACTATAAGCTATGAAGAAAATATTAAAAACTCTACTAATGTCTTGGATTGACGAAATTCAGAGTCAAAATATGCAAAAGAATGATCAGGTTCAGTTAACTTCTGATAAATGAATGTCAAGCGAATTTGAAGTCGTTCAGGCATCCTTTAATACAAGTATTTACAACAGAAATCATCATGGTAGAGTTGAAATGAAGTTATATTACTAACTATAGTATCAAATAAGCACTAAAATAAACAGTTTATAATAATCCTTCTTTATGTACAAAGAAAATTTAATGATGTGAAAACATTTTACAAAATACATATGATCTAACACTGTTCCCTAAGCTTTATCAAACACTATGAAATCATAGTCTGATCAGTATAAATAAATGAGTCGATTGACGTTCTAATCTGGTGTCAGCTACTTATAAGAACACATGTAAGTAATATATTATGCCATGTTACTTGGATAAGTATTAGGGGTTAATGTTCAATCGATGACGGGTTCAAAGAAATAAAAGAAGAACACTGCAGGCAAATACAAAAGATAAACAAGAAAGCAAATAAAAGTTTACTTTTCACAATGAAGACGAAAACATACTACTTGTGTGTTTTTGTAAGTAGTATACTACACAGTGATAACTGGATAAACTACTTGTTCAAAAATATCGAAGATTTTATTTATGCTCGAGTTTTAAAAATCTTTGTTGCGTTAAAAGGTACCAGTAAAAAACCAACTTTTGAATTCTTAGCAATCAGATCAATTAGGTTCATTTTGCTCGACGTAAATCACTAATTCAGTTTTTAAGGAAAAAGAAAGGTATCATAAAGAATAAGTTTTTTTGTAGAAATAATTTTATAGGTCAATATTTCATCTTGTTTTAGAGAATGCCACTTGAAATGTCATACTGCACACTAGGCCATACTTACTTTCTCTTCTATTTCTTTTCGTGAACCACTAACAGATTGGATTGAATTGAGTATCAGTAGTGCTCAAACTGGTTTAACAAAACCTGATCTTACAACTTACTAGATTATATAATGAATTTCAGATTCTTTGCTTATAAGAGCACTCTACTTCATTTTGTTGTAACAGCATGTGTTTTGTAACATGTAAACAGCACTAATCCGTTGATTTTGTATTCAAATAGAAGAACCAATAACTATAACCACCGAGTCAACAACAACTAAAACAGTAACAACATTATCATCAACGGGAACAGCGACAGCTACATCAGCAGTAACAATAACAGCTCAGACACCAGGAATGGAAACAGCAATGGCAAATACAACTCCATCATCATTTGATACAACACCAACGGGAACATACGACGGATTTCCTACCTACAGTTTTGTTGAATTTTCTTTGGCAACTAGACCAGCTACAAGTATAATGCCAGTCATTCTACCAAGTGGTTAGTTTAAACACGGTTGTTTACTTGTGTATGCTCTAAAATGTACTTAATATTACCTTGAGAAAATGTAATCCATCTGCGACTGGTTTGTATGTGAGCTAAATGATTTTAGTCTATCATCAACCAAATCTAAATGTTATAGTATTTTGTGCAAACACTAAGGATTACCTAATGTATTCTTCAGTTCCTGTAACTCTGCATTCTTTGTTTACTCAGGTACTCCAAATAGCTATTCTATGATGTTTACCAGTACAGCTCTGAATGCTGTCAGTTCACATTCCTAAGTTTTCCTTGTAGTCTCAAAGTGTACTTACTGATAAGGATCAATGAGGATAAAGTCTATGTCATGTAGTGCACACAAAAGACCATTTTAAGACTTCGTTCCACTAGCAGTAAGAGCTACACACCAGCTGAGAGTATCCTTGACTCCATGATGAATATTCTTCTAGTCTTTAGAAAATTCTCATATATTTCTTAATGGAATCGTGTTAGATGACTTCACAACGCTACTGTCAGTTTTTTGCATATCATGATATCAACTGTTGATCACTGTAACCATAATAGTTACTAAAAGAAAAGATACTATGTAACTTGATGGTTTAGCTAGTCAACTTCGAACCATTGGGTCGCTGGTTCGATACCTACAACATTTACCACTGCATGAGCAACTGAGTGGTATCATAAGATCTCACATGCAAACTATCGAGCTCAGTGACCAGTAAGTACGTATATTGTTACGGAGCTGCACTTTTCATTCCGAAATCCCTTACTTATTCACATGATTCATTCTGACAGTCAACTTTTGACACAGTGACTTGGTTTTGACCACCTGAAATGTCTGTCACTCTTACCCTTACTTGAAAGAACGCCATACATCAGATAAAAGCAAAAATTGCATAACACACTTCGCAACTGCTTAATTTGCCTCCTAAAATATGGTTTACTATCCTTACCAAAATAGTGTATCTTAATTACAAACAGTCCTGATCGACAACTTCTGACTTAGTAGCCAGGTCCTTCTTTCTGAATAACCCATCGTATTGTGGTGGCTCATACGATTGTTTTGTAAGATTCTACCTAATCACCAATACCTATTAGATAGTGGAGAAACAATAGGCAGTTATTATCGTTTTTTCCTTAACTTCCACTATGGTAGCGACATATCCTATCGTTAGGCTTTTCACACGTAATGACTATTTCATAAGTATATCTCATAAAGTGAACCTCTTCCGATAAAATCGTTATCGATGTTTTCAATATATGACATATATGCATCAGATAGCAACGGTTCTAACTGACTATCGATAGCGACACCATCAATCTGTCGAAAGTATTCACCTTCAAATGTGAATTAAAACTTTATGAGTTCGTAATACACTTTACTTAAATTTACGTATTGATAAATGATCTTATATGCTATGAAAAAATGTGATAAACTTTGAAATCAAATCATTGATCTTATTCCAAAGAATTCTATCAATACTTAAAGACTAGAATCTGACTTCTGAGGTTGCAGAGCTGTCTAACTGAAGGTGGAACTGACATGTATGTTATTTTTCTGAACGATGATATATGACTATGAATATTTTATAACTGAAAATCTAAACTCAGCAAATATCAGAATGAAAGTAATTCAAGTTCTTACATAGATTTGTTATAATTTGCAAAAAGTCATATAATCCTGTTTATTTCAAACTGATTTTTCTATTTTCCACCTTTTAGCATCAACAACATTCAATGTAAGATCAAAAATATACCATCAGTCTAATGATACACCAATTCCATGGAGTGATGAATACACGAATACAAATTCACAATCATATAATGATTTAAAATCAAAGTATTGTGATTTGGTATGTTCAATGAACTGGTTATCGTGTTGTGATTGTCATCACTGTAATAACACCGTTTTCCCCGGTTTTTAGTTTCTTCTTCGTTGTATTTTATTAAATGGCTGTTTGGAATGGTATATATTACTAAGATGATAATGGTTGAAGTTTTAAGAAAAACCTGGGAAATGAAAGGATTTGAATTAAGAGCTTGACACTCTAATTTTATTCTCATGTAGCGTATACAGTGGTTCGTGTTGACAGAAAGCTAAAGTTACCATCACTTAAAATGCTGTCATTACTACCTTTTCGTGAGGGGGTTAATACAATTTACTATTAGTCACAAGGGAAGAACTCATATGTGTTCTGAAGCAAACAGTTATATTTGTCATCCTTAGAAATTTTGGTTTCTGAAAAACTATTCTGTAATTCATTGAAATATGTTCTGCATATGCTTTAAGGCATCCGTGTCTCTCTTTGGCTTTGACAACAGTATAAACCAAAATTTTGCCCATTATATGTAATGATAATGAATGATGTTTGAAGGTGAAATGGAAATCTAAGCCGAGGCAGGATTCGAATCGTCGATCAGCAGGTTCCCAGTCGGTAATTTACCAGCTGAGCTACAAGGCCCGACTGTTGATTACATTTTTATTTCACTTAAAAATTATTCTGCTTTCAGTGTGAAGGTTAACACGTACTGATGAAATGACATTGGTTAAACGGGTGCTTGTAGAATTCTTCGTATATATGAGTACTCTAGATTCGATACTAAATTGTCTACAAGACCAAACCTTTAAAACTATGAATGCAACGTAACCAAGAATCTGAAAAAGAGTTGAACTTACAACTTGAACTATTAATGTTACTTACCTGGCTAAGGTGACACTGAGATTCTTTTATCAAGCTGTTGGTAATCAATTATAACTAGATTTCCCTAGTTTTTTAGATTAAACAGCTTAAGAAAGAGATTATTCGACTTTTCGTGTAACTAAGTGGTTTTCTTTCAAAGTTATACTGAAGTTTAACATCTTAAGTCTGCTAATATGCACTGTAATACAAGTACAACATGTTCACGCGTAAGATTTTTCAATTATTTGTAGCAACAAAAATAATCATTTTTATTGTTGAATTATATTGGATCGTCACTTGTATTATGTTTCGGCAGACAAAACGTCATACAGAAACTACGTGGCATGCCATAGTTATAAAAGAGTACAACGAATCAACTCAAACCAAGTATACCTTACCAGAATTCACTTATCTATCATTTCTAGTCATTTAACCTTTTTCTGAGAGGTAACTTAGGAGAGACGATGTTCTACGGAAGCATTTACCAATAATTTTCACAGCATTTTATTATTATTATTTTCCCCCTTGAGTTCCTAGTGGAAAATAGGGTTTCAGTAACATGCCTCAATTCTACTCTCTTCTCTGTAGTCTTTTCAAACTCGCTCCACGACTGACCACAAGCTTTCATTTCTTCCTCACATCATCTCCTCCATGTCACCCTCACCATGGACGCCCAACTCGTCATTTCCCCTTTGGATTCCACTCAAGAGCCTCACCTAACACATGATGTCCTCAATCAGCCTTCTCAGTGTATGCCCAATCCAATCCAATCCATCTCCACTTTCTTCTACTGCATATTTGTTGGGTAATAGGTTGTTGGTTGGTTGGTTGGTTCGCTGACAGCCAGCCAGAGTTCCTTGTTGCTCATTCTGATTATTCTGGCTATCTGATCTCCATCTTCAGTATCGAGCCAGCATAGGTAGTTGTTGATGATCTATGACTGTAGTTTGTGACACGCCAAGTTTCTGAGTCATACAGAATCACTGGCTTGACATTGGTGTTGAACATCCTGATCTTGTTCTTTGTACTGAGTGCAGTAGATCTCCATAGTGATTTCAGATTATTGAAAGCCTGTCTTGCTTTTCCAATCCTGGTTTTGACATCCTCATCTGAGCCACCACCTGTAGTTGAAAAGATTTCAGTCTAAATTGTTATCTATTCAACTTTCATTAATCAGATTTTTCTCAACATTCAAAAGAAATTATACTACCTAACCAGTCTCATCGCTTGAAGTCCTTTTGGTATTGATTAGCTTATCGAAGTAGGGTTACAGGTTGGTAACCCCTGGATAAAAGCTTGTTTCAACAGGTACTAAGAATGAATAAATTCTAACTTGGTGAACGTAGATGCACTTAGGAAGAACAACAAGAAGATTAGTGCATTCAAAAGCATAGACAATGAAGTGACTTGACCAAGGTAGTCGGTTCATGAACCATAGGATCAATAACAAGAATTTATATCTGTAAGAATTCAACGGTAGTCCCTATAGCACATTGTAACAATAGCCCGTTAAATGGTGTTGACTCATTCAAATGTCAAGTTCATTGCAGAAATTAGCAAGATTCAGATTATATTTACAGTCATGAACCAGTAATTCATTCAGATCAAGTAAACCTACGCACCACGCGATTTTATTAGTGGAGAAATTTAAATACGTCAACTGAATACCGAAAAGTAAGTGACCTGTTCCATGTTCCCCAGCCCCAAATTCTGACTGAATTCTTTCGATCATGCTACAGTGTGGCCACCAAGCTGGGAGACTTACCATTGCAATACACTTTGATGGATATTAGGTGGAAGGAGATAACGGTGAGGAAGCCGAAGGGCCAAGATTTGGGGTTTGTTGACGCGTGTCAGCAAGTCGTAACTGCAACTTTGAGGGAACTAATATCCCCGCTGAGATTCTGACCCACATCATACAGTTCTACAGCCAAAGGCCCTACCAATGAGCTATTTGAGCTTCAACTGACCGTCCGTAGAACTGGACTAGATATGCTGGTTAGTCACTGGTAATCAATCAAGTCCATTCTGTTTAGTCCCATATCCTGGCCGCATTCTAGCCTTTATTTCATCAAGTTCTTTTACTATCTTCGTGCAAATGTAGGACACTGTTTTATGCAGCTATGATCATACAACAACATGATGAATACAACAATGAACCACTGGATACCAAACTATGTCAGACACACACAGTCTACATCTCAGTACTTACAAGAATATTTCACTGGCCAGATTACAAATTAGCTATTGAGCTTATTGTTGTTATTTTAAGTTGGTGGAGAAGATTTGTAGTACTGGATGAGGATAATAATTGATTGATGTTCTCCGATCTTTGATGTTTGTCCTTCGATGTTTCGTCAGTAGGTTAGAGGACTTCATCAGCATTAATTTCGCACTTTAAAAGCTTGAGCATTGGTTTTTAGCCTCAGATCATCCTTCTTGATAAATTTTAACTAGCTGCCAACTATAATGATGAAATAATGAATCAAATCAACTGACTTTAACTGTCCATTTCAAGTATTCTAGGATAAAGTGACTTTCGTTGAACAATCTGATAAAAAGAGGTTGAATAGGACCATAAATTTTGTTTACAAAGTATGAAATTATTACTTATTATCCTATGTTATTTGTTGCAAAACGCTCATTTGTTATATTCAGTGTTTCGTCTCCATACTTAATGATTGTTTGAAAAAGAAGAAAAAGAAGAAGTAGAACGTGGGAAAGCAATCAATTTATTCACCCAATACATCTTATTAGAATCTAAACAAAACTTATACTTACCTCCCAGTTTTCATAGTGAAAATATGACTACTTAAAATAAGAGTAATTACTGTGGATAATATTTGATAGGGAATGAAGACATAATACCTAAGGTATATGCTTCACTTTATTCATAAACTTGCGGTGTCTGTCTGTAGAGAACTTGAGGTAATATTCTGAAACAAAAATAGAAAGAATTCAAACCACAAACAGATTTCTAATTTGTAAATAGTATTCTAATGGCCTTCATATGCTCGATTATGATTTGTCATTACGTACTCGAACGTAATTGGCTGTCAGTGAAGTTCAATCGAATTTATGAAACCACTATCAAATAATCTGTTAAAACTTTGATTTCTTATTATATTCAGCTCGTTACTTTATCTTTTCCTTACAAAAAAACTACTCACCATCAACTGAACCATCATATCTCACCTCTGTATGGATGTTTAAAAACTAGCTACTTGGTTATCTAAGACAATCAGGTAACAGTGCAACCGATGGAGCTAGCTGTAATACAACTACATTCACACCAGTTAATGCCATTCAGCCGGATGGCAGTATTCGCCGGATTGTTGAAGGTGATACATCAATCATTGTGCCAACAACAGCCGGATCGCAACTCACTGGGAGTCAACTAAATTCAATATTAATTCAGGGATATAACCAAACAAGTATCCCATCATCAATTAAATTAAATACTCTGGAAACTCAACGTAAGTTATCGAAAAAATGACTATTACCTATATATACACATATATAAAAATATATATATATATAGACAGACAGACAGATAGACAGATAGACAGACAGACAGATAGGCAGACAGACAGATAGACAGACAGACAGACAGATAGACAGACAGACAGACAGATAGACAGACAGACAGACAGACAGACAGACAGACAGATAGATAGATAGATAGATAGCCACCAGACTTTCAAATCTATTCACTACAAGTGTCTGTCCAGCTCCATGACAAATCGATGCACCTATTTAGACCAGTAATTTGACCTCCGAAGGACTGTAAATCGTATTCGACTAGTTGGTTTATAATAAATCGTGGTGAACAAGCAACACCACAAAATTGAAAGAAGTTGTAAAAGCTGTGAGCCTTTTGTTTTCAAAGAAGTAAATATCTTGCTTTGCGTTTTCCATGAAGCTATCTATGATCTAGCCCTCGATGTAGTTAGGATTCTTGGAGGCATACTTTTGTGGAGTTATAAACTGAAACAAATCACCTATTCTATATTCTTTTTTTCATTGATTCTCTGTGTTATGTTGATTAATGATGGAAACTGCTTTAAAAACATTTCGAATACTTCATCTTGTGTTCAGTTCATTCAGTGACTCGTAGACGTGAAGAATGGACAAGTTAGTGCACCTTCGTACTCAAACCATGTGGCATATGAACAGTGTAAATGTGTGTTCTAAAGTTCACTCTAATAACTGCCTAAATTGAAAATTAGGTTTCATCACATTAAGAAAAAAAGCTATTTTTCCAGAGAAAATTAAGAAGCCTAACTAGTCGTTTCTGTAGTTGCTAGGCTTGCTTTTATAGTCACTAGTCAAAGAAATAGTTTTTAGTTATCAGCTATGTGATAGCTTTCAGTATGTGAAATGGTTATAGCATACATCGAAATATATTATATCAGTCAGAGTAACTGGAAATTGATTGGTTGGTGAACTGATAAACCGCGGTCGCTCTAGACCACTGACATAATAAATGACCAAATCGCTGGATGTTAGGAACATACTTTTCAGAATCCACTATGTGTTTAATAGCACCAAATAAACAAAATGCGTAAACAGATATATGTGGCGGTTTTTTCTGTTTACTGTATAAATATTTCCCGATTCTTCGGGTAGAAAAATTGCGAACTCAAAACGTTTCATTTCTTTTAAAGTTAACATCCACTTGGACAGTGAGGCCTTTTGATTATTTTTTTTGATTTGAAATTGCATACATTGCTGAATGGAGATCTACACATATGTGCTTAATTTTTTCTTAGCACAGATAAGAGTAAAATATCGCTCACCAGGAAGTATCACTCAACAAACAAATAATGACGTCTATTAGAAAGGCTATATGGGATAGACATGGTTTAGTAGACTGGCATTATCGTTACTTAGTGACAACTGAACCTGAGCCGAAGCGAGAATAGAACCGGCGGCCTCTAGGCTACCGGCCTGCTTCTCTACCAGCTGAGCTACTAGACCTTTAACGATCTAGCGGTATATACATCTAAATAGTTGCACAGTTCAATCTCGTCTACCTGTATGGTAGAATCAGTGATAAGAGTGTAATTTCTTAACAAATCATGCTATTTGCTATGGATATCATGGAAGAAGAAAGTTCACTTTACTGTTTCTTTTCTATCATTATTCTACAATAATAGGTGCCACAGGTACACTCACATGTGCACAAATAACTAAACCATGCGGAGATCATGCTACTTGTCGAGATGCACCACCTGGAATTTCTTGCTTTTGTAACTCCATGTGGAGAGATATGAATCCTAGAGATCCTGGAAAACAATGTGCATGTAAGTTGAACAATTTTTAAATAGTCAGAACTACTAGCCAAGCTGCTTGGAAACAAAATGTATGGGTAGACTTTCATTTCTGAAGATTGAATATCAGATAAATAACTTAAAAAGTTTTAAAATGATTGAAGAGATTTATATCTTAGTCAAGCATTCGGAGTTTGCTGTTCCGCTACAAATGGATAATTTACTTATTGATGAATATACTGTCTAGAAAGACAATAAGACGTTCCCAGAGAATCAATCTAACACAGAGATAGCTAAGTCATTATACCTAATTCAGGTGAATTCATTGGTCAGGTAAGTAGCTTAGTTGATGAACGTCAACTCCCAGATATAGAAATCGAACACGCAATAGGATGCAAATAGGATGATCAATGTATGAATGATATACAAACTATATAGTCTACGTTAATATTTCTCATAGCTAAGTAGTTTTTCAACTGCTCAACTGTGATGACAGTCAGCAAGCTTGCTTCTGAAAACCACCCTGCAGCCGAGATCACAGTGTTTCATTTCTAATACAAAAGTATTATAAGCTATAGAAATATGTTACTGAACAACCTGAGCAGTTAGAAACTGTTTCGGCTAATCTGTAGATCCCGCTACCCAAATCAGAGGAGGTTCCAAAGACCGCACCTCTTACTTCATTGTTCATTGAAATAAACTTGAAGTCGGAGGGACGTATGAATTTCTTATAGTTGTACAGTCGATCTAAAAAACTCAATCACAAAAATAACAATTTCAAAGTGCACCACAGTAACTTGTTACGTGGCTTAGTTTCCCTTGTTTCCTCAAACAGTGGATGAGTATCATGAGAGCTTAAGTAATAACGGACCAATAATGCATGAACTTGAGCTGTTGAAGAGTTACTCCTATTCTCTGTGACAGAAGCCAATCACTTACACTTTTTAGGTCCGATGTATTCTCCAGTTGTTGCGAAATATATATATTCATTGGCAGCTGATGAAAACGGTTAATCATTTTCTCCGTTTAAATGAGTTTCAACTAACTAGGTCCTAAATATTGAATAAATAGGCATACTAAATCTCATTGGGATAGTGACCCATCAACCACCAAACAGAGAATTGTAGCGAGATTTTTATCATAAAGACAACTGTCTCTACTTAATATCATATGTCATTTTTATTTCTTACAAGTTCATCTATAAAACTGAAAGACAGACTGATAAAATCAACGTAGAATCTCACACTTAAATGCATCGACTTAACTCGCCATACTTCACAGTTGCATACAAAGAACAAATGGATAGAAAAGAAGTCATATCAAAGAAGATGAAGTAGTATGAGAGAATGAACAGTCTGAATATAATAGTTAATGAGAAAATTCAAGATTCAGAAGGCGTCAAGCCGTGCATACATCTGCACATTTGTGACCTATTTTCAACCGGGTCACCGACAGTCATCAGCCATCGATTTCTGTTGCCTCAGAGAACTTAACCAGCCAAGCAGTTTACATCTCTCCATATGACTCGAACCAACAGTAAGAGACTGCATCAGCTGGTGCCACGTATTGGTCTCATCATCCTCAGTTGTCTTCTAACCTAATCCAGGTTCCCCTGTCGTGTTTACATCGTGAGAAGGGACTTGGCATCCATAGTATACATCCATCCCACCTCATTCGGCTAAGGTCCTCAAGCTCACTAGTCGGATTGACTACCTTGCCTGGTAACCTTTGCCTGACTTCAACATTTCTCACATGGTGATTCCTTCAAGCAAAAGCAAGCAATGCTACGAAGACACCTATTATCAAACACCTATGACCGCATGATGTCGTCTACTTTGAACGGCTATATCTCACAGCGGCATAACAGAATATAACGGACTGCAGTGCAGAATACTCATCCTTTGGTCGATATTTGGGTGTCTCGCCAATCGGTACCACAGATGACACCAGCTGGCAAATGCGGAAGGGGCTTTCTATATCCAATTTGAGATTCTGTCACCAACCAACCCGTTAGATATGATGCACCTCCTTGAGTTACTGAAGTGGTTGACACATTCCACCTCACCAATCTCTGTTATTAAACTGGGACTAATTGCAGCTGACCGGTCCTGGAGCACCATCTTGAGTTTAGCAGATGCCAGTGAAACGTATTCCAAACATTCTCAGACTTCTGCTCATCACGTTTAAATGACTCCATTTTGTCAGAGTCTTCGCCCAGCCGGAAAATTTCGCGTGCAGATGACCTACAAGGGGTAGATCGATCCCCATGGAGTCAGACGTACCTAGAGTTGTATCCATTAGGACATCGATAACGAAGATAAATAAGAGAAAGGATTGTTAACATCCTGGTGGACACCACTAGTTGTGGTCCAATTCTGATGACAAATCTCCATAAGCTCTAACACGTCTGTATAAGTTTGAGAAGAGAGCGCTGATCAGCGTTATACACTTGTTCGGTACTGTTTTCACAGTCAGACACCGCCGCAATACCTCAAGGTCGATAGAGTCAAATACCAACTTCAGATCAAGAAATGTGGTAACTATTGGCTGCCGGTAAGTATGTTTGTATTTCAGAACCTGCCAAAGCATGGAAACCTGATCCGTGCACCTTCATCCGGGTCTCAAACATGCCTGGTTTCCTCAATTTTGCCCTTGTCGAGTTCCAGTTAGCCGTGGGATAAATATAGACCCTAGGATCTCGGAAGCAATTTTTGTCCCATGAAGATTTCTCTTCTTCTTATAGACGAGATAATCAGTGAAGTACACCGGTCTGGTGGAGCTACTTCTGACTCCCATACACTACCTAGTACCTCCGTCACTCTAATCATCAGTTGCCTGCGTCCATCCTTGAAAACTTCAGGTGGCAAAATTACAGATCCTGCTGCTTTCCATTGTTTCAGTTTCAATACAGTATTCTCAACTTCAAGGAGAGTTGAAGAACCGACATTTAGGCCTTATTAATGTTTATATTGTATGTTGATCAACTACAGCGTTGTTGGGGGTCAGTTGAACAGTGCATCAAAGTGTTCTGCCCATCTTTCTAGCCACCTGTCGTATTAGGTCACCAGCGTCTCATTCTTCTCGGTGATGGTTTCACTAACCATTGTCTCCATCTTCTCAGTATCCTCAACAAACCTGAACACTTATCGACTGTTACTCAACGTTGATGCCTTTTCCATCTCTCTCGCTCTGCCTGTCGCTACCCAGCAATGGGAGTGATTAATACAAAGACTCTTGTTCAACTTACGTTTAAGTTGCTTTTGTTCTTCGTCGTAGTCAGAGATAACTGAAACTGGTCTTCTTGCATTATTCAGTTCGGATGCTTCGCGGAAATCCAATGACTTTTGCCATCCTTCGAGTGTAGGTTACCAACTGTACTTACTGCTTTTTCTACAGCAGACTAAATGTCACTCCACGTTTCCTCATGATGAGCATTGCTGTCATATTCAGATAAATCTTTAGCTAATTCTTCCTTAAATACATACTTGACATTCTCATCTTGCAGTCCACCATATACAGGCTTTAATATCGCCTTTTCCTGCTACTAGTAAGGCTCAGACATACACGAAACTGTACTGGCGCGTAATCGCAATCCAAACTGATACTCTAGAAGGAGCGGCAACCCTCCGCCGTTCCTCTCTAACGGTTGCTTATAACAATTTGATCCGTCTATGTCCATCGCTGGTTTGATGTCAGCGGACGTCATGCGAGACAGTGTTTCTCTGTAAGCCGTATGCCAGAAACAAGTGATTGTCTGAGCTAAGTTGCAGCAAATGATCACCGTTGTTGGTTCGTTGGCATGAGATTCCATAAATATCTTCCAGATGCCTTAATTGACTCAGTTTCCCTGCATGAACGTTAAAGTCACCTGCCATTATGAATACATGTGAACCTTTCGCTTTCTGTGGCAAAGTTGACAGCTTTTCATAGAACTCATCCTTTGCATTATCTAAAGTGCAGTCAGTGGGTGCGTAGTTGGAGACTAGGATTAGGCATCGGCTGACCCCACGATTCTTCCTAGTTCTTACAGATCTATTTAGTTAAGGAGCACAGAAGCAGCTGCTGACTGGTATCTAGTCAAGAAGTGCACTTTCTGCTCTACACCAAAAAGCCCGTGACAGCTAGGCATTTGGTCTCCGGATACTCGCAAGGTGAATTTTGAAGATTCGCTACTTTGACCAGGTGAGGTCAGCTTAAGAACAACACTCATGTCCGAGAGACTCAGCACAAATTCACGGCTAGAGATTCTAAAATCTTGGCGAGCGCTGCTAGCCGTCCGATTTGGCATAGAGTTCGAACTTTGAAAGCTCCTGCATGAAATTGTTAGTGGGATCTTAAGGGACTACGATTGAAGCATCGACGGCTTTGATTGTTGGCAATGGTTCTAGAGCGAAAGGTTGCGGGAGGTGTAACAGGCCTGATATTTGCATCAATAGGTGAGGGTAAAGAAGGGGAAAATGTTATGATTCAGAAATTAGTCCATGTTAACATAGCTATAAACCTGAAAATGTATGAGTTGAAGGTAATCAATAAAAAGCCTGTGGTTTCCGTTAATAACCTACAAAATATATGTTACATCTTCAGGAATCTCACAGTCATCTAAACATTTAAACTCAGTATTATGACCTAGGGAATAATAAGAAATACACAAACAGTACTAACTCGATGAGACACTTTGACTGGATACGAATAGCTTTTGCTCTTCCTCAGTACCTTATACTTCACTGAACAATGAAAATGTCAAAAGACAAAGACAGGTCTGTGACCGTAAGGAAGACACTTTATTTGACAAAAATACATCATTTATATACAATTTTCATGAACATACAATACCACTAGGTCACATGTTAAATACCTTATTCTGATTGGTCATATATAAAATGAAATTGCCCAATAAGGGTTTTCCTGACCCAACAGAAACATGAAGACAAATTGTAATGGAAACACTTCTACCTTAGTGGCTGATGACTTAAAATGATGGTTTCCACTTTGGCTGCTTCCCAGCACTGCACATTTCAGTAGTAAGTGTAGGTATTGAGGTCAGCTTACTTTGTAATACGGTACTGTACAGAAATAAAACACGATTTTAGGTTGTTCAAAAATGTCTATAGTCTAGAGATTGTTGATTTCTAAATAAACGAATGTTGGTACACAAAAAAAGTATGATTCAAGTTCACGCATGTGATGTAGTACGATACGCTACATTCAGTCGAATACACTAGCACAAAATTTTGGTTCAGGTATATCAGATTCTTTAAGTCAACCACCAACTAGTAAGTATGAAGTAAAAAAAAAACAGTAGAAAGGAATTAAACGTGTTTATTGTTGATTTGATCTGATGAAGACCTGAGCTAAAAATCATCAGAATACATGGGACTTCCATTTAGCTTACGTTTGAGAATTTGCATTCAGAAATATATTGGAGTTTATAATATAAAAGCTTATAGAAGAAATGTATTTGTAAATCTCTACCCCATTTGGATTCCACAAAGATGTTTTCTCTGTAACCCATTTACTCAGTGCTCAGTTTATTCGATTCTGTTACGTGAATTTTTAATCTTGAAGCTTGTACAATAAAACCTACTATTGTTTGCTACTAAGTCTCTTTTAGATTGCACATTGTATGACTAAATATTAAATTTAGGAAAGACCACATGAAACCTGATGCAAAGTGTAACTGTGCTACATGAGTACACATCGAAATGCTCTCAGAAACCCTGTGCACACTCGTGAAGTAGGCAGTGGGGCACGCCTATTATGTGAGGACTATCCATATTACTACCTGGCTACACAAACCTTAGTAAGGGTAGCCAGATACGAACCGTGACCAATTGGTTAAATGTTAACTACTAAAATCATTCAGGCACGGCTCCAGTGTGATAGCATGTACATAAATAATGTTCATTATCCGTTTGAAATCCCATTTTCTTTTTAATGCTAGTGAAATTAATCGACTTCTTAACTAAGAATGAAAAACAAATGTGACTGCAGATATTTCTCTCACCTTTGCTATTCCTATTTCTTCAAGCAGTCATATATCTGCTAATTTACAAATAACACTTCCAGAGAGGGACATGACTTTACATCATCAGATAGGAATGTTGAGTTCGTTCGGACAATTTAAAACTAAACCAAGGAGGGACATTTATTAACTGGAAATCAGGAATTCATTTGTCTCTAAAAATATAGTAAGAGATTCCAAGTTACATGGAGTGACGATGAAATAACCAGACGTTTAAATCAGTGACCACGCACAATAATTAATAAGCCATATCTTATGACTGGAGGTACAAAACTTCAATGGTATACGTCACACTATTACAGCCACAGTCAATAAGATGGGATCATTTAGGTGAATGTAAGGAACTAAACTACTTGTGTCGAATTTTTAGACAATGCAAACAAAAAGCTAGACAACCATTCCGGAATGACCCGTTAATAAGTGACAAAACAACAAAATAAATTCAGCACCGTAATGCTACTTATAAAATGTAAGTAGTATAAAACTGAAGACGTAAAAGAGTAGGCAACTTGGGATGCCGAGATTACAGTTTGAGCGTTTTCTGGTCCTTGAAGCTAATCCACGTCAAGAAACTAATTATGGAGTGCGGCTACAGATCTAACTTACTTAATATTTCATATGTTACTATTTGATGGATGGTTAGCCTTTATCAATGTAAAAAGTAACCACATCTTGCCTTATTTACTGTTGCTGGCAAGCTAAGATAATAATCCCTTTCGCATTCACCACAAGTCACAATGTATTTAGATCAGTGAATATTTGTCATTTCCTCAGACCTCTGTTTATACAGTAACTTTTTCAACTGTTCTATATCCCGTGGATGATTTAAATTGGTGAACTAACTTCAGCTATTTAATTATTGATAAGTAGTTAAAAGATTGTCATCAAAAATGCATTTCCCTTTTTCAGTGCATCCTGCTGCAATTGCATTGATTGCTCTCGCTGCGTTATTATTATTAGCCGCTCTTATACTGCTGATTATATGCTTACTACGTAGACGTCAAAGGAGGCGTGGTTCAATCTTAGCTTCAACAGACTTAGCTGCAATGAAAAGTTGGCGACAAAAGAGGCAATGGAAACTTAATTCAAAAGGTGTAAATGAGTTACCACAAGATTTAAATGCATATCCAACAGACACGTAAGTATTATTGTTACTACCAATAATTTTGTTCATTATGATCAATTTAATTTAAATTCAGAAACAAATAGTTCGTTCTATGGATTTAGATAATGTGATTAGAAGACGAAAGTTTATCTGAACAATGTGATGTATTTGCGGAATACATTTCAAACAGTCTGATCACACATTTACGTGTCAACTCAATTCATATTGAACAGAAGAGTGGTGAGACAAATATAATTATTAAGATGATAGGGGATTGAAACTAAGAAAGATGAGAACAAAAAGGCGAAGTGACATGGTTGATCCTAATCTAAGTAAGAAAACAGCTTATCATGCAAGGTAGGTGTAGTTTAGGAACAAAAGTGTTTTTGTACACATAAAGGTGGTTTAAATTTATTTATGGCTATGACTTACGCAAAACTCAGTATATGTCCTTGACTGTTTCTATGTACAACTTTGAAAGCTGTCTGAACATAAATATTGTGACCTGTTTCAATAATAAACTTAGCTATAGAAGAATAAGGTTGTCATCCATCTGCGCTTACCAAAGTTTCACACTCCATTTGTTTTTGAAGTCATCTAGGCACATGTTCTCCCACCACAACTGCATGAGGCGAATACCCCGCCCTATGTACATGTGACCACACACATACACGTAAACTGGTAAACACAATAAGATGTGATGTAATTATTCATGCGGTGTTTAGGTTTGCGATGAAGCATTTGTTTTGTTTTTTCCAAAATAATAAGATTTGCTGCGTAATTAACACCTGCTGTTTACTCATAAATTCGTATGAACAGATAAGAAACGAAAAGATCACCTTAATCTTAGTGTGAATAATAACGACAACTCGAGTCGGGAGGAGTTCACAACCTCCATTGTGTTACCCTACAAGGAAGGTACATCAGAAACTTCACATGTGATCCTCAACAAAGCTGGAATCACAGTGGCATTTAAGGCTACCAAATCACTCAACAGAGATAAGCGTTGTTGGTTTAAGCAGCCAATAGAAGGAATTCAGCATGATAATTCGATCTATCAAATTCCATGTAATGACTACCTGGTCAATTGCATAGGTGAAACTCGTCGGTCGGTATGAGTTAGAATAGTGGGATATGGGAATTCATCTGAATATAGAATGATGGACCCGAATAAGTTGAGTAACGTAGAGGTTACACGGTTGTTTGAATGCAAGGATTAACACAAGAAGGACGCAGTGAACTAGTTATGTAGGCGAGATAACGCAGTGGCCTATGAGACATAAAATCCCTCTATTTAAGTGGAATGTGATTATGTGGAGGGTGAGAGAGATTGATCACTGAATGTTTGTTCATCGAGTCGAGACTGGGCACAAGTGATAGAAATGAGTCGAAAGCTGTACGAAAGATGTGGAGAATTGTACTACCAATAAAAGCAAATAATATGAAGTAACAGGACTATAGAAATCAGATGTTGAAAGTAGCGTGATGACAATGATATTGTTATGAGTAATAATTTCTGGTCTAGACTTCGTCATCAAGTAAATGATAGTGTATCACTGTGTGTTATAAATCATATAAATAGTTCTAATATGGAAATGAATTGCTCAGCCTCTGTTGATAGATGGGCTTCTGTATGGATCCCTCCATACTGCCAGGATATGCATAACGTCGTTATAAGTCATATGGTGGCTATCAGGATGCGCTGGATGTACTTGCACCCCAGTGATTGATAATATCCCTACCGAGACTCGAGGCATCTACTTTGGAGCTAATTTTCGAACACAGGTCGAACAGCTAGACCAAGTATAACAACGGGGAACTTTAAGTACCAATAAACAATAAATCATCGGTGGCCAAGTGGATTAGGCTTTATCGCTTGAACCAGTCATTACTGGGCTACAGTCTCAGAGATGATAGCATCACTCGCTGAGTTGCAGATACATCCAGCTAAAGAGTTGCAAATAGGACTAGAGGTGCCCCTTGGATCCCACTGCTTTCCATCAAGAAGACTACAATGTACTTTATGACGGTAGAACTGAACTTTATTGATAGAAAAGCTTTAAGACAACCAGTCAGGTTGGAGATACTTTGTTCAAGGTCATTCCTTTGGTCCGTTCGCCGTGTTGCTCACGCTGCAGATGGATGATGACGAAGATTACGTTGATTGTTGGATGTGAAATTTGATGGAGTAGGTAATGGGGTTGAAATAGACGGGTGTTCATTCGGAAATGCAAACACAACCCAAGAAGACGACTTCAACAGTTCTATGTAAGCAGTATACACATGTTTTTGGCAAACCACAGTTTCTTAATATATACAACCGAAATACGAAAGAAGGACAGGGATAAAGGATGGATAAGAAAAACTTATCTTAGCAGTTAGAGAAAAATGCGTGGCATTAGGTACCACATAATATACAGATGTTTGGAAGTCCTATATGGCTCGATGTGAAATAAGTTGTCCCCATCAGCCATTTCTTCACAAGAAGCACTTCATTGATCGGACAACTGGAGTGCAGATTAACAGCTTTGAAAATATGTGAAGTTGTCTTAGAAACTTCTTAAGACCACTAACAGAATCACAAGAAGAAATAGTAATGTCTCACATGAATGAGTGGCAAAACAGACATTGGTATGACTTCGAAGATGATAAACCAAGTGAAAATCTAGATATATTTATTTCTCTTGTGAAACAGTTTCATAAACTGTAAATAAAGTACCATTTTTCTCTAAAAAATACTACGTTATCCTTCATATTTATGATTCTGTTGGCCAGAGCATCCTTAAACGTGATTGGTCGTCACTAAAGTTTTGGTTCTACCGTTGTGACTTTACTGATTGCGTGACTCTAAAAGTCACTTCTGCAGCTAATGAAATAACCAATATAGTTTCTACCTTAATAGAAAACTGTCATCACAGAGAGAAAAGATGAACATAATTAATTATCCCAGCCGTTGTCAGGATAGACTTCAGAGTTACTATCTTAGTTTTTTGGAATGACTTTAAGGGCCACCCTAACGAATACTTAAGTAGTCAATTAAGTTACTTTATTTTATGAAAAAATACCTTCCGTATCGAAATGCCGAAATATGGTTGGTTATTCATCAGTCACCAGGGTGGTCTTTAAAGTCACTGTCAAATTTATTCTATGAAAATCCTTGTTTGTATGCGCCACAACATTTTCATCATTCATCCGTATTCCAATGACATTAAAGGCCTCAGTTTACCCTTTTAACGCCACTATGGTTGTGCCACTGTAAATGTACTTCAGCTGATACAAATGCCTTATTGGATTAGGGAGCAAAATAGCAACCACCAATAAAATCATCTTGGTGTCTTTATTTTGACTGGAAAGGTAATGACTGCCGAAAAAACATATTTCAAACTGAAAAACAGTTTTTCAATTACTTTTTTAGTGGTTGTCAGGTTAAATTTAGTTTCCAAGTCAGTTTAAATTAAGCAGCTCATAGTTGTGTAACAATGTAACTGTTTACTGCAAAATGAGTCTCAAAGTTAGATCAATCTTGAAGTAGACACTACCCCCCAATGGAAGTTATGCATATCATATAGTTTTGTGCTTCAAAATAATTGTTGATATACCACGCTAGTATCATCTAAATACTCTAGTTCAATTCCGGAATCTTCGGCTGAAACCGGTTTCTTGTTGATTGATGTTAATGCAGTGTATAAAAAATTCTTGAGGTGAGAACTTGTCAGATATTTCGTCAATCTTTCTTCAATGAACCATTAATGATTTACAAGTAGAGGGTATCATTCAACATCGAATAATTAGTGTACAGATTCTTCACTTAACAATACGTCTACACTATTCAACAGTACACTTTAAAATCTGTTGAAAATAGATAAAATTAATTGTCAGATCCATGCAAGTACTACATTCTACACAGGGCTAAAGAAATTATTTGCAATAAAATTGATAAATGATTCATAGGAACTAAGTTTTAACTGTTACTTTCAGTAATTTAAATTTGAGTCGAGGTCAGAACAGGTTCACAATGAAGATTAGATATTTCGTTGTAGTGAAAAATTAATTGATATTTGAGTTATCACACTTATGTCACGTTACAATAAAATATGTATATTCCATTATGCACACTGATGTTAGTCAGAAATGATATCCAGCTTACAGAAAGATCCTTAAGTATAACTTGATTAATCAATCATTTAGAAAAGATGAAGATCAAAACTGATCACAAAAGATGACTTGACTTCAGACAGAATAACATATGGGAATAGTCGTACATTCCTTTGCGAGTCAATAGAGATATAAATAATCAGAAATATAAGGATACGCTAGTATACATCATGATGTAAAGTGACTACATTGGATCTCTTCCAGTCATTCTACTTTATTTGTTAATGTGAATATGTTCACTAGGGTAAATAGGATAAACGAAACTTCAAGACACTAAGTACAATTAATCCTTTTTAAGAGTGAGAATGTTGTTGTGGATACCGTTTCATCAGATGTCATGTTGGATTAACCTTGATCAAATATTCTTCTGATGTCAAATACTTCTTAATGCTCACTTACTCAGCATAGTCTTAAACGCTTGAACTCGACTAATCTCTCCTAATAATGATAATAGTAATAATAATTCACTTTATTCTAAAAAGTTTCTAGTATGGTTTAGAATTCTCAGCATGATTCCTTATTCGCCAATCAACTTGTAAAGCCATAGGTTGTAACGATTTCAAAAACGCGCGAGAGTGCACAATACGACCAGATGACATAATTGAACAATTAAAACAGTATAGAAAGACATTTGATGGAATATTTTCCGTGATAAAAGGAGGTAACGAAAAGTTCAAGCAGGCCTCTTGAACAACCTCATGAGCAATACGCACGGCTAATCTTATACATGTGAAGTTTTTTAAGATAAAAGACAAGATAAAATCACTCACTAATGCTCAAATCAGTGGAACGGTTAAATGGTCCATTGTAAAGGATAGAAGGAATCAGATTTTATCAAAAAAACAAATTATTGTTATTTTTTCCCTTGAGTTCCTAGTGGAAAATAGGGCTTCAGTAGCATGCCTCAATTCCACTCTCTTCTCTGTAGTCTTTTCAAACTCGCTCCACGACTGACCACAAGCTTTCATTTCTTCCTCACATCATCTCCTCCATGTCACCCTCACCATGGACGTCCAACTCGTCATTTCCCATTTGGATTCCACTCAAGAGCCTCACCTAACACATGATGTCCTCAATCAGCCTTCTCAGTGTATGCCCAATCCAATCCAATCCATCTCCACTTTCTTCCACTGCATATTTGTTGGGTAATAGGTTGTTGGTTGGTTGGTTTGGTTCGTTGACAGCCAGCCAGAGTTCCTTGTTGCTCATTCTGATTATTCTGGCTATCTGATCTTCAATACTATTCAAAAGTGCAGTCCATATTTCTTGAGATAAACTCGCCTCATATTCACCAGTTATAGTTTCTCAAACTCCAACTATCTATTAGGCAGACGATGGTACAAAATTAATATCTCTGTCAAACTTTGATTAAAATTTATTTCCTTAGAAACAGGAGGACAAAATCTGTTACACATTATATTTAATTCCTTTGCATTCCAGGTCAATTTCACCTGAAGATATGGTGATTCCACGTGCTTCAGTTGGTGGTTTGCCAAGCGGTACCATTGGATTGCCACAAATTCCTGCTTCGTGAGTTTCACCATTTTGTAATTTTATATTCATACTGACATGCCAAACTATCAGTCGGCGGTTTACTGATCGCATAAATGAATGAAAATAATCATGTAAAAGAATATTAAATGATTTAGTTAAGTATGTTTATGGGAATTTTATTTCTTCCAAGGTAAGGTTCATCACGAACTGGTATGGAGTAGATAACCGCTGAAAACCTGGTAGCACTGGACAGGTATTCCTTCCCAGTGCATACCCATGAATCAGCCAAGTACCAAACGCATGACTTCTATGTACATCAGTTAACGCAGTAACTGTCCATCTATTGAGTTGGAGTACAATGATTCATAATTTCCTGGTTCTATGAAGTCGTGATGTAGCGTGACTATTCACCGATTTCTTCAGCTGGCATCCACTTCACTTCCAGCTGATTGATCTGACACATCAAAGCTTGTCGTTTGAACTTCTAGATATCGATTTGGAAGCAATCCATAGAGTACTGGAGGTTAACATTAATGGGGGATTTTATTCATTGTAGCTGATGTCACTCTGTGATGACCATCACTTTTAGATAAATAACTGTTCCAGTCATTTTATCTGTTTATTTTGTCAAACCACTGGTTTACAGATCACTACAATATTGGAAGTTCGTGTGTGTGATACTTCAGGTTATGATTACCATATAGGCTGATTGTGGGGACACTCACGTTATTAAAATGCCAAGACAAGTATTTATGATTTCTGACCACTTTTTATCTGTTCTCCCTAACAAATTGACTGTATATTTTCTCTACATGTATCTTAGAACAAGACATATAAGCGAACAATATTGTTTTCAATTAGATCCTCTTCAGGCTTGACTCTAATACAAACAACTTAATACATATAAAATTAAACCGATCATTTAAATTCGTCGGTTGGTGTTATAAATGATGGTGATAATAATACAAACAGTAATAATGATAAAAGTGATAATGTTGAATAAAGCACACGCAATATAGATGATAATGATGATATGAACCAAGCAAGCAGCATGAAAATGTAGACACTCCGATAATCAAAATGGGTCAAAAGCTTGTGAAAAAAATTATGTAATACTGAAGGACGAGATAAGTGCATAACCGTACTAGGAAGGAAGAAGAAGCGGTGAGACAAGGAATGGATCTCGATGGACACATGGAAGCTGATAGAGTAGGGAGAGGAGGACGGTGAGATAGAAGATATTTCAGTGCAGTTTACCACCAGCAACGGCAGAACTACAAGCGAACACATGCCCTCCTACAAAAGCAGAAGTCCTGAATGCCATAAAACTGCTGAAATTCGTGAAAGCAACAGGATCAGATGGAATCCCTCCAGAAGCACTGAGAACAGACTCAGGGACAACAGTGGACAGGCTCACACCACTATTGCAGAAGGTTTGGGAGGAAGGAATGGAAGGAATCTGCCGACTGAAAGAAGGGGTATCTTGTCAAACTCCTAAAGAAGGAAGACACCAGCCTTTGCAAGAACTGGCGCGGAATCATACTCCTGTCTACCCAAAGCAAGCAAATTACTAAGCTGCACCATTCTGGAGAGACTAAAGGATACGCTGGATTCAAAACTACGACAGGAACAGGCAGGCTTCAGGAAGTACAAATCATGTGCGGACCAAATTGCAACGCTTCATTACGCATTAGCATAGAACAAAGTATAGAATGGCAGTGAACTCTCTACCTCAACTTCATCTGCTTTGAAAAGGCCTTCAACAGCGTCGACCTAGAAGTAATTTGGCAGGCATCTGTTTCAACACTACGCTTTTATTGCCACAAACGTTTATCAATCTCATTCAACAGCAGCTATATGCTATGCTATATGATGCTACATGCCAAGTGGCTCACAATGGAAATCTCAGTGATGCCTTTGAAGTGGAGACAGGAGTGAGACAAGACAAGGCTGCCTACTATCACCCATGATCTTCCTGATTGTGGTCGACTGAACTGGATCATGCAGCTAACCGTGAGGAGCGAGAAGATGGGCGTACGCTGGACCGATGAAAAGACCCTAGAGGATTTCGATTTTTCCCATGATTTATGTCTAGTGTCGCACAAACTTGAAGATCTACAGGCAAAAACTAACAAGTTGACAGAAGAGATAAGGCAGAGAAGACGGAACTTCAAGTGGACATAAAGAAGACGGAGGTGATGATACCCAACCAACAACAGCACGAACAACAAGCACCAATCACCATGAACGGGAGAAACCTAAAGGAATTTTTCTCTTTCACCTACCTAGGCAGCGTAGCATCGTTTCAACTACTGGTGGTAGCGGCGGCACGGAAGAGGATCTCAAAGTAAGACAGGCTTTCAATAATCTGAAATCACTATGGAGATCTACTGCACTCAATACAAAGAACAAGATCAGGATGTTCAACACCAATGTCAAGCCAGTGATTCTGTATGGCTCAGAAACTTGGCGTGTCACAAACTACAGTCATAGATCATCAACAGCTACCTATGCTGGCTCGATACTGAAGATGGAGATCAGATAGCCAGAATAATCAGAATGAGCAACAAGGAACTCTGGCTGGCTGTCAACGAACCAACAACCAACCAACAACCTATTACCCAACAAATATGCAGTGGAAGAAAGTGGAGATGGATTGGATTGGATTGGGCATACACTGAGAAGGCTGATTGAGGACATCATGTGTTAGGTGAGGCTCTTGAGTGGAATCCAAATGGGAAATGACGAGTTGGACGTCCATGGTGAGGGTGACATGGAGGAGATGATGTGAGGAAGAAATGAAAGCTTGTGGTCAGTCGTGGAGCGAGTTTGAAAAGACTACAGAGAAGAGAGTGGAATTGAGGCATGCTACTGAAACCCTATTTTTCACTAGGAACCCAAAGGAAAAAATAATAATCGTAAATTAGCAGAGGAGCTAATTGGAAGCAATATTATTAGCTTATATGTCTTGTTGTGATTGAATATTTTCTGGTGCTACATTTTTATTGATCTCTGAATAGGAAATAGATTGTTACCTATCAGTAATGTCACCTGTTTTATGTCTTATATATGTATAAAGTGTTAATAAATGAATATTTTATTTTAAAGAAAATACTTCAAAATTTGAAATTTTGTTTCGATGTTGATTAAATAATTTGAAAGTCACTTGCATTACGGATCATCATCATTTGATCAATCATTGGAATCGTTGAGCGATGGATTACTGATTCACCCTAGTTGGAAACTCACCAGCAATACAAATCTTATGGGAATTGGATAAGAAGTCATGAGATGTAGAATCAACGGAATCTGTCATCAGGTTCATGTCCCCCCCCCCACTACCATTGACCCTAGATGATGGTTGCACTTAATCGCAAATTAACCAAAGTCTGAGTTTATGGATGACTGAATTTGAGCCAGACAGCAGAATGATAATAGAACCTCCTTAAAAGCTGTAGACCTGGGGCCGGATCCTCCGCAGCATTGTTAGTATGCATTGAAAAGGAGTCCCATATTACGACGAAACAGCTGCCTAAAGCTCCTGGTATTCCAATCGTTTCCCATTTAATATCAGTTCATGGTGCAAATTAATTTCAGTTCAGGATTTGTTTGACTTATAAATTGGTGTCAGGTAGTCGCCTGGTTAACTAGTTTACTAGTTACTAGCCGGTCCTAAGCCCGGGTATACAGGGAAGGTTGGGCATAGGGCTAGCAACCCTACCCCGTAAAACAAATCTAACCGCTAAACAAACTTCAAAGCACAAACAAAATATAAAAAATGAAAACAAACTTATTCCCCGCTGGAATCGGAGAGGCGAAATGACGCCAGTTGGTGAAAGCCTTCGGGAAGCCAATTGGCCGATGTGCCTTCTCTCGATGAAAGCGAAAGTAAACGTGGGGACATGGAATGTCCGCACGATGTTTGAACCCAGTAAGGCAGCCCAGATTGCAAAGGAGATGAGAAGGTATAACATCGAAGTGCTTGGGATTTGCGAAAGCAGATGGAATGGGAGTGGACTCTCCAAACTGTCAACTGGAGAATCAATAATCTACTCCGATAATGTCACCCAGACGCCAACCACGAGCACACTGAGGGAGTGGCTATCATGATGTCCTCAAGAGCATCGAAGGCTCTCATGCAGTGGGAACCAATCTCCTCCAGGATCATGACAGCAAGATTCAACTCAAAAGGAAGAAAGGTCACAATCATACAATGTTATGCACCTACAAATAATGCAGAGCAAGAGAAAAAGGAGGAATTCTACAGACAACTTCAATCAACACTGGACAAGACGTCAGTTGGCGATATCAAAATTCTAATGGGCGACATGAATGCCAAACTGGGAGGGGACAACACGGGAAGAGAACTAACCATGGGTCGAGAGGCGCTAGGTGAAATGAATGAGAATGGAGAATTGTTTGCAGAATTCTGTGCATTCAACGATTTGGTGATTGGAGGCAGTGTGTTCAGGCACAAAGATATCCACAAAGCGACATGGACTTCACCAGATGGACACACTAAAAATCAAATCGACGTTATCTCAATCTCAAGAAAATGGAGACGCAGTCTACTTAACACAAGGTCAAGAAGAGGACCAGATGTAGGTTCAGACCACTATCTAGTGCAAGGAACCTTCGAAATCAAGTTAAAAGCCTTCAAGGAAGCTGGTGATAGACCTCAATTCAAGTACAACACTCGGAAACTGAAGGATGAAACTGCAAAGGAGAACTTCAAGGCAGCCATCAAGACAAAATGGGAGACATCGAGGAACATCCCTGAAGAAACCTGTGTGGAAGAACACTGGAAGTCTTTGAAAGCTATGTGGAAAGAAACCTGCACATCAGTATTAGGAAGGAAGAAGAAAGAAGATAAGGAATGGATCTCGACGGATACCTGGAAGCTGGTAGAGGAGGGAGAGGAGGATGGTGAAGCAGAAGATAAACCAGTGCAAGGATGCTCAACGACAAGAGGAACTGAGCACAATGTATAAAACACTACACTTGACAAAGAAGTGAAGAAGAGTGCACGCAAAGACAAAAGACACTTCTACGAAACACTGGCAAGTGAAGCAGAACAGGCTGCAGGTAAGAGAGACCTGACGACATTGTATCAAATAACCAGGTTGCTATCAGGGAAGAGACCAACACAGATGAAACCAATAAAAGATGAAGAAGGAAATTTAATTACAAAAGAAGAGAAACAGAGGAAACGATGGGCCGACCACTTCAAGAAGCTCTTGAATCGACCACCACCACCACCTGCACTTCGTCCAGAAATACCACCTGCAGCCGCTGAATTACAAGTGAACATAAATCCCCCAACGAAAATGGAAGTCCTGAACGCCATAAAGCTACTGAAATGCGGGAATGCAGCAGGACCAGACGGGATCCCGCCAGAAGCACTGAGAACAGATGCAGAGACAACAGCGGACATGCTCACACCACTATTGCAGAAGGTGTGGAAGGAAGAGAAGGTACCTGACGATTGGAAGAAGGGTTACCTTGTCAAACTGCCGAAGAAGGGAGACCTCAGTGCTTGCAAGAACTGGCGCGGAATCACTCTCCTGTCCACCCCAAGTAAAATATTAAGCCGCATCATCCTAGAGAGGCTTAAAGACGCACTGGATTCAAAACTACGACCGGAACAGGCAGGCAGGCTTCAGGAAGTACAAATCATGTGCAGACCAAATTGCAACGCTTCGCATCATCATAGAACAGAGCATAGAATGGCAATCAGCTGTCTACCTCAACTTCATCGACTTTGAGAAGGCCTTTGACAGCGTCGACCGAGAAGTAATTTGGAAACTGCTTCAATACTACGGAGTACCGCAAACCTTTATCCACCTCATTCAACAACTATATGAAGATGCCACATGCCAAGTAATCCACAATGGGAAGCTCAGTGATGCTTTTGAAGTGAAGACAGGAGTGAAACAAGGTTGCCTACTATCCCCAATGATATTCCTTATTGTGGTCAACTGGACTGGATCATGCAGCAAACAGTAGGCAGGGAGAAGAGGGGGATCCCCTGGACGACGGAAAAGAACCTAGAACACTTGGATTTCGCCGATGACTTGTGCCTGATGTCACATAAACTTGAAGATCTGCAGGCAAAAACTAACAAGCTGATAGAAGAGGCAGCGAAGACGGGACTTCAGGTGAATATAGAGAAGACAGAAGTGATGAAGATACCGCACCACCACCATCAACAACAACAACAACAACAAACTCCAATCACCGTCAACGGGAGAAACTTGAAGGAAGTAACCTCCTTCACTTATCTAGGAAGCACTGTTTCAACTACAGGCGGGACGGACGAGGATGTCAAAGTCAGAATCGAAAAAGCAAGACAGGCGTTCATTAGCCTGAAACCAATGTGGAGATCTTCTGCACTCGGCATGTGGAACAACATCCCCATTTTCAACACCAACTTCAGTCAAGTCAGTGCTTCAATGTATTGGTTCAGAGACTTGGCGCGTTACGAAAGGGATTTCCAATAAACTACAGACATTCATCAACAACTGCTTACGCTCGCTACTGAAGATCAGATGGCCAGAAAAAATAAGCAACAAGGAACTCTGGGAACGAACCAACCAAGAAGCTATCGCTCAACAAATATGCAGGAGGAAGTGGAGATGGATTGGGCATACACTGAGAAGGCCGACTGAGGACATCACGCGTCAGGCCAGGTACTAGAGTGGAATCCCCATGGGAAACGACGAGTTGGACGTCCGAGGGTGACATGGAGGAGGTCGTGCGAGGAGGAAATGAGAGCTTGTGGGCTGTCGTGGGACCAGGTTCAAAAGATCTCAGAGAACAGAGGTCACTGGAGGCGTGCTACTGAAGCCCTATGTTCCACTAGGAACCCAAGGGAATAATAATAATAATAATAGTCATATTTAACAGGTATTACGTCATAGCAAATGGATAATGGTGGAATTTGTCCATCACTTCACTTACTTAAGGGACCGCATCAGTTCAAATGGGTTGGTTGCTGACGAAATCTCAGCCTGGATACACAAGGCCGCTTCCTCATTTGCTAAATTGCATCATCTGAGGTCCTGACTGGAGAGATATTCAACTATCTACCAAATTATGGGTATTCTGCGTTGCATTTTATTCTTTCCTGTTATACGGCAGTGAGACATGGCCACTAAAGCAGAAGACGTGAAGCGATTACACAGTTTTGATGACACATACCTCTGTAGCAGTGGTCGCGTTTTGCGGAATCACCGTGTGAGCAATGTTGAGGTCAGGCGTTGGGTACTTGTTAAAACTGGCAAGTTGGTTGACAAAGTTGTCAACCTTCATCGACTGGGGTGGCTTGGCCGAGTATGCCGGGCTACCACCTAACCGAATGTAAACATGCGAGGGGAACCTGGATTAGGCAGAAAGAGTGTTCAGGGTGACGGGAACAAGACACGGCTTCAGTTGACGAAGTCTCTTACTGTTGGTCCGATTCGTATAGAAAGATGTAGACTGTCTGGTTGGGGTATCTAAGACGAAAGGGATCAGTAATTGAGGACTGTTGGTGACATGGTTGAAAATAGGTCACAATGGTGCAGATGTATTCACCCTTCAACATCTTCAAGATCATTATTTGCACCAACTGTTATGTTCAGACTGTTTATTCTGTCATACTACTTTATCTTCTTTGACATCACTCCTTTTCAATCCATTTGTTCTTTGTGTACTACTATGAAGTGTGGTGAGTTGAACCCATGCACTTGTATGGGAGGTTTTACGTTGAATCTGCCTGTCTTTCATTATTACCGAATACAAATAAAATGAGGCATTATCTGCTTTATGTTGATTAAGTTTGTTCAAAAAAATCATGTTACGTAAACCTAAAGTGATATGATGCGTTCCTCAAATACCTTCATCACTGTTTATCATATAAGTAAACTGAATCAGTGAGATGTAAGTCTCATCCACTGTTTGTTTCAGTAAAATAAGATATCACTGTGGTGTGTGCTACACATGCATGTGGGGAAATCAAGTGAACCTATCTCTTAATCAGTAGACGTCCTGAAGCAGGAAAAGGATAACATACGAAGGAAATAGAAAGAACATTGAAGAAGCAATAAAAACTGAAGATCAAGTCATACGGAATGCAGAGTTCAGAAGCTAGTTGCGTGAACTGTACTTAATGTAAGGTGACCATATTTTACCTAAACTCTGCATACTTTCTACGGCAGTAGTATCGCCCTGTGTAAGTTAAGCAGAGTGATTTAAACTTTAAATTTTATTAAGGAAACATGAGTTTGTACAAACTGTTTAGCGGTGTAATGTATACAATATGCAGCCTCTGTGATGCTCCCCCAGTGTGTAATTGTAAAAATAGGATATAAGCTTGTTATAATGATTGAATCGTTAGGTTGTATCATTGATGGGCTGGAATCTATTGAACACTTCAGTTTCTTCAAAGATGAAAGTTTTACCAATCCTTAAAGGTAACAACAATTGATCCTACCTTGTCTTTAATTACTCATGTAATCTTATTGCACAATTAGAGAAGTGGGTTTCTGTTAGCATGAAATGCTGCAGTCTATAACACTACTTTCATTTCAGTTAAAGAATGACAACTCGACATAATCAAATGCCAGTTTTAGTCTGAGAAACTGATACCAAACCCAGCATATATCACCTAAAAATTCAGATCATTACAAACCAGTTGCTGCGTAACAACAAAAGCCTACAGCTGATAATCTATCATATTATTCACTAACCATCTCTGTTTGCTTTGCCGGAGGCATCATGGTTTTCAGAAATGACCAGCAATTAACTCACTAAACATGTAACTTTTAGACTATAAGTTTTTCGGAATTACTAGATAAGTAATTGGATAAGAGAAAACCGAAATATCGTTCAGCATTAATCGCTACCAAGTTACTATTCAATCGAGATTTGAGCCATAGATCATGAGTTCAAATGTTTTTGTAACTGAGATATTTTACTGACTGTTGCTAGACCACTTCAGTCTTGTAAAATTTTAATCAAGTAAATTTTAAAAGGATAGATAAGTAGTGAAAAATCTCCATTTGTTCATTGAAAAACAAAAGGTCACAGCGAAGATAAGTAGCTTTTCGATGACACATTTTCATAGCTATACACTTGTAAATGCATAATTAAAATGACAGAGTATTCCAGAAAAATCTCCGGTCAATAGTCAAACTTAAACGACAGATTTATAAGGGGAATGACGTGTTATTACGTAAAACAAGAAATAGTCTCAAAGTGTTCATAAAACGCATTGAAAGACAAAATTTGGTTACCGCCAAAGCTTCAGCTATACATAAGTTTCTAATCCTTGCCCTTTTAAACAGTTTGTCCGAATACTGTAAAGAACTTTAAATAAGGTTTCCAGCAGAACTAAATGTCTAGAATCAACAGGTTCTTCAGTGGCAGAGCTGAGTACGGCTTTATGCTCATCCTTTAGCAACTAGAGTGGATAATGTTTGCTGGCTCTTTTCACAAGTTAGCATATAGTACTGCTGATGTACTCAGCTCCTAGGAGAAAGTGCACCTGTAGAAGTACAGCCGTGAAAACGAATAGTCGAAAAGACTATATAAACTCAAAATATTAGAAACGAATTGAAATGCACTTATACAATGAATGAGATTAGTCGAAGTAGCTACTTCATAGCACGGATTTTGACGGGTAGATTTCAGGAAGGGTAAACACTTATCACCTTCACAAAGAATATAGAAAATGAAACGGTAATTAGTTACATTTCCCCTAAATCGTATTTTTCCCAAACAACAAGTTGGAACGAAGTTAATTGTCTTCTGAAAAATTCATGGAATGCATAGTAAACTGTAATAGCAAGAAACGGTTGACTAGATTGTTACTTGAGAAAAATTGAAAACATTCTATCCATAGACAGTGATCAACCACCTGAATGTTAGTCGAAATTCTTATGGATATTGTACAGAAGACAATAACATACAAAATCAGATTTGAAAACGATTATTTCATTTCGATTTCCAGACCAGTTGCAGCAGGTATGGTAATGCCCCCTGCTGTCATCGGAAGTAACTATGTTGGAAGTCCACAACAATTCCCTACAACGTGAGTTATGCTTCATTGATTGTGTTTTCACATGTTAAGACAGTGTAGACACTGACTCTGTTTTTCATAGAGTTGTTTCGATTCTAACATATTTGTTGACCAGTGTTTGTATTACTTTAAATGTATCTGTTACTCTGACTCGATGGAAGTGTGAAACGGTTTATAACAAGTCTGGATGGCTTAAGATGATGAACGTATTCGTTTTTCATTTGCAGTTATTGCCTAACCAGATGTGCTGGTGACATTCATCTACATCCTTGTGACTGAGAAATCATAGTGTAGGGTTTACGGGGAGACTGTTATAATAGTGATTTTCAGCTCTGTCAGCATGTATTAGTGTGTGAGTGTGTTTGCCTGTTTATGAGCTTAGACGAGTAGCCATCCGTCATCAACTCTTCATATCACATTTCTGAATATTGAAACAGTTAAAAGCAATTCTGTTTATGCAGTTGAATATCTCAATTTCTTATTAGTAGTGATGAATAGGTCAATGGATGAGTCACACTTATCTGAGGTTATGAATTTGGTAATCGTTGGTGCTCAGTTTGGCTGTCCAAGGTAGTGACTGACACTGAAAAGAGGAAATAAGGTATGGTAGCACAGTTAGTAGCTGAAAGTAATCGCGGTTGAACTGTAACCCAAAAAAAATACTCAAATCTTTGTGGTATTTTTCACTGTCCAGTGTTAGTGTCACAACAAATAAACTCCTTTCTATAACGGGCATCCAGATGATGGCTGAATTAATGATTTTCGAAGGACAGTTCCATAGAATATGTGAGCACTTCTAAAAATAGAAGCAATGAAGAAATCCGTTTCTCAGGATTTAATCACGATAGATGTACTCCTAACGAATGCCTCCAACTGTCTGTTGTCCGTCTAAGTGAATTAAATTTTTGAGTATTTTAACTTGTTGGCCACATTGAAAGGTGATCAGTGGAGTCTGGTCTGCACTTAGGGCTAAGCGACATAAAGTCTTTGGTCTGCAGTGACCAACAAATGGATGTGTTGGACTCAATAATATGGTTCGAGATTTACCGTACCTTTTGGAACCACGCAACATCCTTTCAAGGTAGATAAATAGTTTAAAAAAAATCAGGTTGAAAACCAAATCGATTGGAAAGAAAACTAAGATAAACACGAATAGATGGCTGTCAATGAAGGTTTGTTGATCTCTTAGCTACGAATAATAATTCCATGAACCTAAAAATAAGCACCTGAATACGCTGAATGAAACAGTAAGAAAGAGAGAAAATTTTGAAGCACATACAGTAGCGAACAATCCTTCAATAAGTGAGACTTCAAGTTTAATGAATTCCAGTTCAGCAAAACTGCAATGAGAAATAGTTGAAAATTGCCCAAAAGTGAATGATTTCGAATTCTAACTTCATACTTAGATAAAAACCATGTCTGCGAACAAGATAGAGATGAAAATGATAAAATTGAGAAAAACTGTAAAATACAAAGTTTGTCATGAAAACCTTAAAACCTCACCAGTGAAAACTCATCCCTATCATACATAGGCTAATGCAATGAAAAATATTTGACCTCCTTTCTTATAGAACTTATCAACCATCAGGAATCGGAATGCCTACCGCGCCTATAGCAGGTATCATGGGTAGTGGATTGACTGGTGGCCTTTCACAAATTCCTGCATCGTGAGTTATTCATTCTCCTATCCATTTCACATTAATATTTACACATTTATCCTGAAATACAATGAACATATACACAAAATTCACCATCCTCAGTTTTCCGATAGCATACTTAAAATTATTAGAAATATCATTCAGTGATTTCAGTGGGTTCATACGTCATAAGGTAGGTTTCATCATGAACTAACACCAAATTGAGGACCATTGAGGAATGAAAAGAGCTACAGAGTTGTTTCATCCTAATGTGTGAATTCTCGTCAATGCTAACTCATAACCGAAATAGAAATATTTTGTAGGTGGATGCACATTGTTAAGAAGAAAATAAACTATGTATCGTCAAACGTGTATCACTTTTGACTACAATGTATAAATCGGTTTTGTGAATACTAATTACATATCATGAAATAACCCATCCAATGAGAAATATTTGACCTCCTTTCTTATAGACCTTATCAACCATCAGGAATGGGAATGCCTACCGCGCCTGTAGCAGGTATCACGGGTAGTGGATTGACTGGTGGCCTTTCACAAATTCCTGCATCGTGAGTTATTCATTCTCCATCCATTTCACACTGATATTTACATATTTATCTCTACACATATTGTGCATATTTTGAATAGAGTGAGATGTGACTGTGAATTTGATGATTTGGTTTTACTTTTCAGACCGTTGGCATCGGGTATGGTGATGCCTCCTGCTGCCGTTGGAAGTAAATACGTTGCAAATCCTTCACAATTGAGGACAGCGTGAGTTATGCTTCATTGATAATATTTTCATTTGTGAAGAATATATCAACTCTCTTTCATTTTCTACCCAGTTTCCTCTGCCCACACGGTTTCGAGCTTTTTTTAATTAGTTGCAATGAGTTTGTTTCTTTGACTTAATGGAATTGTGAAGAAGCTTTTGGTGAATTTCGAATACTTGATTTGTAGAGGGATTCATTTTCCACTTTCAGTCATCCCCAGTTATGCTAGTGATATTTTCCCAAGTTTCCAAGGCTAAAGGATCATCATGTAATGTTTTAAAGTATACCATCTATAGTAATACTTAACTCTTTTAAAATGTTTCGGCGTATGTGAGTTTTGATGAGTGACTGTCTAGTAGGTGCTGCTAATTCCATATTTTTTGAATGTTAAAAAGATCGGAAGGAATCCTTGTTATGCAGTTGAATAACCGAGTTTCTTATTGTTGGTGAATAGGTCACTGGATGAGTTAGAAATGCTTGAGGTGAAGTTATTAATAGCAGTTTTGTTATTTGGTTTTGCCAAGTATTAATGACAACCTCGCCTGGTTAACTAGTTTACTAGTTACTAGCCGGTCCTAAGCCCGGGTATACAGGGAAGGTTGGGCATAGGGCTAGCAACCCTACCCCGTAAAACAAATCTAACCGCTAAACAAACTTCAAAGCACAAACAAAATATAAAAAATGAAAACAAACTTATTCCCCGCTGGAATCGGAGAGGCGAAATGACGCCAGTTGGTGAAAGCCTTCGGGAAGCCAATTGGCCGATGTGCCTTCTCTCGATGAAAGCGAAAGTAAACGTGGGGACATGGAATGTCCGCACGATGTTTGAACCCAGTAAGGCAGCCCAGATTGCAAAGGAGATGAGAAGGTATAACATCGAAGTGCTTGGGATTTGCGAAAGCAGATGGAATGGGAGTGGACTCTCCAAACTGTCAACTGGAGAATCAATAATCTACTCCGGTCACCCAGACGCCAACCACGAGCACACTGAGGGAGTGGCTATCATGATGTCCTCAAGAGCATCGAAGGCTCTCATGCAGTGGGAACCAATCTCCTCCAGGATCATGACAGCAAGATTCAACTCAAAAGGAAGAAAGGTCACAATCATACAATGTTATGCACCTACAAATAATGCAGAGCAAGAGAAAAAGGAGGAATTCTACAGACAACTTCAATCAACACTGGACAAGACGTCAGTTGGCGATATCAAAATTCTAATGGGCGACATGAATGCCAAACTGGGAGGGGACAACACGGGAAGAGAACTAACCATGGGTCGAGAGGCGCTAGGTGAAATGAATGAGAATGGAGAATTGTTTGCAGAATTCTGTGCATTCAACGATTTGGTGATTGGAGGCAGTGTGTTCAGGCACAAAGATATCCACAAAGCGACATGGACTTCACCAGATGGACACACTAAAAATCAAATCGACGTTATCTCAATCTCAAGAAAATGGAGACGCAGTCTACTTAACACAAGGTCAAGAAGAGGACCAGATGTAGGTTCAGACCACTATCTAGTGCAAGGAACCTTCGAAATCAAGTTAAAAGCCTTCAAGGAAGCTGGTGATAGACCTCAATTCAAGTACAACACTCGGAAACTGAAGGATGAAACTGCAAAGGAGAACTTCAAGGCAGCCATCAAGACAAAATGGGAGACATCGAGGAACATCCCTGAAGAAACCTGTGTGGAAGAACACTGGAAGTCTTTGAAAGCTATGTGGAAAGAAACCTGCACATCAGTATTAGGAAGGAAGAAGAAAGAAGATAAGGAATGGATCTCGACGGATACCTGGAAGCTGGTAGAGGAGAGGAGGATGGTGAAGCAGAAGATAAACCAGTGCAAGGATGCTCAACGACAAGAGGAACTGAGCACAATGTATAAAAACACTTGACAAAGAAGTGAAGAAGAGTGCACGCAAAGACAAAAGACACTTCTACGAAACACTGGCAAGTGAAGCAGAACAGGCTGCAGGTAAGAGAGACCTGACGACATTGTATCAAATAACCAGGTTGCTATCAGGGAAGAGACCAACACAGATGAAACCAATAAAAGATGAAGAAGGAAATTTAATTACAAAAGAAGAGAAACAGAGGAAACGATGGGCCGACCACTTCAAGAAGCTCTTGAATCGACCACCACCTGCACTTCGTCCAGAAATACCACCTGCAGCCGCTGAATTACAAGTGAACATAAATCCCCCAACGAAAATGGAAGTCCTGAACGCCATAAAGCTACTGAAATGCGGGAATGCAGCAGGACCAGACGGGATCCCGCCAGAAGCACTGAGAACAGATGCAGAGACAACAGCGGACATGCTCACACCACTATTGCAGAAGGTGTGGAAGGAAGAGAAGGTACCTGACGATTGGAAGAAGGGTTACCTTGTCAAACTGCCGAAGAAGGGAGACCTCAGTGCTTGCAAGAACTGGCGCGGAATCACTCTCCTGTCCACCCCAAGTAAAATATTAAGCCGCATCATCCTAGAGAGGCTTAAAGACGCACTGGATTCAAAACTACGACCGGAACAGGCAGGCTTCAGGAAGTACAAATCATGTGCAGACCAAATTGCAACGCTTCGCATCATCATAGAACAGAGCATAGAATGGCAATCAGCTGTCTACCTCAACTTCATCGACTTTGAGAAGGCCTTTGACAGCGTCGACCGAGAAGTAATTTGGAAACTGCTTCAATACTACGGAGTACCGCAAACCTTTATCCACCTCATTCAACAACTATATGAAGATGCCACATGCCAAGTAATCCACAATGGGAAGCTCAGTGATGCCTTTGAAGTGAAGACAGGAGTGAAACAAGGTTGCCTACTATCCCCAATGATATTCCTTATTGTGGTGGACTGGATCATGCAGCAAACAGTAGGCAGGGAGAAGAGGGGGATACCCTGGACGACGGAAAAGAACCTAGAACACTTGGATTTCGCCGATGACTTGTGCCTGATGTCACATAAACTTGAAGATCTGCAGGCAAAAACTAACAAGCTGATAGAAGAGGCAGCGAAGACGGGACTTCAGGTGAATATAGAGAAGACAGAAGTGATGAAGATACCGCACCACCACCATCAACAACAACAACAACAACAAACTCCAATCACCGTCAACGGGAGAAACTTAAAGGAAGTAACCTCCTTCACTTATCTAGGAAGCACTGTTTCAACTACAGGCGGGACGGACGAGGATGTCAAAGTCAGAATCGGAAAAGCAAGACAGGCGTTCATTAGCCTGAAACCAATGTGGAGATCTTCTGCACTCGGCATGTGGAACAACATCCCCATTTTCAACACCAACGTCAAGTCAGTGCTTCATGTATGGTTCAGAGACTTGGCGCGTTACGAAAGGGATTTCCAATAAACTACAGACATTCATCAACAACTGCTTACGCTCGCTACTGAAGATCAGATGGCCAGAAAAAATAAGCAACAAGGAACTCTGGGAACGAACCAACCAAGAAGCTATCGCTCAACAAATATGCAGGAGGAAGTGGAGATGGATTGGGCATACACTGAGAAGGCCGACTGAGGACATCACGCGTCAGGCCAGGTACTAGAGTGGAATCCCCATGGGAAACGACGAGTTGGACGTCCAAGGGTGACATGGAGGAGGTCGTGCGAGGAGGAAATGAGAGCTTCTGGGCTGCTGTGGGACCAGGTTCAAAAGATCTCAGAGAACAGAGGTCAATGGAGGCGTGCTACTGAAGCCCTATGTTCCACTAGGAACCCAAGGGACTAATAATAATAATAATAAGTATTAATGACGTTGTAACAGACAAACAAGGTATAATGACACAGTTTGCTACTGAAAGTAATCACTATTGTGAAATTCTACTTCTGAAGTAGTCTTGAATTCCGAAGCTTCCGCAAAATTTCGTGTGTATGCAATGTTTGGATGCAAAGAATTCAAACTTATTTTTATTTCAGACCATTGTACGATTTTAGAATTCATAACTTCTGTGACGTTTTTATTAAGTCTTTGTACAGTTCAACAGGGAATAAAAAAACAGATGATATGCAGGGCTGACAGTTACAGGATATGTATCCTCCAAGGATTGTATTTTTTCGAGATGTCACTTAACTAAGCGTTGTGGTACTAGATTAGAGAAATCTTTCTCGAAATTATATCATTGCTATGTCAAAAAACATCAGTTTAAACGTGTTATTACCAGAATGGTCTAAATCAGGTTTAGATCATAGAGTAATTCTAGAATGCTGGGATTTTCAGCCATAACTGATTGTTTGAAATTGAATGTATTAGGAGACAGTGATTACGCGTTTCTATGTTTCACTGTGTTCATGATCGATACTGTAGGGAGTGAACTCTTCAGCATTTTCATTTCATTATTATTCCTGTGTAGTTATAGAGGTGAATGACAACGGATAGTGCAAATGGAGGTGATGTATTGAAGTCAGTGGCTTTACTATATTGTACTCCTTAGATAAAATGACACCGTGATTTATAATTTTTTTCTGGAAGTAGGTCTAGTTGTAATGACATGATATCACGTCAGACAGAGGAAACAACAGTCTACTGGTAAAGACTCCATAGTCAGAATTCAGGATGTGGGGTTGCCCTCAGTGTTGTACAACAGCATAGATTTACACGTATTACTTTCTAGAATTTGTCCACAACAAATGATGCACCTCTTCACGGTCAGCGAATCGTCTTCACTTAGCAGATATCTGACCTAATATCTTGACTACAAGCAATGTCTGTTGACGTGATCTGAATGATAATGCTGCCAGATAGTGATGATGTAACATTCTAAGTTCCTGACCATTGATTAAAACGTAAAAATATCAATTGTGAATACTGGTCTCATATCATAAAACACTTCACGCGGTGATAAATAAGTAACTTCCTTTCTTCTAGACCTTATCAACCATCAGGAATCGGAATGCCTACCGCGCCTATAGCAGGTATCATGGGTAGTGGATTGACTGGTGGCCTTTCACAAATTCCTGCATCGTGAGTTATTCATTCTCCATCCATTTCACATTAATATTTACACATTTATCCTGAAATACAATGAACATATACACAAAATTCACCATCCTCAGTTTTCCGATAGCATACTTAAAATTATTAGAAATATCATTCAGTGATTTCAGTGGGTTCATACGTCATAAGGTAGGTTTCATCATGAACTAACACCAAATTGAGGACCATTGAGGAATGAAAAGAGCTACAGAGTTGTTTCATCCTAATGTGTGAATTCTCGTCAATGCTAACTCATAACCGAAATAGAAATATTTTGTAGGTGGATGCACATTGTTAAGAAGAAAATAAACTATGTATCGTCAAACGTGTATCACTTTTGACTACAATGTATAAATCGGTTTTGTGAATACTAATTACATATCATGAAATAACCCATCCAATGAGAAATATTTGACCTCCTTTCTTATAGACCTTATCAACCATCAGGAATGGGAATGCCTACCGCGCCTGTAGCAGGTATCACGGGTAGTGGATTGACTGGTGGCCTTTCACAAATTCCTGCATCGTGAGTGATTCATTTTCCATTCATTTTTCCCTGTTAGTTAAATATTCACTGTAGGATATCTTGCGTTTATTTTCATGTGCTTTATTCTAGGGTATATAATTCTGTGTACAGTTCGATATTTCGAGTGACTTACAGCCTATATAATTATTATTTAACACTTTGATGTGAGTAGCAGATTATGATTCTCTGCTTCAGTACACAACTTCTGTGTGACGTCTTTTGTTTTTTTAACTCTCGATACTGTTTTCATTGGTTTTCGTGTTTCCTGGTTGGTGACATGTTTACATTTACTGAAACATACGAGTGTTTCATCACAGGAACCTTTTAAATTTATGAAAATAAAGCTTCACTACAATAATTGAATTTTTGAAGTCCTCAAATATGTGTTCACATCTTGAATTCAGTGAAAATATACCTGGTGTTATCAGGTGTTTAGTCATCTTTATTTTATCAGATGGAACCATGGAAATCATGCCTGTTTAGACTTCTGTCTGCATTCAGTTTCTATCCAACTGCCTGAAAACATGGTTGGTTATACATCCCAATGCTTTGTTAGTAATCTCTGCCTGTGTTATAAGCGCTGACTGCAGTTCACATGAAATGAAATTGAATATGGAGGTTTGTGAGGATTTATTGATTGACTCCAGTCATGAATCGATATCATTTGGAGAACTACTGGAAACCTAGGACCATAACACAACTGTTTTATTCTAGTAAAGGGACTCCTCAGTAGTGCGCACTCATGACTTCACACCACCAGGTTCCGTCGTCAGCATGTTACTCTTAAGCCACTGGGTTGTCATCAAGTAGTCCACATTTTCTAATTCTGTTCACTATGAATATTAAGCTGAAACTAAAAGCAGTCGTACTGAAAATAGTTTAACCCCCCTCCTACTGAAAGCCAGAAGTCTGCATGTTTTTCAATCAGTGGATAGCAATGTGATTTGAATTAAAGAGACACTAATCAGGGGAGAAGACATTTTCAGATGTTTATCATAACTGTACAGTTATACGGTATTTTAAAGATCTGATCAATTGTGTCAGCAAGGGTTGAAGGCTACTTCAGTGTGAAAATAGCAGGGTAAAAATACAAAGGCATCTAAGTGGTAATTTTGAAGTTTCAGTCGAGTGAACATATAGGCTGGTACAGCTGGTCTGAGATAATCATCTTTTTCTAACCAACATAAATTTTAAATAACAAGATAGGCGTTATCCAACTTCCCGAAATACCTCAACTTATGGATACTGTAAGAACATGTTGCTATAAGCGATCGCTAAATGTGGTCAGTTTCGGATTAATTGTCCTTCTAGAATACATTCCTGTATAATAATGGAAGACGGTTTTGAGATCACCTTAAAGATAAGTATATAAGGCTCTTTTAGAAAAAGAAATTGCAACACATATAGTCGAATAAGATAACACTAAGGATGCTGAATGGACCTGGTATCATTTTCAGTTTTCTAAAGAAACTGTAGAGGTGATTTGTAACTGCCCATCAGAAAGAAGTTAGAATTGATTTATACATTTCTGCAGTCTTTGAATACGACTGTTAGCGAAAATTACACAGATATAGCATGACAAAATTCAGTGCATTGACTATAAACATTGATTGAAAGCGAAGAATTAAGTGGTAGAGTAGGTATCGGTAACAGGTATTACCAGAAAGGTATTGGGATCGGGAAGCTAGTTTGAAATAGTCAGTATTTTCTCGAAAAATGTAGGGTAAAGTAGTTGAACATCTTGATCATCTTATGTACTTAGGAAATCATGTTAGCCTTGTTGCAGAAGTGAATGGTGAAATCTGTGTATCGACAAAAAATTTTCAATTAACGTTTTCCAAACTACACCATTTTTAGTTGCATCTGGATATATTAGAGGCATGAGAATCCTCAAGTGCTGATCTCAACTCATAGAGCCACCACGTTAACAACGTAATGATTATACATACATTCTGAGTTAAGAATGGTAAGGTTATCTATCAGTTTGTGGATTTTTATCTATGGGTGCAATATTGTCATACATTGTGCATTGTGGGACGCACAATTTTAACTTATTTGGAGATGGAAAGGTTAGTGAAGATTAAGGATTGATCAGATCAAGATATGACGCCGGATATTAAAGCTTCTTCCTGTTAGTTTCAGGTTAGATATTTTCAGGTTAAATTTCACAAGGAGACAGAAGTTGACGGCTGAAGACTTTATTTGATATGGTTAAAAATCAGTCAGTATGGTAAGGAATCATTCACACACCTCTCTCCACTCTGCCCATTGTTTCACATGTGATTGGTTGGAGCAAATATTGTTCTTATTGTTTTCTAGCTGTCCATAGTTATTGTTCGTATAATCTCGACTTCTTTTTTTACCTTCCTGTTAATCTGTTTCCTGATGCTCTGGTGTGATTTGTGGCAACCTGAAATGACGAGTTGGGTGTGCATGGCGAAGGTGACATGGAGGAGATTATGTGAGAAAGAAATAAGAGCTTGTGGGCAGTCGTGGAACGTGGTTAAAAAGACTGCAGAGAAGAGAGTGGAATGTAAGCAAGCTACTGAAGCTTTACATTCCACTAGGAAACCAAAAGGAAAAATAAAAAGTATAAATGTTAACATTTCAGTAAATGACAGTCAGATGAATATAATATTCATCTGGATGTCAAAATAACTCAGATTTTCTTCACATTGTTGTTGTAAAAGATAGCTTAAGATAACATTCAAAAAAGATCCTACTTCATATTTTACTGTTGAAATTCACTGAATTCGGTTAAAACTAGCAATAATGTGTGATTAAGTACATCAACCCACTATGACCGGCAGTACTACCTAGCATTCTACGTGCGATAAAAATGAAACGCGCAAACAAAATCCACTCTAAAACAAATCAGAACTTGATTCACTAAGTCCCTTTAATAAATTTCCAAAATGCTATTGGAAAGCGAAGATTATCTCAAAAATGTGATCCATTTGCGCAATACATTTCGAACAATCTGATCATACATCTACTTGTCAAGTCAATTTATAAATGAAAATCAAAAGGTCAAATATAGTGAATATGAAAAGGTTGTGACACTAGTCTTGGTAATATAATCACATAAGGATTACCAAGGTAAATTAAGTGAAACAACAAACTGTTCTTGTATGCACAGCTGGGGCTTAAGTTTACGAATGGTTAACACTTTGGCAAACTTCAAATGCCCCCCTGATTATTCCTGCATAATATCTTGAAGGCTGTTTTCGTATTAACCTTCTGATTCATTTCAATGATATGTTTTGCTATAGATGACGATAGATGTCTGTCACCTACACCTATCAATGTTTGTGTGTTGAATTACTTTTCAAGCCCACTTGGGTATGTGTTCACCCACTCTAGTCTGCATTGAACGATTACTCCTCCCTATGTATATGTGCCCGCACATACATGTAAATTGGTAAACACAGTGGGATGTGACGTTATCATTTATGTGAAGGCTGTCTGTGAAGGTCACTGATCCACGATTTCAATAACTTTTCTTTAGCTCCCTCCTTCGTTTCAATCATAACTAAAGTACAAAAATTGATAAATTTGATATGAAAAACTAGAGAGATGCCAGACATCACATAAGAAACAGATACATGAAGTTCAGTTAATCGGCATAAATTCTCGCTGCAACTATTAATATGAGAACTCGTAAGACGAATAAGATTTGAGACATTAGGATGTAGTTTTGAACATCATAAAGACTTATCGAATGGTCTTAGGAATGTGTGATTATATCTGCATGATTTCTAAAATCCCAGTTTCACTTATTCAGATGCAGTTTTGCAGTTCAAGTCCCTGAAAAACTTACAGAAGAATCCTGATGTTATAATTCTTAAGCCTGACAAAAGATCAGGTGTTGTGTTGATGGACAAAGTAGACTACAAAAATAAAATGTCGCCTATTCTTTGTGATGAAAGTAAATTCTTGGCAGATGCTCTGTCAGAGGATATAAGAAAATTAGAAAGAAAAGTAACAACTAGTCTAGTTAAACTCCTTAATATGGATGTTATTGCTAAAGTGGAGTTCAACTCCTTAAAACTGATTGGATCTAATTTTCCAAATCTATATGGACTTTCAAAAATTCACAAAATTAATAATCCACTACGCCCAATATTGTCAATGTGTCAGTCTCCCACACACAAATCGGTGAGATGCTTAGCCAAATTACTGAACCCGATTCGTAATGGTTTATATAAGTATTCACTGAAAGATACGTTTAGAACTTGTTGATTGTCTGACTGATTTGAACACCAAAAGTAAGAAAGTGTATTTTTTTGATGTCAACTCTTTGTTTCTGAATGTGCCTCTAACGAAGACAGTTAATATTCTTTGCGATTATATATCTTCAAATTATTCTTCTTTCCCTATTCCTTCAATTCATTTGAAAGAGCTCCTTTTATTATGTACTTATAAGGTTCATTTCACTTTCGAAGGTGAACACTTTCGTCAAATTGATGGTGTGGTCATGGGGAGTCCATTAGGACCGTTATTAGCTGATGCATATATGTCACATACTGAACTAATGGCTCAAGATTTAATCACCAATGTCACATTCTATAGAAGGTATGTGGATGATATCTTTGTAATATGTGACACATGAGGATGCCAAGAGTTTGTTAAAAAGGCTTAATACCGTACCAAGATCATATCAGTCTGATATATGAGGAAGAAAAAGCCCATCAACTTGCATTTCTTGATACACTTTTGAGCCGGAGGGGAGATGGATATGTCAGACGATCAATATACAGGAAGCCTACTTGGACAGGACAGTATTTAAATTTCTACAGTTTTTGTCCGATGAAATATAAGAGAGGCTTAGTAAGATGCTTGTTCAATAGAATCCAACGTATTTGTACATCTAATATGATGGATGATGAGAATAAACTTCTGACAGACATTCTAATGGAAAACGGTTATCCATTACAGTTTGTCAACCATTGTAAAAAACAGCTGGCTCCGAAGTCTATAGTTTCCTCGGTCCTGAAGAAAAACATATTTCTTAAAGTACCATACAGAGGGGAAACAAGCAGTATGATATTGAAGGAGAGATTAAAATCTGTTATCAGTAAAACATACTATGCAGCTCAGCTTACCATTGTTGAGACAACAAAACATTGGCTTCGCCACAAACCTCAACCTCACATAAATATGATAACGTCACATCCCACTGTGTTTACCAATTTACATGTATGTGTGGGCACATATACATAGGGAGGAGTAATCGTTCAATGCAGACTAGAGTGGGTGAACACATACCCAAGTGGGCTTGAAAAGTAATTCAACACACAAACATTGATAGGTGTAGGTGACAGACATCTATCGTCATCTATAGCAAAACATATCATTGAAATGAATCAGAAGGTTAATACGAAAACAGCCTTCAAGATATTATGCAGGCATAATCAGGAGGGCATATGAAGTTCGAAATGTATTGCGCAAATGGATCACATTTTTGAGATAATCGTCGTCTTCTGATAGCGTCCTGGCAATAAATCAGAGCGTCAGCCACCACCACAACTTTACCACCGGTGCGTGAAAAGAAAATGTAAGGGAGTCTGTGGACAATGTACTTATGCTGTCCCAATAACTGTCAGTGTATTTAACAGGGCTGATGAGAACACATTGTCGACATGTAGTTGTCACCCAATGAGAGTTAAGCCTTCAGAGCAGAGAAAAGAAAAACTAGTAACGGTTTGTAAACAGTCATGTAAGTTTTTTAAGATTATGGGAGAAACTGCAGGTAAAACTATGCAAAATTAGAAGTTTATAGTGCAACCTTAATCCAATTATTCCATGCAACATGCACTGAAGTAATCTACTCAGTTATTGTTGACCACCTTTGAAACTTTGCTACTCTCATTCAGACAAATATATTGCAATGTGAATGGAAAAAATGAATGATGATTGGAGTAATCAAATTTTACATAGGTTTTTATATTTATTTGATTCTGAAGTATGTGTACTGTTTATGTGTTCAAACTAGAACAAAGAAGCTGTCCAGTATTCTCTAATATTTATTCATTTACTAACTTAGATGAGTTGAAGAAGCAAATCATCATTTTGATTAGATTGATGTATTGCATACCATCCAGTTATTTTGTTGTAATCTGATGTTACTAATCACACAGTTCAGAAATCAGCTTGATTCTATTTTCAGGCCAATTATAAAATAGTCGTTTATCACTTGCGCTCATTTGAGTGCGTTTCATTACTGACCATATATAAAAGTGAATACACTTTTATGAAGCCGGTTATTTGCTTTGCTGTTTTCAGGAAATCCTCAACATCAGCATAGGCATATCCCTATCTCTCAGTTGGAAGTAAAATGGAAGTTAACATGGTTACTAGTCTCCCTCAAATACCCACATCATGAACTATGTTTTCTTGATTACATCCGCACTGGTAGTTTACTTTTTCTTTTCCCGTTACTCTCTATAGATAGTTTAGTTTATGCGGATACTAATGAGGAAGTTTCGTTGAACTAACAACTCTGCTTTTAAGTGAATTTTTTTAGATGATATAAAAGAGAGCATTTTAATTTCAATTAGTTCGAATGTATCCAAGACTAACCTTACTTTTATTTGTGATGCTTGTCAGGTTTTTTAGTCAAATAAAATTTTCTCCGAACCACTTTAGGGTACCCTTTATTAGTGGGCCACTTGAATTGATCAAGAAGATAACTACGAAGTGTATCAAAGTGAACAATAATTCACTATATTGTTACTGAGTGGACCAAACTGATAGGTCTTTATTGGCATTTCTACCCCTACGCGTATGCCTCGACGTTGCATATGTCTGAATTATGTAGTAATGATGATTAGTAGCTAGCAGTGGAATCCAGGTAGCATGTTTCATCCTACTTTGGACTCGTCGGCTGGACGTACCTACCTCCCAGTGAGTGATGTTGTCGTCACTAGGACTCGAACTGTGGACTTGCCGCTTCTAACGCGAGAGCGTTATCCACAAGTCTACTGAGTTTCAATAGCCATTTATTGTGCAACAGGTATAGTTTTGATGGAGGTAATACGAGCAACAACATTAAAACTACTCTCAGGGTACAAGAAATGGCTATCGAAACTCGGCGGACTAGTGAACTATGCTTTGGCTTTTGAAGCAGTCAGTCCCCATTTCGAGTCCTACTGGTGACAACATCGCTTACTAGGAGGCAGGTGCATCCAGCTGACGAGTCCAAAATAAAACGAAATACGCGTCCTGGAATCCACCACTAGCCGCTACCACTATCAATAAGTAACTATGATTTATCAGACTTAGTGTCTTCAAAACAGTTTGTCCCCTATGTAAATTTACATAAGGGGTTGAGAAGAAAAAATCTGTGAACTAGTGTCATTTCGTAGTTTCTCTACAATCCCATAAAAACTAACATAGTTTACAGTGAAAAGAACTTTTGCTAAAGTAGTATTAACCAGGGAGTGACACCAGCTAGTGAACTATGGAACATTTGGTAGCACTGCACTTCTGTTTACTCCTAGTTTGGAATTGCTCAGCACTGTATACCCACGACCTCGCCAGGGATCGAACTAAGTACCTTCGCTTCTCTTGATGTACTGTATGTATTCGTACTACTTTCTGGAATAATTATCCCAAGTGTTTTCTTTTATCCTCATCTCTTTTTTATCAGCACCAAACTTTGAATAAGACACTGGAGCTATTCTGTATACTACGTTTGATAAAATGGATCTATAAGAAATACTTCAAGACAGTGGATCGAATATTGTTAATTTATATCTACTTGACCACTGCATCAGGCTGGTCGGCTTTTTTTGCTATGCTAATCAGTCACTAGTCATACACATACCTCTCTAAGGCCTAATATTGTCTTCACACAGGAAACAAGATAACCTGATTAACAACATCACTTTACGAACCACATAGTTAAGAGAAAAGATGGCATACAATGGCGCCCTGAAGTAATACACACTTCAGTAACTACCAGGAAGATAAGACCACACTAACCTTTACTCTCTGTCTCTTTCCTCTAATCAATTTTCTCACCTTACTGCTAGGAAAGTATCCAACTTTTCCAAAAGTCTTAAATGAGAAAATTCGGTGCTTTTGAAAACGAATTAACTACTAAATAATTATTAACTTCCGTAATCATTACTAACTAGAACTTTTAATTCAAAATTGCATGGAAAGAACAAGAATTGCTATTGTAATGCGTAACAGACTCTTAAGGGTAGGATGGCCTTTACAGTTCCTTTGATTTGTACTTACATCTTTTTCAAATCGCAAAAAAACAGATTATCTCTACAGTACACTGAATTCCGACAAATCAGCTACGCGTTTGTGTTCATGAGGGTACACAGTTCATCATAAAAGTTTATATCAATAACCGATAGAATTATAATGATGCATTTATGTCACACGTATCGGTGATTATCCGTGAATCACTGAGTTAAACAGGCAGATATATGTCGATCATTCATTGATCGGATATCCATGTAGGAAGAAATCATTTGGAGATCTGCGAGTCTTTAAGGCTCGTTCTAACCTACAGTAAAAACCTTGTTGAAGGCGTTAATAAATTATGACACATCTAGGGTTGTCATCCGGATTCACATACTCCGTCTCATCAGTAAAGAGTGGTTTGTAGGAGACTCGGGGAAAAGATTTTAGTCAAGTTAGTTAATCTTTTATATAATCTACTTCCCTTTTTTTTTGGTTTGTACAGACCAGTTGCAACAAAACCTTTATCAATGCCTCCTGTAACAGTAGAACCAAACTATCCCAATAATGTACCTCGAAGCCTTCAAAAAATTCCTGCATCGTGAGTTATACTTTTTTGAATATGGATTTAGTCATGACTTCATTTATGTAGGTAATACTGTCGGGTGCATTAAAGTGCATCCAGTATGAACCACTTTTGTATGCAGTAATGTAACAATCTGTTAAGCGGTTAGTTTAACTTGAAATACACTCAGCACCCTGTACACATTCGTACAGTAGGCTATGAGTCACATCTATTGTGTCCGGGCTGGCTGTTCAAACCTCGGTAGGTGGAATGGTGCTCAAACCGATGACCTACTGGTTTGAAGCCAACTCGATTAACCGATGAACTACAACTCCGGGGTTAGTTTAACTAGGAAAATTATTGCTGACAGTTGTAAGCAGTAGGGAAATCGTCTGATCTTCCTGAATGGTCAGGTGATACAGTCTGGAATCGTCAAGTAAATATGGATTTCAAAGTCATTGACACACTATTCATGAGCAGTGACAAACTACTACTGCTACTCTAATTCAGCCTGACTATATATTCAGACTTATTCTATGATATAAGTGAAAAACTTGGGCACTGTGGTAGAATGTAATTCCATATTAGATTTCTTTATTTGATATAAAGCGCACAGTGATACAGTATTATTTACTTGATTACCTTTCGAGCATAAATTATTGCTCATAATCATATCAATGTAATCACACTTCTTTCGATATCCGATTTTATAGTCCTGTCACCTGATCTCTCTTTGTTTTTTGATTGGTAGTAAAGTTTTCCATATCTCTGGTATAGGTGTTGCGTCATTCCTATTACATGTGTTGGGTGTGGATTCGATGAACAAAGATTCAGTAATTAATCTCTCTCTCCACCTAGCTATATTAGACTTAAGTACAGTGGTTTTGTCCCACCCTATTGTGTGTTTGTGTGTAATGTGAATGTAATGCAATGGCTGAGTGTTTTTCTAGGTTATTGATCTTATTATGCATTGCATTACATTGCATTACATTCATTAACACACAACCACACAATAGGGTGGGACAAAACCACTGTACTTAAGTCTAATATAGCTAGGTGGAGAGAGAGATTAATTACTGAATCTTTGTTCATCGAATCCACACCCAACACATGTAATAGGAATGACGCAACACCTATACCAGAGATATGGAAAACTTTACTACCAATCAAAAAACAAAGAGAGATCAGGTGACAGGACTATAAAATCGGATATCGAAAGAAGTGTGATTACATTGATATGATTATGAGCAATAATTTATGCTCGAAAGGTAATCAAGTAAATAATATTGTATTATTCTATGATAGTTTTAAGGTCACTTTGTAAACAACAACAAATATTCTTTGAAGCTGACATATCTGTACAGACTTATGAATTGGATTACAGGTGAGTTTTCACACCTTCTGACTTCAAATAAAAGTGAATGGACATCTTTGCAGTGCTCGCTAGTATCAATTCTCCTTATATAGGAAAGGGATAATACAGTCTGTTTTAGTCAGCAATTATTTTTGATTGGGAGAATTAGACTCATTTGATAGAGATCATATTTCGTAAGACTGTGCTGGAGAAAGATAAGCGTCTGTAAACAAATAACTTCAAGTGAAATCTTGGCATGAATGCAGAAAGCTTCTTTATGTCTCTCGAAGCATTCGACTATTTGTGAAGAGGTAGATTTACTCTATCCAAGTTACGTTTGATTTTTGCGAAGGATGAGTAGCGCAGGTTGATACTTGAGAAAGTCGATTTTTAGTGGCAGTTATATTTATAATATAGGTGTAAAACTTGGGCACTGTGGTAGAAATTAATTCCATATTAGATTTTGTGTATTTGATTTATAACACACAGTGATCTAGTATTATTCACTTGATGACATTTTGAGCATAAATTATTGCTCATAATCATTTCATAGTTACATTTAAATTGCCACTTTCTTACGAGAGACACTACTCGTTATTCTAGGTAAAGGAAAGTGGAGATTAAAATGTTTCCTGTTAATATCACAAAAATGTGCTAAAAAGAACAGTGATAATTAAATTATGTTCGACCAGTTCGTTCAAGCAAGTAGCCAGGATATGGGTGGTTCGGACAATTTAATTGTCTGAGCTTAATCAACCAGGGTATCATGCTGATAAGATTGGTGTCAAGTGAGTGAAACGTCCGTCCAGTGTTTAAATCACCTTGATCGAACTGCCAACCACTGCTAATCAGTCTGTATGGTGTAGAAGAACTTATGTCAGGCAGTAGTATATTACATGCAGAAGTGCGGTAACTTCATTTTATACACAGCTGTGCCATGTCCTTTCTATTTCCATTCGTGTGTGTTACGAATGCCAAAATGCTATTCAACCTTATTGCACACTACTGATCAGACTACGGCCATGTAAGAAAAGGACCATACATATCTAGCCAACATAGACCTAAACTATGAGGTCGCTAAGTGTTGATCTCTACCATATGGAAAAATTACATATTCCTTTTCTGAGCATTCGATATGAGAGTCGACAGTGAGGTGAACTAATGAAATGGTTTCATCTTCAAATCAATATTTTCCTAAGTTTCTGGGTTTTGTTTTTAAGATATTAAAAAAAGCAATTAATATAAACCAGTGTCGTTCGTTTGAGGTGATGATTTTTTATGTTTGCCTATCTATTCATTCATTGAAAGTGAATAGCTACATGCACTGAATTATGTCGAACATCTGTCTACTACCCGGCTACCAGTGAAGGATCAACATATCACGAGAAGGGAAGTGCATAAAATATCTTGTATCTAGACAGATACCCAGAAAGGTGAATAGAAAGGCAGTTGGTAGTAATAGAGAATACCGACACAGAGAAATATTTCAGAGAGGACCTGTATAACATAATGTTCATGGAAATAAAGACAGGAGTGCAGAAATCCAACCTAAGATATTTGCACGTGAAGGCTTATTTCTGTTTTCAATAATTCTTGTATTACTCGAGGAATAAGGTGGAAAATATTTCGAAAATATTATATAAAAAGTATAAAGTAAGCAAAATTCAACAAAATGGTGAAAATCCCCATGATACGAAAGAAACAGAACCTACATATCGCAGAAAAGGACAACAAACTTGAGGAAAAAAAGCAAACAGAAAACAAGAGAAGAACAGAAACAAAAATTACAACAAAATTGTAAACATATTAAAGAAAGTATAATCAAAACGTATGAAACCACTAATATTGTTAATGAAGATGCGGATTTGCATGTTACCCTGTCAGTGGATGTAACATTGTTGGTGGGATTGCCTTGATCAGTCTCACACTGCAGTTGGTAAAGCAGTTGGCTGAGGTGAAATACTTTCTGTTGATAGTGTGAGGACGAAGGTAACCAGTGTCTGCGTGCTGACCACTGGTGGTGTATGCAATTCATACCTCATGTATGTTTTTGAGTGCCAGTATCCGTAATTTATTGATATGGTGAGGCATATGATGGGTAGCTGTATATCTGCCAGTGCAGGTGAATGCCTGAAGGCCTCGATGACTTTAGGTCTGTTTGGTCTGATGTTTAGCTGGCACGATATGTGCATATGTGCAGGTCTGTGCAGGTGACGCAAATCGTTCAGTGTTGAAGATAAGATTCACATGTGGATCTTGTCGAGACACGAGTGGACCAGACAAGTTTGAAGGGTGGAAGACAAGCATGCGAGATTGCAGGTGAAAGACGACATGTGTGGATGATGGAAGACAGTTTACTCGACTTTTATTCAGCACCATGCGTTGACACCAATTCCGTCCACAGTTTTCAGCAGAACTGTGAAAACCTCGAACAGACGACTGTGCATACTGGTCATATGCCACAGACATTGCCCATTCAACTGACTGAAGACTCAGTCACTGCGATATGGAGTGGATGGTGACTAACAGTCATTCCGAAGGTGTTGGTGTATTCATGCGTGTATTGCGTTTTGTAGATGAGTGGATTTATCGGACTGGTTATTTGATTTCCCGTTTGTAGGTCAGTTCCAGCCTCAGTCATGCCAGTGTCTGTTTCCTCAAAGGGAAACATGATGCCGCTTGATGTGGTCAGCGGTAGTGCACAGATGCCCTCATCGTGAGTTACGCCTTCTTGATTGCTCCTCACTCGTGTTGCACGGTTTACTGTCAAATGCACTTCACTCATTTCTAACACTCACATTTTTGTGAAGACATTTTGATGAGCGTATTTCGACGGGTGTTGAGTAACTGACATTCGAGTTAGACAAGTTGAGGTGAATGAGCCTTTTGATTCTTGTTTGAGCATCTTCTTAGTTTTTTTTAGATTTCATCTGAATTTTTTCCTATGTGGCCTAGTTTATGACTACCTGCCTTTCAATGCGTGTCGTGTGAACGTGTGTTTTTGTACACTTTTTTTGTCTTTTGTATGTTCCCCATTTTTCCCTGTTTTCCGTTTTCCTGGTTTACTTTTCCCCCCTCTTTTTCATATGTATTCTTATTTTGCTTCTTAGTGTTTGTTTTTCGCCTGTCCTTTCCTTTTTTTCTTGGGTCTTCTTTATCACAGGAATCTTCACTTTTTTATCTTTTCGTCATTTTTAGGTTGCAGTTTTTTCACGTATTTCTTGATTTCTTTTTCACCCTGTTTTCCTGTTTGTTTGAATATCATGTTTTCACTGTCCCTTAACATGGCAGCTTTATCGATCTTGGTTATAGCCTAGTCGTCTTCGTGTGCTCTTTCTCTCCCTTCACTGACGATAACGTGTCAATGACATGTGCAACATATAACTGTTCATTTCCAATGCAACTCCTTTTTCTTTGTCTGACTATATAATTCCAGTTTAACGGGAACCTATACACAGTGATTAAAAGAACTATATTTGATCAGTGATATCTGGTTTAGTTGCGGAAACACTAATTAAGAGAATTGGAACCATCATTTTGCACTTAATCTTACCGAAATTTCGGATCAGCTATTTGGTCGATACTTAATCATCTCTAAAACGGATAAAAAATCAGAAATCACTTACAGTTTGATTGATAACATTCTTAACAACATCAAATTCACAATGGAGAAGGACTCGAACAACCAACTGCTATTCTTGGATGTTTTAGTCAGTGTAATCAGAGCCTGAAAATTCGATACACAAATGTACATGATATCAACACACACTGATCAGATCCTGAACCACAGAAGAAACAACCTAACTGCTTGCGAAATTAGTTACTTAAAGACTTTATCTTAGTAAGCAAGATCACTCATGAATAACAATAGCTTCACGCAGGAAAAAAGTATACTACTTAGTATCTTTCCTGAAGAAAAGCGGTTACCCACGAAACTTCATCCGGTGATGCCTATCGCGTTCATCATCAACTACTAAGTCATCCACGAAAATCATAGAATGGATCATCCTACCGTACAAAGAGAACATATCAGAGATCAGGACAGGAGTACTGAAATCACTTGCAATTTGTCTTGGCTAATCAACTGACTAATTCCTTTAAAACTATATTATCCAAAACAAAGTATGCGATATGCAAATATTTTTTTTACAAAACCAACTACAGTGGACAGTGTGGTCGCGTTCTTCGCCTTCGTTTGTCTGGACATCAGTTGGCCATTACATGTCATGACATTTCATCACTCATATCAAAGCACGTGGATAACTATGAACATGAATTTACCTGTCAAAATGTAGAGATCATGATCAGAAGGCACACAATGCATACCGCAGAATTCCTAAAAGCTTTCAATTCAGGTCAGTCAGTCTGAAGTCACTAGATGCATAGAAACAGACCCAATCTATCAATTAATAAGAAAAACACTAGACAACTACAAGTTCAGAGATCACGAGGAGAAACAGCCAACAGTAAAATCTGTGTAGTTGATGACACAATAGTCAAAGGAAACTATCAATTACAAACCACTTTATCACGGAAGTTACTGATTCACTCACGGAGAAATATTGTTAGCTGACCTCATACTGAAGTTAGTACTGATGATGTGTCTAGATAGGTGATAAAAGTTTCACGATAAAACCACCCAGATTAGAGAACGTCACATCCCCAAGACCATCCACCTGAGCATTAAACATTCTCCACTGTTTCGAATATAATTTTACGCTTCACAGTTTGTTACGTATTATTTTCTCTTTTACTCCACAGCCTTTAACCTTATATTTTCACGTTTTTGTTGTTCCTTTTTTAGACTTTCTCAGTCTTTCTCATACCAATATCCTTTTTTTCCACCACTTTACTCCTTTTTTCTCTGTTTTTAACCTTTACTTAGTTCCTTTTCCAGTCTTTTCTTTAAGATAGGTATTTTGGCTCATCATTGTTTTCTATCTTGTTTACTTCTATACGTTTCTTTATAACCTTTTGTGAAACCAAGTCTTTAAGTGTGAATTAGCATTAATCCCATGTCTTTACCAGGACACAACGTCATTTTATCGGTGAATAACTGGGACTTACGTATTCCTAAGATACGCCTAAAGATTTGTCTGTTGTCAACCGGTGGTTTTTCGGGCGACTTTAGAGTCCACCATAGCGATGATCGAAGCGACCAATTAGGTTTCTTTATTTCGGTCGGAAAGCCAGATTTTCATAAAATAGATTACTTTGATTGGTCACTTCAGTTGTTGTTAGGGTGGCCCTTAAAACCGGTAAGTTTTTGTGATTACTTAGTCAGAAATATTGTCACCTTGACTGACGCAGGTGGTTTCAACACCGGATGACTTCTACTCGTATTAGTCTCTCCTGAAACTTGGAGTGTATTCAAAATTCAACATTTTCTAAAAGCTCTACAATTTTTATAGTGATGACTGAACTTGAAAAGAAATCCTGATTTTGAACTTACTGCCTATAAATTATACAATGGATAGCATTTTCAGCTCTTCCATTTACCGAACAAAGCAAATTCAAACATTTTAGGTGATAACCTGTTATATCCCTATGAATTATATAAATACAGCTAAGCTTCATTGAAACTGTCTCTGAGACTGATTGTTGTTAGGTCTTGAGACGAAGTTTTCATAAAAGCAATGAATAATTTTCATTGCTGTTATTATTATTATTACTAATAGTACGAAATTTATGGTGAAACGTGGGATATGAATGCTTCCGCTCTAAATACAAATAAACCTCATGTCACAGTAATCTATACTGAAAAAAATACCCATTACTGATATGAGAGACTGATTTGATCAGTCGAATATAAGCTCATTTTGAATATGTCTCGGTATCGCCAGAAAAATTATTACAAGGGTTTTACATTTCATAGTAGTTAGCCATATGATTCTAGACATGAGTTCTTCCCTTTTTATTTCAGGCCTATCAACTGAGTCTATTTGTACTGATGTTGGTGTCCTAAGTTAGACTTCAATCCATTCCACATCTCTTCTTATGTGAAAGTATTATCTACATGTCTATTCTGTAGATCTACTTCATATGAAGTGGATACTAAAAGATTAGTGAATAATTCTCTTGCATTTTAAAGGATGGGTTATTGGTTCGAGGCTTTGTTAACTTCTACTAACTATTTCTTAATAGTAAGATATGTGAATCCTGAAGTCCTGTGCTATCTCCCCTGAACATATTTGAAACTGCTAAGATTTCTGTCACAGACAAAATCATTCTTGAATCGTTCAATTAACACATTAACAAAGCTTTTTTCATTGTAGTAGTTCCTGAATTCGATGATTATTTGTTGCTGAATGTCTTCAAATGCCATCTTACTCTTCATGATCGGAACCTCTGAGGAATTATCAAATTTTTTCATTTCTTCATGTTTTCAGGTCATATACACAATCAGGCTTACAAATGCCATCTGGAACACTAGATAGTAACTTACCCAGCAATGTGCCTAAAGGTTTATCACAGATCCCCCCATCGTAAGTTATTCTTTGTAGATTATCTTACTCAACAGTGTTGCATAACAACATGGGTTATGTTATCCTCTCCTACAACCCACTGACACTATAATCTTTATTTTAGCATACTAGGTATGTACTATACAATATGATCTGTCAATTCCCGATGGAGACGAATAAGCTATAACATCAAGAAAACTAGATTAAATTTTCATTCAAATTATCACAAGTATATTCAGAAAAGTAGCCTAATTGCTTGTGCTATACCGTCGTTGATTGGACCGAATTTATCGGTCTACATTGGCATATGGGCTCATGTGCGGAAGCCCAGATATTACCTGTGTTCTAATCATAGTAATGATGGAAATGGCTAGCAGTGGAATCCAGGATGCGCATTTTGTCTTATATAGTACTCGTCAACTGAATGAACCTGTCTCCCAGTGAGTGATGTTATTCCTACCGGGATTTGGATCGATCAATTCGGTCTAATCAACAACAGTATAATGCAAGCAATAATATTAAAACCATTCCCGTCGCACAAGAAGTGGCTGTCATGGTTCGGTGGTGCAGTGGATAACGCCCTGGCGTTCGAAGTGATCGCTCACTAGGAGACAAGTACATCCAGCTGATGAGTCCCAGATGGGACGAAATGCGGATCCTGCATTCCACTGCTAGCCACTATCCATCATCACTATGTTCAGAAAATGTTTAACCTTTGTAGGGTTTTGCTTCTTCAAGTATACTCATTTATACTTTCACACAATTAGCCCCCTTGATAGACTTGAATATTTCGGAATACGAAGACATTATTGATTTCAAAGGGTTTTCATCAGCTGCGCACAGTCTAAATAAACAATCAGTATACAACTGTGAAGGTACATATAGGTTCTTGTGATACTAGTTCAAGGAGTGAAGAGGTAGAACGACGGCTTCACGCCCATATATTTGGCCAAATAAGATACACATTTATACCAGGGGGTATGATTGTTTTAGAATATGTGAGCAGTAACTTGGGTATTTTCCCCAGGTGGTTACGTAATCACATGGAAATCTACGCACTGAACAAAGATAGATGACTAAATCAAGTGAACGTAATACTGGTGGCAGTTGTAAAAGATTCCGATCACAGTAGCGGAAAAAAATACTAGTTTGACAATGAAGAAGTGTTATAGTGTGGAAAAAGATTATCAAAGTCTTCATAAGTAAGCATAAACCATTAAGTCCCCTTTTTAACCAATCGCTTCGCTTCGAGGTTTCGTGAAAAACCACGTGAAACAACGTCTAAGTATCAAGTTGGTTGAAGAGATGAAAAATCAATCGAATTTAAATCTTAAAGGCCTGGAAAAAGCCACAGCCATATATAAACCTTGTATTTTATTTGACGTTACCAATGGAAATACACCCTCTGTTATATTACTGCCTTTTCCATCAGAAAAGAACTGAGCGACCATTAAGGGGATGGAATTTTAAAGTTATTGTACAACCATCCATATATACATAAGTCAGGCTTTACCGGGTCAGTGTACAGATATATAAAAGTAGCGACTGAAGTCACAAAAAGAAGATAATTGAAGACCGTCTTTGACTATTTATTCGACAAAAGTACATAGTTAATATACAGTTTCGATAAACATACAAAACTATCAGGTCAAAAGTCGGATATCGATTTCGATTAGTCAACTGTAGGATAAGGTTCTTCTCGACCACACAGTAACATAAAACCAAAGTTAAAATCCAAAACTACAATATTAGCACCTAATGACTTAAAATATTGATTTCCATTTAAGCTACTTTTTATAATTACGCTATAAAAGTATATCATTACCACTTTTTCAGGCCTTCTTTCGGTTCATTGGTCCTCATTTCATGCTGTTTCATTAAGTGACAGTATTAAAAAGGTAATATTCACATTCCCTGATATAAATAACAGGGGGTTCAAGGGCACTGGTAAAAACTAAAAGCCGTTGTCATAACGCTAAGCGTTTTGAAGAAAAAAAACAACCCTAAATCAGCTAAGATGCAAGTGGTTTGATACTGACCGGTTGACTGAATGCATCTAAATCTTTGTGAGTATAAATTATCTGCATAAAGATAGCTAATTTATTGGCTGTTATAACTACACCTACTTATTTTCTACCTTGTAAACAATTATTCATCACATAATATATTAATTCATTTAACCTTTTAGCCCTTCAGTCAATACGCTACAGAGAGGCAATATATTCAATTTTGAAACGAATATGCCAACCAATCTTAATAATGCAACTATTGAACGACCTCCTCAGTAGCTCAAAAATTCAATACAAGAGAATAAATAAATTTTTGTCTAGTTTCTCAAGTCCAAATTGAACTACCTGATATTAATCTATGCCTATTTTTTCTGTGCGTATGCATGATATAAGTGAATATGTGCATGCTTGCTTGCGCATATGTGCTACTTATTGCTTGTTAATATTTATGACCATATTAGTATTATTAATAATGAAATATAACTTATCAGTTTATCATTGCATTCTAGAGAATTAACTTTTTTCTACACTTGTTTGAGTTTAAAGGGAGAAGTGGAATATGATGTTTAACCGAAAGGTTTGTGACCTTACCTGGATCAAAAACATGGACGTCAGTACTTATTAATAACACAAGGTGTTGGCTTATGTAGCGAATTACTGGAGGATAGAAACTGACTAATGAACTGCCGTGTAAATATAGTATTATTGATACAAGACTTTGGTTTGACTCCGTATTTGAAGTAAAGAGTGTTCACTACTACCCATTGGTCCTTAGTTTTCATAGTTCTTCATCTATCCTTGCCTTCAAATCGATCTTATTGGCATGAATCACTGTTAGTGTTACACAGCAAAATATTTTGTTGTTGGTTTGTATAACTAAATTAATCAATCTGTTGTAATATCAGCTTCCAGTATGGATACCTAAATTCTATCAGGATACTATTTGACACTAGGTAGCAATGGGAACTTCCATGTGAATTTCAACGTATTTTAAAAAAATGTCTGTTGATAGAACGTATATATGTTGTATGTTGTTAGGTATCCCCCTATGGGACTATGAAAGGAGCAGTGATCAGTTTTGACTTACAAGAGATACTCAGTAAGCTAGTGAGTTGGTGAAACCAATCCTTGACTGAATAGGATAAGATGTACGTTTTACTTTCTACAACTTCCCAGCATAAGATGAATCATGCAGATAAGTTATTGACTACTTCCAGAATTTCTGAGTGAGACAGTTTTCACATGCCTTGGATAAGACACTACTCCAAAGCCCTTTGTGAACACAAGAATTATGAGGTTTTAACACTAAATTCGTTATTGACTGGGAAGAGTTGGACAACTGTTGAAACCTGGGATCACTGAACATCTCTTTCGTTCAAGCTTCTCGACGGTTCACCAACTCCTGTCAGTCCTGGATGAACAGTACCTTGGAATCAGGCAGTACCTACAAATCATCAAACTCAGTAACTGTCTAGCACTCATTATTCACTTGCTTCAAAATGAGTTTCCTTAAGTCCGAAAGAAAAGCCATGACAACCTAGTAGGGTGGGAAGGAGAATACTCGCTTATGGCATTGGATGGTGGTAACGCTATATTACAAACTGACAGCGTAGGAGAATATGGATCATTGGATAGTGGCCGGGTGGTTGGACAGCAATATATTCACCAACACACCTAAGTCTTCGGTTCGTTCCTTCGAGAGTGCACACTTCCGAGGAGTTTCATACCTGAAAATACAGCCGTTTGATGCTCCCAGGCTTTTCAACTCAGGTAAGTCCATGATGAGTCCTAAGTGTAAGTTAATCGACCCCCAAAGCCCTATATTGGCATGTTGGATTACCAAGGAAATGTAAAGCTTTAACCACGAGTAACCGACAAAGACAAGCTAGAACTTGACATATGCGTAATGATTATTATTCAAGATGATATATTTCACAATCAGGATGAAGAGGACGAAACATTTAAGAAAAAAAATGGTTAGGAGTGAATACAATGGGGACAAGCAGAGAAATAGACGTCAGTTTGTTAAAATAGTTACTGGGTAACTGGGCACCATTCATGAGACTTTAAGCAATAAAAATTAGGATTGACGGCTTGGTTTAGTTGACCGAAGAATTTCCAAATCGAGGTGTGGTTACCGAATAGCTCAGGAGAACATAGGTAGAACCAGGGGAAAAGAACTGTTTTGAAAGTTGCTGGAACGAAAAACCTTTATCATAGTTGGACAAAGTATATGAGACCAGCAGTTAGTAATTCGAAAATCCAAAATTTGATAAACCCAGTTATTCAGTGAGGAAACGTTTTGTGCTTTCCAAAATATTTTCAACATCGAAATACACACTATTTGTCGTTAGATAGAAAAAGATTACACCACAAGTGAAATAAAGTTATAAGTTCTCTTTCAATGCTTTTTTACAACGGAAAGGTAGAACTTTGAGAGATTTTGACCATCTTTTCGTGTTCACTAACTGACTAGCCTTTCAGCTTGAAGGTTTGTGAGGATTTGCTGACTTTAGCTTGGTATTCATCATGAACTGACATTTAGAGCTCATTAGTGACTCGCTTCGAGAGGTGATTCTCAAAGTTTCATTAAGAAGTCATGACCAGTGTGGGGGCAACTAAGTTGAATATGAGGACAGATACCTATCGACGATACTGCATAGAGATCGCTATATATTGTGAACAGACAAATATAGGAAGTGCGGACCACTGCATTCTGACCCAGTGGTTCAATGGTAACGTACTGGCCAGGGAACAAGAAGATCCTAGGTTCGAGGTCAGTGGGGCGATGGGTGTGCACTGATGTGTCCCACATTAGAAAGAAATAAGTGTCCAGTACTCTCAGGTTTCAAACGTATCTCCAACTGAAGTCAGTTCTTGATCAATACCAACCTGATTCCATGAAAGGATTTATAATAACATAGGTGCTACTGAATACACACACGACAACCTACAGCCATTTCTAGTTGGACTTCGTCTCGCTATCCACTGTTATTGGAAGCAAGTATTAGCAAATTTTGATGAAGACTAGATTAGGAGACTGAAATGTGATGACTGTCGGGAAAAATTGATTTTTGCTGTTTATTGACTAAATCATTAGGTTTGATAACAAAATCTCACGTAGATCATGTTTCTTAGACTTTCAACATAAATAGTTATATAGCATTAGAGTTAATATGTTTTATATTGATTTCAGTCATGAAGAGATGTATCACTGAAAACTACGTGCAAAATTAAAGTCTGATTTACCTAGCTATGTCACTCGAACAGTGTTGACTAGGAAAATGAGGATTTTTCTCTATGATATGAAAGTCGAAAAACAATTCAAAGACTTTTCCATAAAATTAACATATTACAAATAATGTATTTTTGAGACAAATGGAAATTTTTAATTTAGAAGTATATTCACCATGGACTGACATCAGTTGGAGGTCCATTGGGAATCTGCTTCAGTAACCCTAACCAGTCTGAAGTGAAGTGGATGCTAATTGAAGACCTTGGGTGATAGTCGCGCAATTTATAACTGGTACTGTAAGAAATGACTTAGACTGAGATGCAGGACAGAATGTTTATTGACAGATCTTGTACAGTACGGATGAAATATTGTACACTTTCCACTAAAATTGTCATTTGTACAATGCGTTTCATTTCCTCTTCTGCTTCTATCTCAACTTGCTCTACATACGCCCACATTGTCTCTTACGTTTCTCTCGGCAGAATATTTACCCATCGATGGTAATTGTGCATGATTTCTGCCAACCTCTCAACATACAATTCCATTTTAGTCTGCTTATTAGAAATATCACACAGTGAAACAGTAGCATTTACTGGATAACGTTTCGGACACAATTTATTATCCATATTCATATCAGGTAACTAAAGCCACAACTTCGAGACAAACTTTATATATTCCTAATTATCCCTCCTTCTCTGTGATGACAAGGGTAGTGGAATCCTGGATATATCTGGGACAGGTGTAGAATCATTTCGAATGCATGCATTCGGTGTTGATTCGATAAACAAAGATTCGGTTATCAGTCTCTCTCCACTCAATTAAGTTAGTTTTCAACAATGTCACTCTATCCCACCCTATTGTGTGATCAATCAATCTTAAGAATTACAAAGTTTTTAAAGTCAAGAAGTCAATAAAAACAGCAAAGTTGATTCTGGAAACACACACATCAAGTTTCAGTATTTTTACTTCCAGAGCTTCATCAATTTGAAAAACACTTCCTGACACCTTGTATTACATCACTTTTCATTTTGTACATAGTACTGCAAATGAATCTTCTGCAACTTTGTATCAGCTATCAACGAAGAGTCTTAACCTGAAGATTCGGTTATCACTCTCTCTCTCCACCCAACTAAGTTAGTTTTCAACACTGTCACTCTATCGTACCCTATTGTGTGATTGTGTGTCATCGCATGCAGAGCTATAGCCGAGCTTTTCTCTAGATTTCTTATCTTATTAGGATCGACTAATCTTGATTTAGCTAAGCTTTTGGGGATTGTTATGTCATCAACCCTGGTCGACTGCTTTGACCTATGTATTTGACCTCGCAATGATTGCAAGGGATCTGTCTGGCAAGACAGCTAATTTTGCTCAATTGCATCGATAAGATCTTGTAATCTAGAAAGCTTGTCTGTAAGCGAGTTTATTGGTGTAAATGCCCACCACTTTAATCCCAGTCAGCCTTATTGAGAATTCTTCGTAATGCTTGTGAGGTGTCTTCCTTGTATGGTAAGACAGCAGAGGCTTTGAATTCTCTCTTAACCCTGTCACCATTATTGCCATTAGTAGTGGAATTATTATTAATAACACCTGTATCAGTACTACTACTGCCAGTATTTTGTTTTCGATTTCTTATGAATTTATTGATAAATCTTGGTGGTTGGCTATGGCTCTGCATGCGATGACACACAATCACACAATAGGGTGGGATAGAGTGACAGTGTTGAAAACTAACTTAGTTGGGTGGAGAGAGAGTGATAACCGAATCTTTGTTTATCGAATCAACACCGAATACATGCATTCGAAATGATTCTACACCTGTCCCAGATATATCCAGGATTCCACTACCCTTGTCATCACAGAGAAGGAGGGATAATTAGGAATACATAAAGTTTGTCTCGAAGTTGTGGCTTTAGTTACCTGATATGAATATGGATAATAAATTGTGTCCGAAACGTTATCCAGTAAGTGCTACTGTTTCACTGTGTGATATTTCTAATAAGCAGACTAAAATGGAATTACAATCGACCACAGTAGCCAAGTTTTACTCTTATACTCCCAAACCATACTACTTATATCCATTATAATCATTAGCGCCTGCTACAGTACTACAGTTTATACACTTGTGTATCTTGAAATATTCCCTCTGAGTCATAAAAGTAGTAAAACTTCAGCGGACAAATTTTTTCAGTGGTACTATTCGTAGATGCTGTACAATTGCTACTTCGTGTATGTGTATCATTTCCTCCATTTCAATGAAGCTAAGTGCGTAGTTTGTGCACAGATAGGCAATCCAACATTGATACCAAACGCCTTCCAATGTAGTATAATTAAGATGAATCAGCAGCTTCAGGTTAAGACTCTTCGTTGATAGCTGATACAAAGTTGCAGAAGATTCATTTGCAGTACTATGTACAAAATGAAAAGTGATGTAATACAAGGTGTCAGGAAGTGTTTTTCAAATTAATGAAGCTCTGGAAGTAAAAATACTGAAACTTGATGTGTGTGTTTCCAGAATCAACTTTGCTGTTTTTATTGACTTCTTGACTTTAAAAACTTTGTAATTTTTAAGATTGATTGTGCTTTTATATTTTCAAGCTGTTGGTACCTCGACGTTATTATTTTAGCCACTTATTTCACTCTCATTTTCCCGTACTTACAGTCTTACACATTCTTCAATTCTTGGCTTCAACTTACACGTACGTATTCATGATGTCAAATATATTTTAAATATTTTTTGACATAAACAGAATTAAGAGTAGTATTCATCATGAACTGACATCAGTTGGGGAACCATTGAAAATCTGGAAGCAATGGACAGCTGTTTCGTCCTAGTATGGGACTCTCAGCAGTACGCACCACGACCCGGCTAGGGATCGAATTCAGGACCTTCAGGTTTCACGGCGAAAGTGTTAACCATTCAGCCACTGGGTCTGTCTTCAGTGGTTCACAATTATCCAACTTCTGTCAATTCACGATATAGCACGACTACCACTCAAGGTCTTCAGTTAGCATCCACTTCACTTCCGTCTGGTTGACTCCACAGGTCACCACTTCTCATTAGAGCTTCGTGATATCCATGCGGAGGCAAGTCATATATATATATATATATATATATATATATATATATATATATATATATATATATATAAGCTGTATTTTCCTTCGTTTTGGAGTCTACCGACCCGATACATATTACTACACCTATGTTGTGTCTGGGTGATAGTCGCGCGATATCGTGAATTGACAGAAGTTGGATAATTGTGAACCACTGGAAACCGACCCAGTGGTTGGATGGGTAACGCGTTCGCCGTGAAACCTGAACGTACTGAGTCCGATCCCTAGCCGGGTCATGGGTGCGTACTGCTGAAAGTCATATACTAGGATGAAATAGCTGTCCATTGCTCCCAGATTTTCAATGGATCCCCAACTGATGTCAGTTCATGATGAATACTACTCTTAGTTCTAGGAAGTTTCCTAGGAATTTGCGAAAGCAGATGGAATAGGAGTGGACTCTCCAAACTGTCAACTGGAGAATCAATAATCTACTCTGATATCGTCACCCACACGACAACCACCAACACAGGGAGGGAGTGGCATCATGATGTCTGCAACCAAGAGCATCGAAGGTTGTCTCTCTCATGAAGTGGGAACCAATCTCCTCCTGCAGGATCATAACAGCAAGGTCCAACTCAAAAGGAAGGAAGGTCAAAATCATACAATGCTACGCACCTACATATAATGCAGATGAAGACAAGAAGGAGGAATTCTACAGACAACTTCAATCAACACTGGACAAGACCTCACCCCAGTTGGTAACATCAAAATTCTAATGGGTGGGATGACATGAATGCCAAACTGGGAGCAGACAACACAGGAAGAGAACTAACAATGGGTCGAGAAGCGCTCGGTGAAATGAATGAGAATGGAGAGTTGTTTGCAGAATTCTGTGCATTCAACGATTTGATGATTCGAGGTGAGGCAGTGTGTTCAAGCACAACGATACCCACAAAGCGACATGGATTTCACCAGACGCCAGGATACACTAAAATTCAGATTGACTTTATCTCAATCTGAAGAGAGTGGAGACGCATCCTACCTGACACAGGTCAAGAAGGGGAGCAAATGTAGGTTCAGACCACTATCTAGTGCAAGGAACCTTCCAAATCAAGTTAAAAGCCTTCAAGGAAGCTGGTGATAGACCACAGCTCAAGTACACCACTCGGAAACTGAAGGACAAAACTACAAGAAAATCTTCACGGCAGCCATCAAGACAAAACGGGAGATATCAAGCAACATCCCTGTAGAAACCTCTGTGAAAGAACACTGGAACTCTTTGAAAGAGATGTGGAAAGATACCTGCATAACCGTGTTAGGAAAGAAGAAGAAAGAAGACAAGGAACGAATCTTGACGGATACATGGAAGCTGATAGAGCGATAAGAGGAAGATGATGAAGCAGAAGATAAACCAGTGCAAGGATGAACAACAAAAAGAGGAACTGTACACAACCTATAAAACATTACACTGGACAAAGAAGTGAAGAAGAGTGCGCGCAAGGACAAAAGATACTTCTAGGACACATTGGCAAGTGAAGCAGAACGGGCTGCAGGTAGGAGAGACCTAACCACATTGAATCAAATAACCAGGTTACCATCTGGAAAGAGATCAACGCAGAGGAAACCAATAACAGATGATGAAGGAAATTTAATTACGAAGTTAGAGAAACAAAGGAAACAATGGGTTGACCACTTCAAGAAGCTCTTGAACCGACCACCACCTGCACTTAGTCCAGAAATACCACTTACAGCCGCTGAACTACCAGTGAACATAAATCCTCCAACAAAGATGGAAGTCCTGAGCGCCATAAAGCTACTGAAATGTGGGAAAGCAGCAGGATCAAATGGAATCCCGCCAGAAGCACCGAGAGACAACAGCGGTCATGCTCACAATACACCACTATTGCAGAAGGTTTGGAAGGAAGGGAAGGTACCTGGCGATTGGAAGAAGGGCTATCTTGTCAAAATCCAGAAGAAGGGAGACCTCAGTGTTTGCAAGAACTGGTGCGGAATCACTCTCCTGTCCACCCCAAGGAAAATATTAAGCCGCATCATCCTCGAGAGACTAAAGGATGCACTGGATTCAAAACTACGACTGGAACAGGCTGGCTGGATTCAGGAAGTACAAATCATGTGAGGACCAAATTGCAACGCTACACTACCCATCATCATAGAACAGAGCATAGAATGGCAGTCAACTCAACTTTACCTCAACTTCATCGACTTTGAGAAGGCCTTTGACAGCGCCGACCGACAAGTAATTTGGAAACTGCTTCAATACTACGGAATACCACAAATATTTATCAGTCTCATTCAACAACAGCTATATGAAGACGCCATATGCCAGCCAAGTAATTCACAATGGGAAGCTCCGTGATGCCTTTGAAGTGAAGACAGGAGTAGGAGTGAAACAAGGCTGCCTACTATCACTCATGATATTCCTGATTGTGGTGGACTGGATCATGCAGCAGCCAGTGGGGAGCGAGAAGAGGGGGGTACGCTAGCTGGACCGCGGAAAAGAACCTAGAAGACTTGGTTTTCGACGATGACTTGTGTCTGATGTCACATAAATTTGAAGATCTACAGGCGAAAACTAACAAGTTGACAGAAGAGGCAGCGAAGACGGGACTTCAAGTGAATATAGAGAAGACAGAGGTGATGAAGATATTCAACCAAAAACATCAACAACAACAAACTCCAATCACCATCAACGGGAGAATCTTAAAGGAAATAACCTCCTTCACCTATCTGGGCAGCACTGTTTCAACTACAGGCGGCGCAGACGAGGATGTCAAAGTCAGAATCGGAAAAGCGAGACAGGCGTTCATTAGCCTGAAACCAGGGTGGAGATCTTCTGCTCTCAGCATTTGGAACAACATCCTGATTTTTAACACCAATACCAGTCAAATCAGTGCTTCTGTATGGCTCAGAGACTTGGAGCATTACAAAAGGCATTTCCAACTAATTGCAGACATTCATCAACAACTGCCTACACTAACTCAATACTGAAGATGAGATCAGATGGTCAGAAAGAATAAGCAACAAGGAACTTTGGCTGGCTGTCAACGAACCAACCGAGAACCTATCGCTCACAACAAATATGCAGTGGAAGGAAGTGGAGATGAATGGGATTGGGCATACACTGAGAAGGCCGACTGGGGACACCACGCGCCAGGTCAGGCCCTCGAGTGGAATCGTGATGGGAAACGACGAGTTGGGCGTCCGTGGTGAGGGTGACATGGAGGGGATCGTGCGAGGAAGAAATGAGAGCTTCTGGATTGTCGTGGAGCCAGGTTCAAAAGATTTCAGAGAACAGAGGGCATTGGAGACGTACTACTGAATCCCTATGTTCCATTAGGAATCCCAAGGGATAAATAATAATAATAATAATCTTATCTTACTCTTGTCTTCACTTCAAAGGCATCGCTCAGCTTTCGATTGTGAACCACTTGGCATGTAGCATCACACAGCATACAGCTGCCGTTAAATGAGGTTGATAAAGGTTTGTGGTACTCCGCAGTACTGAAGTAGCTGCCTGTCAAATTACTTCTCGATTGACGTTATCAAAGGCCTTTCAAAAGTCGATGAAGATCCAGTAGACTGCTAGTCTACGCTCTGTTCTGTGATGATGCATAGAGTTTAAATTTGATCCGCAAATGATTTGTTTTTCCTGAAGTCAGAGAATCTGTATATTTAAATATATTTAGCCTATCTTCGATTCAAATACATGCTCCTACATGTTAAACGTGTCCCTTCAACTTAACTAGTCGCGTTGGGAATCTACGAGTGACTTCAAAGGTCACCCTAGCAACAACTAAAATAATCAATCAAACTTGTCTATTTTATAAGAGTTTGCCTTTCCAACCGAAACGAAGAAAACCAATTGGTTGTTTCGATCGTTGCTAGAGTGGCCTTTAAAGGGGCACGAATCTACTAAAAATTGTCGAAGGTTAGCGGCTGACAGTAGATATCCGTACATCAATAGCAACCATAGCAGTTTTTAAATCATAACAAACCCAAAACATCCATTCTATATCTACAATAACAACTACACAAATGCTCCAGAAAGAATTCAAACAATGTAATATTTTAGTCATATATGATATCATGAAGTAATACAATTTACCATAAATCACAGTCATATTGACAAATGATAGCTAAATTTAAATGAAAGCAAACAAACAGATTATATGTAAGAAAGAAAGATAGACACCAGAAGCAAAAAATCACAGAAAACATTTAAAATGCCCAACCGACGATACACTATAATAAACTCTACAAAAAAACAATCTGATAATAACATTACAGACCAGTGAGGTAAACATCTGTAGACTGAAGATGGAAATACACTGGCGCTATCAGGAAAAATAAAACTCAAATCACACAGCAGAGCTTTATATGAAGCAGCAAAGAATAAAGAAGTGAATAGAAAGGCAAATATAAAGTACAACTTATATGATAATTATCAAGTAACAAAATGAAAGGTAATCAATATGAATATAAGTTAAATGCTGACAAGTAGTATGAACAATATTAGGATAAGGTGTTCTGATTGCACAACAGTAACATTAAAGAAAAAACACAACACTTAATAAGTTACATTTAGTGAAAGATACACATTCATAGACCTCTACCGACTCACATGATATGAAGCAACTGGCAATGCTTTCCATTTATATATGTAAACGGCATTAAAGAGAGGGTGGGGAGAAATGATTTTATTATGAAGTAAAGGAATCGAAATCAATTAAGAGAGGAAATGATCATTTCATTTGACTCTTATTCGTTGTGATGTAGCAACATCACTGAAACATTTTGTTCGGAATTCAAACTACTTTTTTCCTCGCAAGTAGTATGAAAAAATAAACAGAAAAATTATGACCACGTTTTTCCTTTAATTACACGCTTCAGTAAGTCTCCACACAATAGCGTGAGCACCTGAACCCATTTGACGCGATCGGTTGACATGATTAATAACACTGGAAACTATATGCAAAAGGATAAAAGAATTGAATAGCAAGTGAGATGAGTTTTTTTATTCACAGTATGTCGTTCTGTCAACAAAAATAAGGGAAATCCCTAGAATTCAATTTCTAAAAAGATATTTGTATGAAAATGTTCAGATGCTAGTTGAGTGGAAGCAATCAGCACAAAGCCCAGCCTAAGCTAGGACTACTGCCGGTTGACACTCGTCACCTCGATGAAAATGATGCCCCCTGTGAAATTCGAAGCCGCGTTATCTAATGATGCGGTCAGAGCTGTGAGCATTGAGCTAATCACAATGCAACTGGCCTCTCTACAACTGAACAAGATACGATGATTGGTTACTGATGAGTTATCAAATTCATTTTGTTTAGACCTAAGTGATGGGAAATTTCAATCGATCTCTTGGCAATATGGCCGTCAAACTAGGAGATAAACCATCACAGTGACCTTTAACAGATGTTAATTGATTGCAGGCAATCGGAAAAATTCTAAAGACTTTCATAAAAACCAAGAAAAAATAACTATGTTGAGATTTGCATATACGGTAGATTATGACGCTTAATGTGAATACCGAACGGTACATTTGTGTTGTAGGCAATGAGCTATAGCTACTGTGTAAGGGTGAAAGATACTACCTGGCTATTTAAACAGGTTCCGTATCCGTGACCCACTGGTTGAAACTCAACTGCCTAACCAAATTAGCTACAAGCTCAGAAAGGATGAGTACAACAATCAGCAAATCACACGACTACCACTGCGAATAAGGTAGCACTGAATTGAAGAATGCTTACTTTAATCAGAAAAGTATGAAAATAGAGGCATGCCTAGTAGATTTATAAACAACAAGAATCCCTCTAAGGCAAGCAGACAAATAAACATATTCAAGTTGGAAAAACAACTAACAATTAAGGATACAGTTCAATTGCCTCATGTCAATTAACCACGTAAAGCTATGCAATTAGAGAGTTTTAAAAACCTACTGTCTTCAAAAAGAAACTTCTTATCTCAAGTCGATATATCTCATGTGTATTACATAAAAAATGTACTGATGAAGACAATGATGGAAGTCATCATCAAGTCTGTACAATATTGATAATCAATAGTGAACATTTCACTACCAGGTCAAGTGTTTTGATGAACGCTTTAAAAGAAAACGTCATGAGTTTAAACGTATTCCCGTGATATACCATCTTTAATACCATTGGAATCACGACATTTTAAGATATAAGTGGTTTTTCAGCAGAGAAATATGAAATAACTGAGAAACAAATAAGCAAACAAAAGTCGGCAAATGAGCTTTTATTCCTTATTGCATAACAGATACTGGGAATGTAACGGCGCAAAATGAAAGATTATCTTAGTTGAATTGTGTTCTCTGAGCTGGGTTGTTTAGTCGTAAAGCTCTCATGGACTTTCTAGATGACGTCATCAGAAATAACTCCAAATGTCTCTTCATGAATGTTTCAGTAGCTTGTTCTGACGAACTGGTTTGTGATTGGTTGCTTCCTTTGGTTATTGTGTCATTTAGAGTTCAGATTTCTCTGTTGGATGTTACCCTGTTTGACCTCTGACCTTTCTGTTGTTTATCATATTTCTTACTGGTTGTCGAATTGAATCTACACATCTATTGATTGCTGATTGACCTGAAGCCCAAGCTTCTAAGAATTCTCTGGTATTCTTTGTGTTTCCTCCGTGATTAAATCAAAAATCTGAATTCACTATGTGGACAATTGTTTTGTCATCGTTTAAGATGATAAGGAAAACATTTTCAATGATATCAGAGTCAAAATGGAGAAAGACTCAAACAATCAACTGGCATTCCTGGATGTTTTGGTAAGTAGAACCATTACAGGAAAACTGGAAACCCAAGTGGGAGGGAAGTCAACGCACACTGAACAAATCCTCAACTACAGTATCAACAAGAGAAATTCTTTGACGTTCATCCTAAAGAAAAACGATTACCCACAAAACTTTACCAGCAGATGTCTATCCCATTCATCATCAACTACAGTTATCCACACAAATCAGTAAAAGAATCATCCTACCGTACATACCGAATATATCAGAGGTCACGACAAGATTATTGAGATCACTTGAAATTTGTATGGCTTAAAAAACCAACCAATTCCCTTCAAACCATATAACGTAGACCAAAACACACAACAGTCAAAGTAGACAAACCAAACTGCAGTAATTATGGTCAACACTACATTGGACAAAGTGGTCATCCTCTTCGCCTTCGTCTACATGAACACCACTCGGCGACTATACGTCACGATATTTCATAGCTCACTTCAATCCAGGTGGATAACTAAGGACACGAATTAAATTTTAACAAAGTAGAAATCATGGGTAGATGAAACACGAAGCATAACAGAGAACTTCTAGAAGCTTGGCGTTCAGGTCGTTCAAAAACCAATAGATATATGAACATAGGCCCAATCTAACAACCAATAAGAAACATGGTAAATAAGAGAGAGGTCAGAGGTCAAGCAGAGACACAGCCAACAGGAAAATCTATACAGTCAATGACACAACGATAAAAAGAAACAACCAGCCACAAACAACTTCGTCAGGGCAAGCTACTAGATCACCCACGGAAAAATATTGACAGCTCACTTCATACTGAGGTTAGGAAGATGATAAGACCATCACGATTGAACAATCCAGCTGAGAAAACACAACACAACCAAGATCATCCACTTGAGCTACAAATATTCTCCATTTTATGGAGTCATGTTCAAGGTCACTGTATCTTTTCAGTTGAATTTGTTAATATGTGAAAAGTAAACAAAACTATGGCCCGAAAATTGATTTTTATGTGTTCAATCAGATTGTAGACGGGATAGTTCTAATAATGAACTGATATGACAATCCTCAATAATACTACACCTGACGAACGTCCCGATTCATCACCTTCTTGGTTATTGACTACTGATTTCTCCTTTACTCTATTCCATGTTTTGTATTTTAAGTAATTCACTAAGACCTCATGGTTAGGTATAATGCAGAAAATAAATCTTATCGTGGTCCAGTCTTCAAATCAAGGTTGATTAACAGAAATATTTCATTTCATTTCATTTCGTCGTGTTATATAAGCTGTATTGAAGAAGAAGTTTGTAAAACATTTTTGACATACTATACATTAATCGTCATTACCACAAGTTATGTAGCTCAATAACCATGTACAAATTGTTGAACTAGGCAATAATCTACACCTATAATTTGACCAGTAATTAAATATGTTGGGTACCTAAACTTTGGTAGACAAGATTGGGTTCCAACTCCCAACTTGTTGATCGTAGTTCGACTGCTTAAACCAATAAGGCATACATATATTTGTTGAAATGGAGTTAATACACACCATTCCTTATTTCGATAATGAATATTTTTTCAAGATCTAGACCGTTTCTGTGAACATTGTAGAAACAGTTTCCCCCGAACTTTGCTTAGAAAAGGCAATTGTATTTACAAGCTTCATCCTTAGGACACCTGTTTTTCCCATGTTTACAGTTTCCAGCCAAGTTATCCATGTGTATCGGTGGTTCCAAGTAGCTTTCGTGTGGCAAAGCTCTATTTTTGTTAATTGGTACTTGTGATTTTACGTTGCTATAGTGGATTAAATTGCTTGACCGCTGCTGGCAGATGGGCCACCTACGCGGTATCCTCAATAATACTCGGATATTCATTATATTGTAGCTTAATTAGTGTAAGCATTGAGGCATCCCGGTAGGAGCTAACTGAGGTCAAACAAGTCGACCCAATATAACAACGCGAAACTAAGAGTATCAAAAAACAACAGCTGCTACCTGGTGAACAAGAGGTGGCCATCGTACCCCAGTGGCCAAGAGGGTAACGATTTGGCGTTTGAAAAGATAGGTGCTGGGTTCGAGTCTCGGTGCAGGTACACACAGATGACGAGTCCCAAATAGGACGAAACGCAAGCGATGGATCTCACTGCTGGTCATCAAAAGAAGCTTTGCTTTATTTGTTCTACTCCTTTTCTACTTCCACCAACTGCAATCCTACTTAGCCAACCAAGAGGCTGCTGAAATAAGATCTAATATAATGACTAAATCACACTCGGCGCTCAGATTCATCCAGGACAACGATTGTACTTATTATTGATAATTTAACCAAGTGGTTCATAGTAGTATACCTCTGAAAAGAATAAAAATTACTGGTAGTGAAAGAGGTAAAATAAAACCTGTTCAAGTTGCTTATTGAGAGGATTATATACATACCTCGATCATATGAGTGAATCGGATTTTCATCGCTCTTCTTAGCCGCTGATAATATTGGTCTAAGATCAACATAGTCATGTCCAACAGAAACTATCAAGTAATCAAATTCTTCAGTATTCACTACCTGAGAAACTTTAAAGAAATTGAAATTAAAAGAAAAATTCATGATTGAATTTTGATTTTGACAATGTATTTGATCAGTTCATTGACATGGGTAACCTATATGACGTTTACTTTCCGATGTCATATGTTACTGAAATGGAATACAGTAGGTTGGGAAACTGTAGTGGAAATTTCTCAAAGAACAACTAAGTCCAATACAATATATGTTGTTCATGCTGAGATCAATATGAAAAATCATCTCTCAATTTTTACGTAAGTGACATGACAACAGGCTCAAACCAGTTCTAAGCTCGGTAACAAATACATTTTATTACAGTCTTGTGTTTATTATAACTAACTACATGGGGTAAATGAAGAATCCGATTATCCATTCGAAATAAACACTCATTAAAATGAATAAAACTATGTGTTTAAAGTTTTTTCTACGATTATAATCCTAATCAAGGCAAACTAAATGCAGTCAAAAAATTTTGAAACAAGTTTTTCTCAAAGTCTTTTCTATGCTTAATGAATGATGCATGTTAAGAAGTACGAGAGTGTAAGCTACTCAGATAACGACAAACAAAGGGATGTACAACATGCTTAGACAGATGCCTAGCTAAATCCCATCTAGAGGAGCTGCGTCTATCAATATATTTATGTACTTGTTCATGGTTATAGTCACAGGAAGTTTCAAAAAGAGTAACACTACTTCATTGATCCTCCTTAATGCCGATTTATGACTATGTGATATATCTATGTCCACTATTGGGTTTAATGCCATTGGACAAAAATGGAACAATGTCTCTACTTATGTTTGAACTTAGCACCGACAGGTGATAGTCAGAACAAAATTTTAGGAGATAATCATTGTCATCGGATAATCGATATGGAATCCCGCATAATACAACTAGTATCTTTGTGATTGGTTCAACTTTCTAACTCGAGAGTTGGAGCAATCCACCAACATGAATACATCTTAACTTTCGTAAAAAAAATTGACAGCTTTGCAGGTTCAAACCGTCAGCAATGATCTCAAGAATGAAAAGTTGATGTGACAGTATGGGCATAGTGTTGGCAACAAGAATGTAGTGAACATAAAGGGAAAAAAGTGGAAGAGTAGGTTTTGGATAGATGGAGTTTTTTATAGTCAGAAGCATGCAGGCGGTTGGTACTTTCCACCTTCCAACACTATGGTAGTACTTGGGAATGTAATGTGATTATTTTTTTATAACCACACACCGGTTCAAACGAAAGCTTTCGAAGATATTTGTGGATTGAGATTTCAGTGTTACACAACCGACTAGAAAAACCTACAACACAGGTACCGATAAGCTGTCCGACAACTCGGGGAAGAATGTGCTATTTTCCCAGGTAACCTTTACTATTTGATGTGAAAAGGTAGCATCAGTATGAACTACTTTTATCTTCAGGAGGAACCTAGTTGTTGTCACACTCCACAAAACTAGCACACTCGCCATAGCATAATTTATTCGCACTTTGATGGTTACTGCTTTTAGTCTTATTACGATCCAACAGACATTCACGAAATAGTGGAACGTTAAGGAAAAATCTTTATAGCCAGCATAGCTCGTTCGATCATTAGCGACAGACAAGCCAAACTACCTACGTCAAGGTATCAATTATCAGTCGACAGATTATATCATAAATGATACGAATAAAACTGAAACAGGCACGAAATTGCGCTGATGAATACAAAAAAACAAACATAATATTCAAATCGAATTGACTTACTTAGAGGCATAAGAAGTAAGTTGCATACAGGGCGTCGATAACCATGACAACTGATTAGTACTGAAGAAGATTTTGACAATTCGATTTGATCTGCTTCAGATTCATTTTTATCTGCGAAGTAACATGTAAAAAAAACTATGAAATCAAGAAGAGAATTCTATAAATTTCGTTTTTTACGCTCACTCTAGCCTTGAGGCTTAAAATTTTCATCTAGAAACAAGCATAATTTTATTTTTCAATCGGATTATACCTAATTTTGCTTATATATCTACCATTTAAAAATTTATTTATTTATTTTTCCCTTGGGTTCCTAATGGACATAGGGCTTCAGTAGCACGCCTCCATTGCACTCTGTTCTCTGCAATCTTTTCAACCTGGCGCAAAGACTGCCCACAAGCTCTCATTTCTTCCTCACATGATCTCCTCCATGTCACCCTCATCTCGGATGCCCAACTCGTCGTTCTCCCTTTGGATTCTACTCAAGGGCCTGGCCTGGCGCGTGATGTCTCCAGTAGGCCTTCTCAGTGTATCCCCAATCCATCTCCACTTCCTTCCACTGCTCATTTGTTGGGTGATAAAATTCTTGGTTGGTTCGATGCTGTCTTAGCGAGGTGGTGAAAGAGACTACTTCCTTTAGATTTCTCCCGTTGATGGTGATTGGTGCCTCTTGTTGCTGATGCTGTTGTTGGTTGGGTATCTTCATCACCTCCGTCTTTACATTCACTTGAAGTCCCGTTTTCGCTGACTTGCCTCTTCTGTCAACTTGTTAGTTTTCGCCTGTTGATCTTCGAGTTTGTGCGACAAGATATCAGACATAAATCATCATCGGTTAAATCCAAATCTTCTAGGGTCTTTTCATCGGTCCAGCCAGCGTATGCCTCTCTTCTCACAGTTCCTCACGGTTTGCTGCATGATCCAGTCCACCACAATCAGAGGTAAAATTTATGGGGAAAATAAAGCCGAAATAACTAGCTCACTTGAGTGCGGAATCAGCCAATCAGCATCGACATGGGAGCTGGCACCTCATATCAGCATATCAAGGCGGAGAAGTGAGGAAGGGACTAGTAGGAAGTGGTGAAAAGTCGTTTTAGGGTAACAAAGGGAAGTGCAACAATTATGAAACTCGATTTGAGGATTAAAATGAAGATTGAGATAGATTCTGGGCCAAATACCCTAGATTTGCTAACTACTGATGATTTCAGCATTCATCCAGACCCCAACCGAAGAGTTAATATTCCTCTAGAGCACTTAGACCAACAGTTTTAGTCTGACCATATCAAATCTTTTTCAAGCATGAACCAACTTCAGAACTTGTCTTCTCAAGAAGAAGATAGCTACAGCAGTCAGCTTCAAACAAATAGTCAGTTTTGCAGGTGAAGAAAAAAAACTGTGTGATGAACTTTCTTTCCTGACAGGTTTGAGTGATTCAAATTAAATTCAGATGAAGTCATTATATTTACTTATAATCGAACTTTATCAATTTTTCTATGAAGCCACATTGGTGATAACTCCCTATTTGAAAATAAAGTGTTTACAGTTGGAAATCATTTTTGAAAAACTAGGTTATTGAAGCTTGTTGATACCAGTCAACCACATCAAATTTCAATTCAATTTTAGCACTAACATCCTCTATAACCCTACTATATAAGAATTTCAAATATATCTATCTCCAGTTTATTGCTATTACTATTACTAGAAGACAAATGTATTATGGCAAGGGCACTAAGAAATGCACCACACAAAATGACAACATTAGGAAAACATAAAGCGAAGGGAAGTGGATGAGTTAAAAAGAGAAACATAAAAAGAAAGGAATGGTTAGAAAGCCCGTCCATTAAGGTACATCACAAACGAAACATTCACTACTTTTCAGCACCAGAAGATAGAAGGAAGCAACAGCACGATCGTCACTGGTTTCTACTGGGTCATATCTGGTAAGGTCTTAAGTCAATGAGTTGCGTGATTTCTCAGATCCATCCAGAGTCGTGATAAACCAACAGATGTTAACCCGATACAACTATGCTTCATCCCACGGCCCCACGTCATACAATGACCACCCCTACGCTTCTTCCATCTAGTACAAGGGTTAGCAAACAATGAACGGTGTGAAAGCCGTTGGGACGACATGTGTAACATATGTCCAAGTCACCGAAGCCGGTGTTTCCAGATGGCTTCACTTATTGAATGATGATCTCCATCATGCCCAAACACACGCTGTCGTACCTCAGGATTACTTAAATGATGTCGCTACCGCACATGAGCAATCCTACAGAGACAACGACAATCGAACACACTGAGTCGTCGCATATCCTTAGCTCGGAGAGGCCTGGTTTCACAGGCGTACAGCAGAACTTTTGGCACGGGAGCGTTGTAAACCCGACCATTTATGGTCAGACTAACGTCGCGATGGTGCCAAAGACGTATACCACTCTGGCTTTCGATATGCGGTCTGAAATTTTACCACTCACACCACCATCAGTCTTCACACAACTACCCACATACACGAACGTTTCAACTACTTCCAACGGCTCACCACCAAGGATGAGCGCAGGCACAGAGCCCTGCTAATGTTGCAAGAGTACTTTGAACTTTAATGGTGCAAAAGCACATAGCATACCTACGAGCAGAATATACCTTTCTGGCGAGAAGTAACAGAAGAAGGTTTTCCATCAGTTCTTTTAGAATAAAAAAAAAGTGAATTCCTCAACCTAGTAATATAGTGAAAAAACTCACTGACGATATTGCATAGCTGGTAAGTAGGATTTAGTTAAATGTGTGCGTGTGTCTGTGCGTGCATGTCCGGGGTAAGAAAGATTATAAAAGTTACTATCCACTGATTTACTAGCCAATTTAATACAAATACATATAGAATCAATTATGCCTTGATTGCCTACTCGTCATAAACAGACATGAAACTTAGACCAAACATGGTTGTGAGACAGACTGTAAGACAAATGGAAGATCAACATAGAACCATCACAGAAGTGCATCGTTCCAAGCCATAGCACTTCTCGACAGCATGAAAATAGGATTACATTAAAATGAGCACAAACGAAATGAACGAAGAGAAAATTATTCCAAAAAAAAGTAATACATACATCTCTATTACTGTAACGTAGTTTAAACCAATATCAATAACGACCGTTAACTATTCATTCTTACCATTTTGAGGAATTATGACACGATTCGACTGGCCTAAATCGCATAATCAGATCACAGAGTTCACCTTTGGCACCATCCTGATGGCAACCTTGCTGTAAACGGGTATACAAGGCATGTGTGAACACAGTTGTGCTCTATAGCTGCGAAACCTGGTGTTTCTCAGCCGACGATTTCTAGAAACTCTGTTTTTAACCACCATTTTCTCCGAAGAACTAATTGTATTTCATAGAAACAGCATAAAACTGTTCTTGATGTGACACTTCTTGTGTTCGCGTGTGATAAAGATTCTCATTCATTGAGTATGGTGATACTGAAACACCGACGTTGGTGGCTTGAACATGTCGTTTCACTACACAATAGCAATGGTCAGTAAAGTCTATAACCCACCTATATCCTCCGCTTTCAACGAGAATGTCTTATTGCAGTGCGTTAGAGTAAACCAGATGGTAATGCATACAATCAACCACAGCTGTAAATGCACTAGTGATACTTTGTATCATTTACTTGGTTACAGTTGTTACAGTTACAGTTGTCAATCATTTTTCATGATAAGCTCATACGATATTATTATCCATAAAACTACTTAGAACGTGGTACAGAAGTACATCAATTCAACTTGCCATACTTCACAACAGCATACAGAACAGTGCACAGAAAAAGAATGATGCTCAGACAGACAGAGTATGAGAGAGAAGTGAGTAAATAAATCAGTAAAAGCAAGTGAAAATCTCCAAACTTCAGAAATGGTAATAATTGAACACATCACCACCATTCTGATGGATTTTAAGCCACATACATCACCAACAATCTCCAAACCATTGAAGAAACATTTCTCGAGGAACTCAGTGACCTAACCCTATATCCGTCAACATTGCAGAGTAAGGTAGGCAAAGGCTGTTTATGAGCGAAACATGTCCAAATCACGTCAGGCAATGAAAGATAACATCTCTAATGACTAACTAACCTTCCTTGGCTAATGCTCTATGCCTTAAATCAAAATTGCTGATAAGGTGATTCCACCACACGTGAGCGATGCTATGAAGACACTTATGGTCAGATATCTCCCTGGCACCAGAAATGACGCAGGCTGGCAAATGTCGAACGAACCTTTTGTATCTAGGCTGAGATCTCGTGAACAACTAATCCATTTAAGCTGATACGATTTCCGAATAAGTGAAATGGTCAACACATTCAATCCCTTCATTCCTTATATTTAGCGTGGGAGTATCTGCACACCGAATGTGAAGTATCGTACGTGTGTCCGGTATAAAACAAAGGCCAAAAACACACAGATATCCGGCGTCCAGACTACTCCACATTTTGCTAAAGTATTAGTCTAGCAGGACTACTTGTTATACATGATGCAAGCTAAACAAATACTGTCGGTTACCTCCATAATTTGAGTCAAATAAGTGCCCACCAAGAAGCAAGCGAACGCCTAAGAAGTTACAGGTACTTAGGGTTACATTCATTAACAAATTTGTAATTAAGAATTAGTGCAGAGCCTTGATCAACATAAGGTACTAGTCTGGTATTGTTTTTACAGTCGGAAACTGCTCAATATGCACAAGTAAATGGGTCTGAAAAAAGAAATAATACTACACCTAATTTTGAGCAGCGTAGTGCAGAACACTGAAAAAATGCACTGAATAACTGATATATATATATATATATATATATATATATATATATATATATATATATATATATATATGCATGCAAGTATAGCTAACCTGAGTAGTCCAAGCGTAAACGAGCAATAAGCCCAGAACGAGTTGCAAACCATATTTCATTATCGGCGGTCATTGGGACAATAAGTAAACGACATATTGTCAAATCTATTGGATCCGTAACACCTTCCATATCTATGACAAAGAAAAATAAGTAGAACAATAAGCTAACATGTTTGAAGTTAATAAGCAGAATTTTTGGGCTAGATTGAATACTTATAAACATAGCTTAGCTAAAATCTTGAAGAAAGTTAACTTGTTTTGCAGATTAGAACTTCAGTTATTTTATGACGAATTGAGAAGTGTTATTACGAAGCCTTTTAAACCACAACTGATTTTTTAAAGGACTGGATAGTGTAAACAACCTGGTAACTGAATGATGGTAGCATTGATGTAAACATCAAAGTCTTGAAGGCTGACCGTGGTTTATCAATCAAATGTGTCATATGGCCAATTGGATAAGTGACAAGAAACTGTTGCATACTTTGCATCATGTTACATTCTAAAAATCAGTTGGCAACTACTCCTATTCTGTTTGCTTCGAACAGGGGAACTAGGTTGCACAATAAGCCATCAGACAATCAGGGTGGTGCACTACCTAGGACATAAATATGTATCACACTGAGTTGAATTATTTTTAATACTTATCAGTAAATAGGTAGAAAACCCTAGATCTACATTTTATGATCACCAACAATCACAATCATCTTAATGATGTATAGCGGCTAGAAGCGAAATCAGAAACGCGCGTTTCGTCCTATTTGGAACTCGTCAGCTGGGTGTTCCTGATTCCAAGTGAGCAACTTTCTTCCCAACTAGGAGTCACAGTCGAGACCGATCGCTTCAAATGCCAAAGTGTTGTCCACTAGGCCCCCGACTTGTGAAATTTACTTCTTGTACAACGGCTGTAGTTTAAATGACGCTGCTTGAATTAACCTATTGCTGACTGAACGGAACTGATCGGTCTTTTTTGACGTATAGGCTCCTGCGCGGATCCCTCAATATTGTTTTCAGTTCTAATTTCTGTAGTATTGACGGATAATGGCTAGTAGTGGAATCCCGAGTTTTGGTGGGAACAGCATCACCTACTAGGAGGTGGGTACATCCGGCTGATGGGTCCGAAATAGGACGAAACGTGCGTCTTAGATTTCATTGCTAGCCACTATCCAGCATTTATATTAGCTTCTTGAAGCATCTAATCAGGAGAAACTATGAAGCTAAACAATCAGAAATATTTTACTGTTCTCTGAGGTTTGATATTTCTCAGAGATATGTCATGACTAGGCTTTGTAATATCATTAACACTAACTCCACGATAAAACGTCGAAATTCATAGAAATAAGAAATCATCGCCGTTCTCATCCTGAACAACAAATTTTCTCCAAATATTACGGTAATTTCTTTGCTATTACTAAACGTATGTCAACTAGTATGAATTAATTCATACTTTAAAGATCTACTAATTTAACTCTAAAAATGAACGTTCTAATTTTCTAGCCGTTGAAAAATTCAAATAATACCAATGTTATACATATACGAATTTTTTTAGAATATTAACAAATACATTTAGGTATTCGGCAAATTCGTTGTCGAGTGCCAGTAGTTACTGCCGATAAAATTACAGTGCTGATAAACAAAACCGGTGTATTGATGAAAACGATCATGAATACATTATAGACTGAACAATAAGCATTTGTTCTATCTAAATTAATTAAGCGATTATATACAGATAATTAAACCTACTTACCAGTATTCTATTCGTATACATAATCTACTCCTACAGAAGGTAAGTTATAATTTGAATATCTTTGGTGAAGTTTACCTCAGCACAGAGTGACGCAGGTCTGAATCTTGAATTTACTTAGAGTTGAAAATATGCCCTTTTAATTAGTGTTGATGAAAACAAAACCCAAGTCAAGTAGACCTTGTTACAACTTGTAATAAAATTAATACAGCACAATCTAGATGAGATGTTTATGCACTAGGCCATAACGTTGTATATTCAGTATTATGATAATATCCCGTTGTTCAGAAGGAAGTAGACCAAGTGATATGCAAACGTTGAACGCATCACTTGAAAGTCAACTACTGAAGACAATGAATTATATCTTTTTATCATATTTTACACCTAAACGTCTAATATACACAAGTGTAGTCTCATTGATTCTTTGATGGTGATCTCTTTATTTTCAACTGTAAAAGACTATTTACATCTCATTCTACGGATAGACTAACAACAACCGAAATTTAAGGGAGTACAATGAATTTCCAATGAATATCTTACTTTGAAGAGAAATATTAATATAAAGTATTAGCAATCAACTAAACAGTTCACAAAATGAGATCCCCATTAAGTCTGATTATTTTCTGTTGGTTATAATTGCAAAAAATTACACAAATAAAATATCATCTTGAATGATGCTAGTATTGATGTACAATCCTCTGATTAGATTGTATATTTACCTGAAGAAGATGTGCAATGAGATACTCAATGAATTTATAAGATTCTGAATATCTAGTCAGGTCAAGCGATGCAATTAAACGTTTGATCAATCCATTTTTGCAGATTGTCTCGCTTCCTAACATTTTCATTTCTTAACAATAACCGATTGTAAGGTGTTAATGTGACCACATTAAGCTAAATGATAATATACTATGTATGGTACACTGTAATTTGATGTTAAACTTCAGTCAGTGGTAACCATTAGAGACTAGATAACTGCATCGGTTATTCAATGATGATTGATTTGCGTAAAAAGTAATAATGTATTGACGATAGGATTTACAGTGGTTTATCCATAGATCACCTCTCTTTCTATTTACCAATCAATTAATACTTGGTTTCATCAGTGTTTCGTAATAACTCTTCTCACACCGCATATGTCAACAGTCAGTTGGAAAAAACACTCGATTCAAGAGGTGAAGTAGTTCAATCTTGCACATCAGCCCCTTAAAATATTCCCTTATTCGTTATTTGACACGTAACATGTGTATTATTACCAATTAGTATCTCAACTTGTACCAGATTGTTGAGTTTCAGATTGCTTTCATCTTAAACGTTTTAGCTAGATACGGTTAAATGTCTATTATCAGTGGTCAGTACACACTTAAGTCCGGTAGACAAACAGACAAGGATAAATAAGAGAAGACCTGGGATGACTGACTATGCATCGATTTCAGTTGTCTCAACTTTTAACAATACATTGGCACTAAACCATACACAACTTCAAAGAAGGTATTAAAAAAAGTGATTATCTCCTACAGATAAATTAAATGAAAGTAGTGCATCTACCAAGATATTACTAATGACCTACTGAAGTAGTGAATTAAGTATTGCTTCACAAACACCTAGCGATCATAACTCTACACATTCAAGATGCTACATTTATCTTAGTGACTAGCAGGAAAATCCAGGACGCGCGTTCCGTCCTATTTCGGACTAACCAGATGGATGTACCTCCACCCCAATGAGTGATGTTGTTCCCACTGAAGCTCGAACCCAGTACCCTTCACTTCAAACGCTCTATCCACTAAGCCACTGCGGCACGATGTCCACTTGTTGTGCAACGGGTATTAGTTGTTGTAACGACCTCTGTTGGCAGATAGGCTTCTATGTGGATGCCTCGATACCTCAATCATTATAACAGCATGAATATCCAGTAGTATCGAGGCATTTACATAGCAGCCCATCTGCCAACGAAGTTCGAGCGATTCGGCCTTGTATAGAAACAGGAAATTACAAGTATGACTACAACAATCTATACATTCAAGCAGACTACTTTTTTCAAAGTATTGATAGTGTGTATGTGTGTATATTGCTGTAGAGATTCGAATCGAAATCACAAGTATGTAATGAAGAAAATACATCAGTTAATTTCTCCTTCCGACAACAATATAAAAACAACCCAATGCCTATAATCCACTTTTGTTTCCTAAAGCTTTCCAATACATAGTGAATCAAGAAGGAAACAACTCAAGAATTGGCTTGAGTAAGTATTTGGAAATAATATTGACTTATTCTTACTTTAACAGTATGGGACTCATTTGTTTTGAAAGGGACTTTAGGTCAATAAGGCATAGGTCATTTGGTTCAAATCATAACATGGCTCAGATTTTAGTTATCATCATATCTATTGTCTCAAAGAAAAAACTTACCTAACATAGAAGATAGAGAAGAGGTTAAATCAATTTGACGTAGAATACATTTCTGTTGAGGACAACAAGCTAACAAACGTGCCATTCCACCGCTGACACCGCTCACTTTCTTCATCTTCTCTTCATTGTTACTATCATTATTATTATTATTATCATCATCATCATCATCACCAGTCCTTGTTGTATCGAAACTCTTCTTAGATGGTGAGCAAGTTACTGGATTACCAGAAACAGCTAACCATATTATCTTGGATGATTTACGCGTAGATGATTTAATGCATATTGCATGTAAACACGGTGTTTCACTTGGTAATGCTAAACTGTAGACAAATAAAGAAATGAACCAATAAAGTAAATAGGAAAAATGTTAAGAACAGTTAAATTTCACTAAAGATGAATATATAGGTAAATAAGATCAGTAAAAATACCCTTTATAACATATTTTTAACAGAACAAACACTATTTGAGTGAACAGTTTGCATATGAAGCTTAAAATATCAGGCAATGAATGAAGCCGAACATCTATGGTATTTTGTACTTACGGAAAATATCACTGTCTACTACAACGCAAAATTCTATCTAAAAATAATGTTAATCGAGATACTAGATGACCATTTCGTTCAGTTTCAGCAAAGGTTATCAAGTGTGAGAAAACTAGTTTAGCTAAAAGAGTCAAATCTATCAAATCATTTCATAAAATCATGATGAAATACAACAAGTGGATCTCACTTATTTGTATCCTTTCTACTACGAACTATGTGCGTTGTTATGTCTCGTAACTTCCCGTTGTTGACTGAACTGAATGGATCGATTACTAATGTCATTATAAGCTTTTATAAAGATGTCTCCATATGGCTAACGTGATTTAATAGTCTACTAGCTAACCCTCAGGAATAAGGAAGGATGGGTTCTCGGTTCGAACTCGAATTACTTAGCTTTCCGAACACCTAGGTTGATATCACATATTACCAAGCATCAAGCAAAAGCTGTAAACACACCAAGGTTTCTTCAGTTCGTCAATGACCGCTATGTGGATACAGAATAAACTGATTTATACTTCAAAAGGATATGCGTTCATCCACTTAGTTCACTTGAGACAACTATACTATCTGTTCTAAGTAAACATGAAGATTAGAAATTCATATTATAGTGACTTTTAATCCATAATCTTCCTTTGATTCTCCTTCTCTTAAAGTCGTTGAAATCTCCCATTCACGTAGATATATTTCTCACATTTTATCACTGTTACCAAATAGTATGAATATTACACTTGTAATGACTCATTCTCATAAATTATTCCCATTCATGCACAACTTCATATCATCTCTTTTCATACCCTAGACATCCATACGCTAAAACAGTGACCTTCGTTGAGTCGCATAATCATATGCGAACTAACCAGCAACTTGCACTCATGACCATGTAAAGCCTCAAAACCAGGACAGTCAAGCCTCATAGTAAGCAAGATACCACACACCCACTAGCTCGGGATCCAACGATGAACTTTTGTCGTCTTGTGATATAGTACAGTCAGTGTCAAATGCCATAGGCGAGTACCTAACCATCCAGTAATGAAAATTCTGTTGAAATAAATCTATTCAGTTTTACCTGCCATATGTCTAATTATACAACTGAGTTAATAAATTTATCACAGTATAAAAGTATCTAGATATGAAACAGTAAACTCTTGTAAGATAAGTAGATATTCCATATTTGAATTGCTGACTTAATATAGCACATAGTGATATAGTGTTATTTACACTATAACTACATTCTAACACAAAGCCAAAAATTTCATTCATTAAAGAAAAAAGACATTATCAAATTCACAGTACTGTGTTATAGTTCCAGTCGTCAGAACTCACATCAGTATATCGAGTTAAAAGGCAGCAAGACAACAAAATACAAGGAAAGTAAACAAATGAAAATAATATAATATCGTATACAGACCGACGGTGAGAGAACTTACGATAAGATGCGATGTCTCAGCCTGATCATCACCAACTTCTTCACTAACCAAGACTTATTTCAGTCAGTATAAAAGATTGGGGTACCAGATGAACTGCCTTGCGTAATACCTGTTTCAGCCACTTTCCAGCAGTTGATGACGATTTACGATTAAATTAAAACTTTATGTTACCAACCAACTGTGATTAAATCCCAGTTGGAGAAGGAAAAGCTCAGTATCACTACACATGGATACAGATAACGCAGTACAATTAAATAGTTTGATAGTAATCAGAAACTAACTTAACATTTAGGAATTCTAGCAAACCAAAAATCGATTCTGCATTTATCGAATCAGTGGTAAACACATACAACTAAACAAATGAATTATTGGCGACTTCTTTTGATAATTACACAATGATAAGCGTCTTGAAGGCAAAGAGAAGTGACTGAATTGTCAAAAAATCTAGTCACTTAAGTCGCATAGTTACTTTTACGTAATCTTTCAGTACAATCCGTACAAAACATCAATGTTGAGGGATTGCGAGACAACATAATGCGAAAGTCTATTGAAATGAAGCAATTTTAGTACACTAGATGGTAAGATTGGACATCACTGTACAACGGTTTGACACAGTATACATCAACAATACAACATATCATAACACTCATTCATACAAAATAAAACTTGAAATCAAAGATATGTTGATTTATAAAATAAGTAGTAAGTAGTAAAGTGTATGAAAACGTTTATCATCCACTAGAAGAAAAGAGCTATATAGCTAACCTTGTAATAAATTTACCAGATCGAACTGCTAAACAGTGACAATAACCACCACCAGCAGTACCAAACCATATATGATCATCTAACACCTCATCATCTACCATCTCGTTATCTTTGTTATCATTACAAGTGTTTGACGTCATTATAAGAGGACCAGTAGATAAAGAGTTATATGGTAGATTAATTAGTTTATGGGTAGTTTTGATACTGGTAGAATTTGATGAATTCCTAATCATACTTTCAGTAAATAATGGCCACTGAAAGCATACAAATTGACTGACGCCAAGTGAATTGAATAAACCAATGCAGATATGATTATCACATGATCTGGAATGTTGTAGGTAGAAAAAGAGAAGCAAAAGAAAAGAGAAATAAAGTTGTTAATCATTCAAAGAATTAGGTATCATAATTAACAGTTAGATGGTAATTAAGTTGATATTACGATTTTTTAATACCAACAGAAAATTACTAACTAACAAGTGGATGTAGTGATTAGTGTTTGAAGAATATGTACTTAGAAGTCCTCTACTTAGTTTCTCGATTTATCGTCTACTGCTATTACCGAAACGCACTCAAAACTTCAAAGGAGAGCAATACTTTTATATCACTGTCTCTATGTTTATGTTAATCTCTCCGAAAAAAGAAAACCAAACATTCCAAGAACAACAATAAGTACGATATAATGGATCCAATGTGTTGGTTCCAACCGACTACGTCAAGAAGTTGAACATCCCTCCAACGACTAAATGTTTTAGTTAGACAATAGTACCACTTAGTTACTATTCGATAGGTGGCTGTTGAGTTGCAGAGCCTACTCGATGAGTCATGGTAACTGTTTGTACTGACGGTACCTCTGACATCACAGAGATTTATCTAAATATTCCCATAGATTTATCTATTCTTTCTCAGGGCATCTGGTTGACATGAAATAAGCAGACAGTATTATCATACTAGGTGAAAACGCTGACAAAATCCAGGGTCTTCTGAACATACTGAGCAGAAATGTGAGCATGTTTGGCATGTGTTCCGCACCTGTCAAATGTAAGACGATACTCCAGGACTGGTCTGCTGCTGTAGATAAGGAGTGAAATGGCGGAATGTATTGACCAACCACTTCACTTACTCAGGGAATTGTTGCATCAACCCGGAAAGACTGGCTACCGACAAAATCTCAGCTTGGATATAAAACGTCTGTTTGGCAGTTGCCAACTTGCATCACCAGTGGTCTCAGCGAGATGTGATGTTTTGACTAACGCCGATCTTTAAATTTCTTTTTTCCCCATAAACCTTTTTTTAGTTTGACATCAGTCTTTTCTAACCTCTTGATGCTTGTATGCCACAGTGAAGTGTGGTAACTTGAACCAATGCATCTATGTGCGAGGTTCTGCATTGATTTTGTCTGCTTGATCACTTCCCCTTACTTCTGCTGAGAAAAACACAACAAATTGCATTTCTTTTTCATCGTTCGCTTTTCACGTCATTAAATAAGTCAACTAAAGATTGGTCAGTCATTAGAATTATATCATGCTTCTATTCTGTGGTTTTCTCCATGTTATTATAGGTGAAAAATAAATCACAATGAGTTCGGATTCGAAAGTAGTTTCCATTACCGATGGATATCGATTGAAGAAGCACAGAAAACATACGGGCACTAGAGGAGCTGTTTCATCTCATTTTGGGGATTCTCAGCAGTGCACACTCTTGACTGATGCCAATTCATGAAGAAAACTATCCTCAGAGTAGTAAATCCCCACAAACCAATTAATGCATTCATATCTAATAAGTAGGCGATCAAACCTCCGACTTAGCTAAAGAAATTTAGAAAAACTTGGAATGATATACCTAATCATTTATATTATAAAATTGTATACTTTTTATTCAGCAGATGATACAACTCTATCAGGATGAAAATTCTTAACTTCAGATGAATTAATTTCAAACGAAACACTATGAACACAGTGAAATAGTTTGAAGAATCTAATCAACAGTAATTATTACCCACTAGACCTAAAACACACTAGTGGAGACTTACATGTCCAGTGTAAAATTGGTCCATTTCACAGACGAAAACATAACTTTAAAGTCATGTGATGAACACATTAAATGCGATGAATTAAAGTCCGCCTGTCAGTAACTTTCACCTTCATTGATGTCATCGGAGGATAATATAAGATTACGTGACATTGAAAAAAAAAAATGGTGGTCCAATAATCGGACAGTGACCAACCATATTACAATCTTCTTAGGTTCAATCCAAGAAGCATTGGCTCAGAAACTTGGCGCGTCACGAAAAGCATTTCCAGCAAACTACAGAAATTCATCAACAGCTGCCTACGCTGGCTCAACGCTGAAGATCAGATGGTCAGAATAATCAGAATAAGCAACAAGGAACTCTGGGAACAAACCAACGAAGCAAGAACCTATCACCCAACAAATATGCAGTAGAAGTGGAGACAGATTGGATTGGGTGTATACTGAGAAGACCGACTGGGGACATCACAGACCAGGCCAGGCCAAGTCGTCGAGTGTAGCTCGGATGGTAAACGACGAGTTGGGGGTCCGAGCAGATGGTGACATGGAGGAGGTTGCGCGAGGAAGAAATGAAAGGTTGTGGGCAGTCGTGGCTCCAGATTCAAAAGATTGCAGAGAACAGAGTGCAATGGAGGCGTGCTACTGAAGCCCTATGTTCCACTAAGAACCCAAGGGAAAAATAATAATAATAATATACCAAGGCATTAAACTAAACTAAGACCACAGCGTTTGATGAATGATTCCAATTCATGACGAAAACTATAAGAAAAAGCATAATTAAGGGTACGACTACAACAATGAAAACAAGTAACTAATCATTAGTCGACTTACATCATTGCATTAGCCACGAGACCTTGACTATCTGTATTAAACCGATACAGAATTTGTGGTAGACGAATACTACAGCTAGTTGAACACAATGGATTATTTTTGCTACTCATACACTTTTCACTGTCTCCTATACCATCTTGAATACTCGAGGTAGTATCAACCAAAGCAGACTGATAATTTGATTTAATTTCATAACATGGTTGAAAGACCAAAAATCTACCATCATTTGAGGCTAAAATTACACAATGACCTTCAAGATCTATAAAAAAGGAAAACGAAGAAAAGGATTCTTCAAAAATATTGATCAAGATTCATCATATGATTAATAGATTTGCTTTCCCTCACTAATATTCTCCAACTAACTTCTGTATCATTCATTCGGAGGATTTACAACAACTGATCGTTGATACAAAGCCAATGATGAGCAAATATCTGAAACCTTCACAAATCCTCCACCACCATTCATCATACCTTACAATCATACAGGAGTACCTATGTCTCACCCAAGATTCCACCCTATTAAACTTTGCTTAGCAGTTAGGCGTTGAGGTAGATGATAAACAGACAGGTATAAAAACAATCATTAAAGATCCACAACCTCATCGACTCACCTATCTAAAACTTCAAGCCAGTGTTATATACGTGATGGTTGCACTACGAACAATGAACATCTTCTCATATTCCTTTTAGGAGTTGTGTACTGCTGAGATACTTTTGACTATGAGATATCATGGCGGCGACATAAATAGTATAAGTTAGAAAAGACAGAGCGAGTCCTTGTTACCTTATCAACCACTAATCCACCAAGACTGGTCCGGCTTTCGAAGTAAGTGAAGTGGCGAACACGATTAACCACTTCACTCCCTTTTGTAAGCCAAGGCATTGATGCATACAGCTACTGAAGCAACAGTTTGCATTGAGGAAATGAGGAGAGCATCCGAAACATTCTGAAGCCACCAATTAAGGTGGAGAGAAAACTTTTCACTCTGTCAATATCACCTAGAAGAACTATGACGTGCACAAACTCTAGGTTTACTTAGGTGTTTCTCGTGATAAGGTTAGTCCTTTTAAAATAAAACTAGAAGATGGAAACTTGCATAAGCATGTGTGGGACAAAGTTGGATAAAAATGAGGATAGCGTATATGCCTTATGAACTCAGCTCTAATATCCCCAGGAGTTTTCTTTCAGTCATCTCAATTAAGAATGAAATATATGCTAGAAAATCAGTATTAGAAATTCGATAAAATAGTAGGTGAGAGTATTTAAGACAGCTATAAGGTTCTCAAACCGGTATTCATGCAACAGGGTGTCGACTGGAGCTGAAACAGAAAGTTGGGACCCAGTAGGGTTTAAACTAGCAACCCCTAGATCATTTTTTATTCACCTTCAATTATGAAATCCGTTTTACAAATTCTTTACAATCTAAATGAACTATAGCCAAGTGACTGAGATGTCGAAAGCTTTCGATTCCGTAATATGTAGTAGTTAGCACATATTACTGATCGCACAAGTTTGCAAAAGCAAAAAATAAGTTGACAGCTTGAATTATTTCGGTCTGATTAGCAAGATCAAATCAACCACTCATTACATTCAAGAGTAAAGACTGTCTACTAGGCAACAAAAATTCGAATGAGTATATATTCAGCTCATTAACTGAAGACATAATATACAGGTAACTGAAAATGACCATACCATTTCTCAGCTGTTTTGGAGTTGCTTTATCACAGTTGTCATTGGATAGATCACTAAAATCCCAAGAGAATTCAATTTTTGCATCATCTGACGTTAATTCCGGCGTAAATATTTTAGTTGAAGGTTGGGTTAACTCTAAAAAGACAAGTAGATTTTCAACAAACCACAAAAAAAAATTATTGTTCTTAGTATTCAAAACTGACGTAATCCTACTGATTATTTTGACCATCTGAAATAGTCATGGTTCGACCGACTTATACTGATACTGGGTAATGATTGAAAGTGAAATGAAATGTTGGACTGCGACAGTAAAGCAAAACCCATGATGACTAAAGTGAAATAAAGAATCTAGTCAGTGTTTGGATCTTGTAACTAAGTTGGTAAAGCACCAAGCCGGAAACCTGGTAGTCGCTGCTTCGAATACTGCTGCAGCTCTAATTTTTTCTTTACACACCTTGAATTACCTACCCAATAAACCTCACTGGACAGTTTGTCATTGAAGTAGACCAATTAAAATAATTCAGTTAGCCAGTTTCCTAAAATCTTTTTCTCTTGATATATATAAAATATTGTTTAATTTGAAGCTTCTCATAATCACATGTCAAAAGTTCATCTTCTGCTATACTGCCGCTCAATGAAGCATGTAGTACTGCAGGGGGGGGGGGGGGGAGAACAGTCGTTTTTCAAGCACAGTTTTAGTATTTCAGCGTCTTCAATGTCATTATTGATGTTCCAATCCGTCCCACCACTTTCATTTAACTGAAAACAAATTAGACTCTAATGTATTCCCAGTGAATTCATCAGTGTAATTTGATTTTTCACTAAATGTATCACATAAACAGTAAACAAATTAGAACAACCCCTAGAATCAACTCAAAGCCAATTATATTAAATATGCAGCTGAATTTTCGTCTTTTGGTGTCATATATAAATATATATATATATATATATATAATAATATATAATATATAATATAATATAATATAATATAATATATATATATAATATTTTCAGTCCTCATTTATTAGCGATTTGATGACACCTTTCACTAGACGTTATTGCATCGAAAAAAGTCAGAAGTTATGCAATTTTGAAAGTGATTATTTTCGTTTTTGTCTCGAGACTCCAACAACCTTTTAAGTCAAGATATCACTTTCACCTTTATTTCTGCATGAGATGAGTAGTGCTTCAATGTTGACAACTTTTGGCTGTTAACCTACTGAATAAATTATTAGATTGCTATATTTATCGCTGTATACATTAGATATCAACCGAAAATAAGACAGACATTTCAAGTGATACTTAAGGAAAGGAAAACGCACTAATAGTGGTAGGAAAATTCAAGCTGTTAAAACTGAAACCTAAGCCGATAACCACATGTATGAATTCTGCCAGTAATTCTTTTAAACCGTGACTTCTTTGATCCTTTATTGTTGTGCTTTCGATGAAGTTAGCTGCTCTTTCAACAGACACACACTACCAATTGTCTTCAACTACGTTCAGTACCGTCAACCGAAGTGTGACGTACAAAAGGAACGACAGTAATTTTGTGCTGTTATTGGTAACATGTACAAAATGACCATGAATGAAAACATATGGAAGAACAGTGGCAGAGTTAACCCAGGTGTTTCTGATCAGTTAGTCCGCTGATTGGATATCTAGTTGAGAGCTATCAATCATAATGCCAACAAAGACTAACCATGAAACATTTTTATTCAAGAGGTCATTTCGCTCTGAACTGAACGAAAAAAATAAATGGAGATCAAAACAAGACGGATTGGTGAACAACATTGATTTTAAATAGGCCTCCTTGTGGGCTTTAGTCTAATTTCTGATTGAGCCCTGAATACCACTGTAAGTGTAGGGGGTGATTGACACTTCCCAGTTGTCGGCACTGTGATAGGCCACCTCTCCATAGGGTACCTGGCCGCAAAGCTCATCGGACATCTGCTTCAAGCTTGTCACACATAACCTTTTCAGAATTATTGGTGTGAGATTTGAATGTTCAAATACTGGACACAGAAAACCTATACCCCCAGCTCCGGAAGACGATGAGGGGGGGAAGGAGTGTGTCATTTTGGGGGCCGACCTCTTCCAACCCCCTTTACCAATAGGGAAGACAGCATCAGTATAACACTGCTAGTTATCTAAGAGAAAAACTTTACTGCTGTAACACCCCATCCAGCTGATGAAAGTAGAACTTCGCCCTCGGACCCCACAATCGTATAACAATTTACACTACAACCGTAACTGCTGTTCGTCTCACCACTATCCGACAGACTTTTCTGACATGATAGGACATCGAGGAAACACGCGTTCCAGCCAGTATAGCTCATTCAGGCATCGTGATATGCAAGCCCGACCACCAACTCAAGGTAGCAGCTATTGCTTGGGTTTAGTTTAATATATTACTACTATTGTATTACTAACACTGTTACTAAAACTGCTAGGACCATTATCATTATTATTTAAACTATTGTTACTGCTGCCTTCATATTTTAGAACAACTATAATGTACAGATAAATCTCCATGAAATTAGTTTAGTTTTGCACACATATATGTTTAGCTATTTATACGAGAGGAGAATCTGCAGAGGATCTAAATGAAAATAATACTGTTCAGTTATGTTTCTTGTTATAATTCACATGACGGGGAACTTTTAGCATTCTTCAATAATTAGAAATGTTGAAGACCAAATAGAGATGATGATTGACAGAAACAGGTTATGCATACAACAGTATGTCTGCATTACTACACTAAGCTATCTACATTAGTTGAAAGTTAAAGAGAACTAAAATGCTGTAAGCATTTCTGGATGGTGTCATGAAATCTTTGTACAAGAGTGCTTGTTGGTTGTCATCACACATTCAACACGAAAAGTAAATCCCAATAAATCTGGATTCAGTTGAGGACAATAAAATGAAATAAAATATCACTAGGCAGTAAAATACCTGTAGTACATTTCACACATACAGCAGCTGACGGCAAAAATCCATTATCCAAGTCAAAACTATACACAGGTTGTGTAAATCTTGTCGGTTCAAAGATATGCACTTGACCCAGATAACCACGATTCAAGGATAGTGAGGAGTCAGTTAGATGTGAATCAGCTGGACCACCACGACCAATTAGCCATAAATGAAACTTTTATGAAAAAGAAATAACACGAAACAATAGTATGATGAAATAATGTAGGTGAAGCACAAAAGATGAAACAATTTAAAATTAACCGATTATGAAGAATGAGTGACAGCAATATGACAGTATAAATATTGCATTAGTCGATACTGACATTGTGACAGTGTTATTTATTATTACTATCATTAGTACTATCTAATAGCTGTAGAAAAGTATGATATATGTCTGACATTATCAAAATGAGTAATGTTTCAACATACTTAGCAATAGAGTGCACCAGTAACAAGTCTTCGACGTCCCATCAACTTTAGGATTGACTTGGAGTACGCAGATGACATTATTCTACCACGCGAAGACACTGACAAAATGAGCGAGCCTATAACACTACTTAAACTCACGTATCCGTGTAATGGCTGATGGAGAGTTGTAATTAGAACCGACGACAAATGGTGGTGTCCACCAGAGATGCCCACTGTCACCGTTCCTGTTTAATTTTGTCATAGACGTACTAAGGGCCATAAACTAACGTACATCTTGACTTCCTAAGGATTGATCTACTCCCGGGAAGTCACCTGGCTGGCTTGGAGTATGCAGACAGTATTGCCCCGCTACGCAAAAACGCTAACAAGATGAAAAGTTTTCTGAAAGCGATGAGCAGAAATTTGAGTATGTCTAGCTGTCATGCGTCTGCTACCTATCAAATGTAAGATGATGGTCCAGGACTGGTTTGCAGCTACTTCCAGTTTAATGATCGAGAGTGAAATGGCAAAATGTGTCGACCACTTCACTTACTTGGGAAGTTGCATGGACCAGAACAGGCTGGTCACTGATGAAATTTCAGCTCGCATATAGAAGGCCCATTTGGCATTTCGAAATTTGCGTCATCTATGGCACCGACTGGCAAGATATCCAACTACCTGCAAAAGAACGACTATACTGCATTGCAATCCGTTCTGTCTTACTATACGGTTAAGACAAGTCCACTGAAAAAAGGTGATATGAGAAGATTACGGAATTTGATTACATGTGTATTTGCTGCAATGCATTGGAATCACCGAGTGAGCAATTGTCGAGCTTAAGCGAAAAGGACTAGACAAGAGGAGTAATTCAGTCGATAAAGTTGTGAACCGTCACCAACTGAGGTGACTTGAACATCAGTTCCACCTACTGAATTATCAACTACCTAGATGTGCAATATTACCCGAAGTTGGATTAGATTGGATAGAGGTTAATCGTAGTCAAACCAAGACGTCACGCCAGTCCATGAAATATGACTGTTGTGTGTGTTCTCTGAGCTAGGTTGTTTAGTCGTGAAGCTCTCATCGTCTTTCTAGATGACATCATCAGCACTAGTCAGTAGAACAAATGCCGGAAAGCTGGAAACCCAACACACACTGACCGAATCCCCAACTACAGTAGCAACAACGCACAAAATCACTTGAGTGCAGACTCTATTCAAAAGAGCGAGAATACACTGCAGTACAACAACTTCAAGGAGAAACGAAGAAATTACTTGATGTCCATCCTAAAGAAGAACGGCTACCCACGAAACTTTATCAGAGGTTGTCTATCCCCTACATCATCAACTACAAAGTCATCGATAGAAATCAATAAACACATCGTCCCACCATACATAAAGAATATATATCAGAAATCACAACAAAATTACTGAAACCACTTGATGGAATCGGTGTGGCTCATAAACAAACACATTCCTTCCAAACACTATTATGCAGACCAAAGGATGAGACAACCAAAGAAGACAAACCGAACGTCATTTACAAAGTCAATTGCAATAACTGTAGTCGCCTTCGTCTGCATGAACACCAATTGGCTACCAAACGCCACAACATCTCATCACTCATTTCAATACACGTGGAAATGTAATCAATTTCGGCAATGTAGAAATACTGGACAGAGGAAACACAGAGCATATCAAACAATTCATACAAGCTCGGCATTCAGGTCAGTCAGTCAGCAATCAACAGATGTATAGACATAGACCCAATCTAACAAACAATAGGAAAGGTGATAAATGACAGAAAGGTCAGAAGTCAAGAAGAGGGACAGTCAGCAGGAAAATCTACACTGTCAATGACACAACAATTAAAGGAAACAAACAGTCACAGACCACTTCGTCAGGGCAAGCTACTGAAGCACCCACAGAGACATATTGGCAACTCACTTCATACTGAAGCTAGTGCTGATGATGTCATCTAGCAAAATGATGAAAGCTTCACGATTAAACAACCCAGCTCAGAGAAAATAATACAACCAAGACCATCCACCTGAGTTACAAATATTCTCCACTGTTTTAATGTGACTGTTGATTTGATCTATGTAGGGAGGTATAGACTGTCTAGTTGTGGTCTTCAAGACAATAGAAATCAATGGTCGCAGACCCTCAGTGAAGTGGGTGCGGTTGTTGATCCTGTTGTGTGGTCATTACTTGTTAACATCGTAGATAATAAAAACGTTTAAACCCTGTGGCCCCCCTGAATGCAACTACCCCCTTCTTGTTCAGATATCCTCATGTACTGAGAGTTGAGTACTGCTGCTGTACACACTAAAGATTCACACCAGAATTGAACAAGATGAATACATAGACAAGTACCACATCGAAATGACATCAGAGGAGAAATGAGAACGAATGAAGATAAATGTGGACCAAACCAGGTGTTTTTCCAGAAAACTTTTTAAAGCTGTACATTCATGTAAGGCACATAAATGTATCATAGCTTTAAACAGCTAGAAAACTAACCTAAAAATAATAATAATAATGAAAGGCAGAAAAATACGTAATTTACCTTAATTTTTGAATCATTATCTAGAGACACAATTGGAACAGTAAGAGCTGTACATATCTGACAAGAAATAAAAAGAGAAAACAATCAAAATAATCATTATCAGAAATCAATCCTGATATATAAAAGATGAGTAAAGCAGTTCTCTTCAATCTAATTGCAGTCACAAAAGGCTGATTTTTCATTATTTTAGCTACTGTAATTCTTTAAGCATGTGAACAACAGTTACTAACTTACAGGCTTAAATTTAACCATGCTATACACGTTAGTTGAATGGAAAGAATTGTCAGAAAGGAGTGAATCTAAGATTTGAGCATTTTGGTACGCATCAGCAAGGCGTATCTGCAACTTCGATGAAACCGATGTCCTAAATGAGGTCTAAACCCGTATCACTCATTGCTGTAGTCAGAGACCTTACCACTGAATTATTTCAGTTGCAATTCACCTTTTGTACGACTGGATTAGGTGCATTGATTGGTCACTGGAGGGTAGGCAACTTCATTTAGTTCATCGAATCCTATCGATCCTTTTACAATATGGTCACCAGGGCTAGGAAGCTCATCAGTGGTAACGTCTCTGACGGCAACATTAGGTCTTTCAACTGGTTGTGACGTAGGAAAAGGCGCGAAACAGTCAGATTCAAGTAAAATAAAATAGATTGTTAGCACTAGATACAAGGACTTCTTAACAATTTCAAGTGGTAAATTGGTAGGCTAATTGACTGAAGATAAATAATATTTATGATGCTGAAAATATGTAGATAACAGTGACCAATTCACTCACTTGGTCGTTATTGTATAAAGACTATTGGATATGCTTTTCAATTTCATAATGAAGCAATTTGTTATTGTTATTATTATTATTTGTCCCTCAGGTTACAAGTGGAAAATAGGATTCGGTTGTTTGATATAATGCTGTCAGGTCTCTCCTACCTGCAGCCTGTTCTGCTTCACCTGTCCTAGAAGTATCTTTTGTGCTCGCGAGCACTCTTCTTCACTTCTTTGTCCAGTGTAGTGTTTTATAGGTTGTATACAGTTCCTCTTTTTGTTGTTCATCCTTGCACTGGTTTATCTTCTGCTTCATCATCTTCCTCTTACTGCTCTATCAGCTTCCATGTATCCGTCGAGATTCGTTCCTTGTCTTCTTTCCTCTTCCTTCCTAATACTGTTGTGCAGGCTTCTTTCCACATAGCTTTCAGAGACTTCCAGTGTTCTTCCACACAGGTTTCTTCAGGGATGTTGCTCGATATCTCCCATTTTGTTTTGATGGCTGACGTGAAGATTTCCTTTGTAGTTTCGTCCTCCAGTTCAGTTTCTGTTCTGGGTGCTGAACTTGAACTGTGGTCTATCATCAACTTCCTTGAAGGCTTTTAACTTGATTTTAAAGGTTCCTTGCACTAGGTAGTGGTCATGATCTTGTGTCCAGTAGGCTGTGTCTCCACTTTCTTCACTTTGAGATGAAAGCGATATGATTTTTAGTGTAGTGTGTTTATGTGGTGAAATCTATGTCGCGGCCTTGTGAATATCCTTGTGTTTAAACACTACCTTCAATCACCAAGTCGTTGAATGCACAGAAATCTGCAAACAGTCCTCCATTCTCATTCAGTTCACTGAGTGCTTCTTGACCCATGATGAGTTCTGTTCCTGTGTTGTCTGCTCCCAGTTTGGCATTCATGTCACCCAGTCGAATTTTGTTGTCTCCAACTGATTACAGTTGTCTGTAGAATCCCTCCTCCTCCTCTTCATTTGCATTATTTGTAGATGCCTAGCGTTGCATTGTATGATTGTGACTTTCCTTCCTTTTGAGTTGAACCTTGCAGTCATGTTCCTCATGCTGGAGGAGATTGGTTCCCACTGTATGAGAGCTTTCGATGCTCTCAGGGACATCATGATAGCCACTCCCTTCGTGCGCTCGTGGTTGTCGTCTGGGTGACAATATCGGAGTAGATTATTGACTCTCCAGTTGAAAGTTTAGAGAATCCACTTCCATTCCACCTGCCTTCGCAGATTCCTAGCCCTTGCATGCCATATTTCCTCATCTTTTTTGCAGTCTGGGTAGCCTTGCTAGGTTCATACATGGTGCGGACATTCCATGTCCCCATCCTTACTTTCGCTTTCATCGAGGGAAGCGACGACACAGCGGCCGACTGGCTTCCCAAAGGCTTTCACTTACTGGTGTCATTTCGTTCCTCCGATTCCAGCGAGGAATAAGTTTATTTTTTATTTTTATATTATTTCTGTGCTTTGAAGTTTCTTTAGCGATTGGATTGATTTTACGCGGGAAATTTGCTAGCCCTACGCCCAACCTTTCCTATTTATCCGGATTTCTGACCGGCTAGTACAATAGTGAACTAGTAAACTAGGCGAGGTTGATAATGAAACAATGTTCATCACAACGACTTAAGGGTGAGAAAATAAGACGATCAAAGATAGTGTTTGTTTTTGCCAGTAGGTTAACGAGTAGTATCTATAGCGCTAAATTAACACGACGAATGAATAAATGAATCCAGTACAACACAAAACCATGTTTATGGATGCTTAAATCTCATTAATAGTATTGGGGTGACAGTAAGACGAAAAAAGTGTCCCATCATGAAACTAAACTTGTGCTCATTACCTTGAGAACAAATGATACATATGTAAATTGGGATAGTTAGACACTTCTGGAATTCAGGTGTTAACCATGAAAGCTATTTCAGCGGGAAAATTGCTGATATTCTACCACACCAGCAAATGCCAACTTCGATAGCAAATTAGTACAACTGACTGTATTAGAATGTGACAGCATTTCCAGTGATAACGCCTTCCAGTTATAGATATCAGAATTCAGATAAGGTTGGCACAATTCTGTTAACAATAAGGTGTTTTCGGAGTAAGAATGCAAAAACAACACAATCTGAATCAAGAAGATCGCGACAGACCTTAGGCAGCTGATTCATACGCTTCGTGGTCACAGCTACAAACCAATGAAATATTTTTTCATAATCCGATTCTTTCTATATCTCACAAACAAGGTTTAATCTATCATAGTCTAAGCGAAAAGGAATTGTCAGTTAAGCTTTTACTTTTAACAATATGTGAGTTAAACTGTTCAACATCAAAACAGGACAGTAAATCAATAACCAATGATTACAGAAAATAACCAACCTCCAAGTGTTTTCGATGCAAACCACCGATTGTTCTACATTGAACGGGAACAGGTATACTATACTGTGAATCATCATTCTTATCATCACTACCGGTATTAATATTAGTTTCATACTGTTGTGAATTGCACTTAACATCAGAATCATTCCCAGATGCCCAACCATAGATTGGAGGGTATGTACCTGTAGTTGATAGTGTTATCCATGATAAAGAGATATCCGCACTATTTTTCAAAAAAGAATTGAGAATGATAGAAAAAACTGACGAAATAATACGTACCACATAAAATTTCTTTGAATATTTCACAAGGAGAAAGTATCCTTATAAAAAGCAAAGAAAACGGCTGTCAAAAGCGACCATAAACTCACAGTTTATACTCACAGATTATCTGATTAGACATCTACAGGATTAAAACAAATGTTCATATTACAATGGTAAAAGCAAATTATCAACAGCGGCTCACAACATTAGACGATGATTGGAACAAGTGGTCAATAAGCAAACACTGAATGACAAGACTGAAACATTGAAATAAGCTATTGATTAATCGAGTAGAAAGAGGAATAGCCGAGCTAATAGGAAAAATCCAGTTCTAACTGACTTTATCATATACCAAATACACCTTTCATTATCAATAATAGCAAAGTATATTAGTATCAGATGTTACAAATTAACCAATAAGAAAAATTTCCTGGCCTAGGACGTTTTACTTGCGCGTACTCATGAAAAAGTCATATCTGTGTATTTGATATGTATTTCTTTCAGATGAAAAACCCCTATGCTGAAGTAACTCAACGTTTAACCTAAAAATGCCTTCAATCGATCATTTCTCTTCAAATCGAATTGTTATATTCTTTTTACTTCACTGTTTAATTTGGTGACCTGGACATGCAAAGAAATCAACAGACATTTACAACCCTTGAAATGATAAGTAATAAAGGTCTTCAACGCAGTTTTTACAAAGAAGCGATTATTATACAAGGAAGTAAATTGCTGTTCCCATTAACATCTAGATATACATATACCCCGACTAACGTCTCGCTATAGTCCCAAGAGGTGTCAAGTACCTTTCTAAATCTTACATATCTATCTAAACGGACAGTATACAAAATGGTTTTTAACTGGCGGTTAGTTCAAAAAGTCACCCTTCTTGCTCTAGAATCTATTGTTATACCGTTGAGTACACAAGAAGAGGCCACTGAATTACCTGAAAATTATAACGTGTCTTTCAGGTTGGTACTCATCACGGACTAGGGGAACATTAGAAACCTGGGAGTACAGGGCAGATGTTTCGTCGTCATACGCGACTCCTCAACAGTGCGCATCCATAACCCCATCAGGAGTCGAACCCAGAACCTTCAGACTCCGCGACCAGCACATTACCATTGAGACACTGGATCGCAATCCAGTGGTCCATATTTCATACTTCTACCAATTCACGATATGGTGCGAACCCTACCCGATCCCATCATTGAGTAACTATCTTCATGTTCCACTTTGTCAGCTCTACCGAGTGCGCACTGGTGAGCAGTCCCATACTAGGATGAAACAACTGTTAAGTGCTCCAGAGTTATCAATATTTCTTTAACTAATATCAGCCAATATTGAATTCCAACTTGAAATCAATGAATAAATCCTCAAAAACCTCAAAATTGAACTTATTATGTGTTTTTCACAAATTTAATACATGGCACGGAAGCATAACACATATATATGATCCAAGATTCTTCGGAAATAAACAACTGAGAAATAGATTAAACTCATTTGGGTGAACAAAGAATATTCTTTTTAATAACTTTTTCATCTTCTGATCCTACAATTATCGGTAAACATCAAGGAATTATACGCCCACAATATTCAGATTTCGTTTAGTAGTATTATACAGTAGAGGAAGTCAGTTCAGAAAAGTATTTTGTGAAAGATGATGCCAATATCTATTATTATTATTATTATTATTATTGTTACTGGGATTCAATTCAAAATAATTGATTATTTAAGCTGTTATAGGGCTTGTGTAACACTATAAGGTGACAGTTAAACAAAACAATAGGTAGATTGGTTCATGACAGTTGGATGAAATAAACTCAGAAAGATAATTTAATAAACAGTACCTTGATAGAATGTGACTCATATTGGGGGAACAAAACAGGATGACAGAATTTGTTAAACTTATTTCAGTTAGATATCAGTGAACTAATAAGTTGTTCCCCATCAACCTGCCAAAAGGTAGCCAGCTTTGAATCCTTCATAATGCAGAAGCAGCAGTAATTAAGAGCAAATAATCAGAGTTTTGTGTTCAAAAAAGGAAGCATTGCCGTTGCAACTACCGTGGCTCAATTTACGGTCCATAAGTTCCTTATGAACAAGAATAAGAAACGTATCAGCGAAGAAAAATTTCTTTTCAACGAATTGAGTATCAAGCTGTACAGTAGCATTTATAATCGGTAAAATGATAGATAAATGCACTAAAAGGTTGCTAAGTTAATATGAAAAATATACAATAGGTGCTGGTGGTGGTATTTGTTCAGATAATCTTATTTTCTTATTCCACACTGTAAATATCCTTTCATCCCTATAATCTAAAATAAGTTTAACACATTTTCTTAGCCTGTTTTGTCCCCTAGCATGAGTAACATTCTATCATGCTATTATTTCTTAAATTATCGTTCTTAGTTTGTTTCATCCAGCTCTTATAAACACCTACCTACTGTTTTATTAAACTATCACCCCTACGCCGTATAATCGTCTAGATAACCAATTATTTTTAGGTGAATACTAGTAACAATTGATTCTATCATTAAAATTTTGATTATCTGAGATGGCCGTAGTTTAACAGACTAGTATTTATACAGGGTGAAATGAAAATTTAGACTGTGGCCGGATTCAAACCAGCGGCCACCGGGTTTCCGGTCCAACGCTTAACTAACTGAATTAAGAGGTTGACTTACGGCAGGATTTGAACTAGTGAGGACCAGGTTTTCGGTCTGGTGCTCTACCAACTGAGCTACTTGACTCGACTGCTGACCAGATTTTTATTTCACTCCAATCACCAAGAGTTTTGTCCGACTGCTACGTGAATTCGTGAAGTCTTACTATCGATTGATCGTCAGCCAAATCACAGCTACATCAGATAATCAGAATCAATATGATGCGCCACCTCTCCGATTCAAGCAGATATGGAATTGAAAGAAAAGTTCTGTCTCACCACAATCAAGTGGTAGTAACGCGTTAGGAATTCACATGGTAGTCGGGCAAAATCCTTGATGGTTGAAGTGAAGTAAAAATCTGGTCAGAAGTCATGTCTGCTAACTCAGTTGGTTGAGCACCAAGTCGGAAACACAGTGATCACTGGTTGAAATCCGGCCCCGCCTTAAAATTTTCATTTCACCTTCAATCATCACCCAGTGTCGATACTAGTTTGCAAACCACGTCTATCTCAGACAGCCAAAATGATGTATCAAATTCACAACAGAACTTGATTACAAAGTAAATAGTTCACATTATCTGTTAAGTAAAAGTTGATGATAAGTATTCCGGTTACTTTTGAAAAGATCATCTCGGTTAATTCACTTTTCCAAACCCAATAGGTTTCAATTCTCTGAAAGTCATTACATTCACAAAACGTAGATGCATTAATCATGAGCAGATAGGTATATAAGACTGTTTTCGTGAGACTAATTAGACGAAAACCCATGGCACAGAAATTCTAGGGATATATTCCAAAAAAAGGCCTAGGAAATACATTACTGTCATCCCAATTAAGATAAATGTATGAGAAACATATGAGGAGTCCATAATCCAGTAAGCAACGACAAAAAGCAGACGTCTGCAACTTCAAAACATTGTTTTCAACAGTAAAATGGAATACAACAAATATTATTCGTTAACTCCTCATTTATCACAATACTTCGGAGAAATTGATATGACAAATATAACTAAAAGGTTGAACTAACCTATGGACTGATGAACCACTTTCCACATTCTGCATAGATTCAGGGACAGCTTCAGAACGTTGACCAGAAGTGAATGCAGCGAAACTTTAAATAAAAATTAAACACAAATATCTTCACGATAAATTTTATCAACTTAAATACACAAATTATTATTTAGTCCACCACAGTTAGACTACCCACTTAAATTAAGTAGCCAAACGTGTTAAATAAATTATTTTCAAATAAAATAGATATTAAGTGATGGTGAGAAGTGTTACTTTGAACACACATACACACGCAACACTATTTTAGTGAATTCCTGTTAATCGAACGATGGAAAACAAAAACTGATAGGATGGATTATTAAAAGTTAGTCAACCAATGATTATTTACGTTACAAAACGTACTCAAGAATTAGCTGGTTTGTTAACGTCTATAGTGAACCTTAGTTCTGTTCACTTCTCACCTAATACTGAGTGCTAGCAACTATTAACTCAAGAGGAAATGAACTATTTCTATAAAAATAGGATAAAATTTAGTTGCCTAACAGTTTTCGAGAAACTGTTAACCTGTTCTTTCTAAATCATACTTCAATGTGATTATGTCTAGCAACATACATCAATAGTCATAAACAACCATAAATTCATGCAAGGTATGATAAAACGTTACGTTTAATATCAAATTATCAACTTGACAATTCAATCAATAAAAAAGTATTAGTTAACCAGAGAAGTCCTTGAAAATGAGGATTAATAACACCGATGATTATGGATATAGTTCAGTTAGTACAAATTCAATGAACCTTAGTTTTGAATTGACCTAGAGCATAGTGTTTTCGAGCATGGACTTATAGAGAGTGTTTCACTGCTGTTGCAACAACAAGAACACTTTCTAAGAATCTTCCATTTACCGAAAGGAAAGAAAAACAGCCCATCTAAAGGAGGCAAAACGTAGCTAAATTAAGCCACATAATTTTTTTTTTGTGAAAAAATCTGATGATACAAATACAGTCATTTAGAAAATAAAAGTGAAAGGTAAAAAAACAAAGAGTTAATTTCATGTAAATTGTAAACATCTAGACCATAGTTGTTACAAAAATTATGGAAGAAGTTGGGCGCCAAGTCTGACTGAACCATTACAAGAATATAGTTTAATATAATCTCAGAGGGTCTAGAAAATTAAAACAGGACGTCTCTGAACGTTTTGTTGTGTCAGCCAAATCTTATTCAGCAGAATATACGAATTTTTTTCTTTAAAAATCAGTATATTGTGCTGAAAAAGCTGTGGCTTACTCAATGAAACTTTCAGAAATATCTTGTTCTGATTTTTTTTAAACACGTTGAGATTATATTAAAATCATGATTCATGTAAATTGCTTCAAAAAGAGAATAACAGTGGAATATGATCCACTCAAAAACGAAAGAAAATTTATACAACCACCAAATTTCTAAAGATTAAAACAACATATTAACAACACGATAAACAATTGAAGAGAGCAGGTTTGCCGTGTTTATTTTGTTGTATCTAAAAAAAATCCCGAAAAAATAATAATAGTTCCAGAAAACATCTTATAATAGGCAAAGGAAATAAAATCTGTAAACCAGTATACTTTTAAACCAAGAATCAATATGTTACTTAACACAGGATATATATGTATAATATTATGTGAAAAGTGAGCAAAGGTCTAGCTGCGAGGGGGGAAATGCACAACTTATGTACAGAAAAAGTCAAAATATTTAAATAGAAAAGTATACTACTTATAAACATAATAAGTATATTCAACATCGTTAGAGAAAAGAATAGACCAAAATGCAACCTCAGTGGCTGAATATATATATATATATATCCACAAAATTCCCTCTCAAGCATGGATTATTGGTTACATTACTCTAAAAAATGATCAATCAGTAGTGTGTGTGCATGAAAAATTGTATAAACAATGCCATAAAATCATGTTAGTTAGCCATGAGAGTGATATTCACCACAGACATGATTTTTTTAGAAACTTTGCACTTTTATCCATTGTAATGGTATAGAGAAGAAAGAGAAGAAATGTGAGGAGATTGAGAAGTCAGAAAATGTTACCGATTCTGTGGTAAGGAAGGTTTTTGAAGGAATTTTCTGTAACTGAAGGTTTTAGAAAACAATAAAATAGGAGGAATTAAATGGATCATATAATTAAGGATCGTATCATTGATATGAAACTACAATTTAGTTACTTCCATTTTATTGACAGAGATCAAGCTATGAGTTTCAGTCGTAAAGAACTAATTCTATTGACCACGGGAATGAACAGAAAATACAAACAGTACGGTAAACTTTATTAGATGGCCAGTGTTTGAAAGAATACAGTATATATCATAATTATCATAACTGACAGTCGCCTACAGATTTTATCCCGTATTCTTCGTTGTTTCGCTAGTGGGAAACGTAAATATTTGGAGTTTTAGGTATAAGACGTAATTCAGTTGCTGAGGTTGTGAACCTTTAACCGACTGAACAGGCTGTGATATACGTAACGCATAAATAGTCACTGTCTATTAGTAAGAATAGGCTGGTAGACAGTATTCGGGAATCAGAATAAATGTGGCATCATTTCTAACTGTTGGTTTGAGTCACCTTAACTGGGCGAAGGCAATATAAGTAACTGTAAAGACATCGACAGTATGTCGTACCAGTTACATCTTGTACATTGGTCACTAAATTGACATTTCCACCAAGTGAAAATCTGAGCTCAGAGAATCACAGCGTCTTGCAAATAACCGACACCGCATACTTCCTTGGGAATATTTTACAAATAACTAGAAAATATTTTTTATAAACAAAGCGAAGTGCAAAAAATTAAATTTAATATTAATTCTATTGAAAAGAAAGATGATAAATGGTCACACGTATATATATAAAAGACAAATCATAAGGCTCACGCCATATGTTACTAGATATGATTGTTGCCTCGCTTATCTCATTTATAGAAAAATATCTTCTTCGTTTTTAATATTTTCAATGGAGTAATATCATCTGATTAATTATGCTTTATTATTTAAGTGATCGGCTTAATAATATTTTATTCTATAATACAGATCAGTTGATATACACTTTAGTAGATTGGAGTGAGTGAGTGAGTGAGTGAGTGAGTGAGTGAGTGAGTGAGTGAGTGAGTGAGTGAGTGAGTGAGTGAGTGAGTGAGTGAGTGAGTGAGTGAGTGAAACTTGTTGTACAACATATACACAGCCTACTAGCGTTATTGGAAATATGTTCATTACGTATTGACTTCAGTGACCTATGACATATAACCACTGAAGACATTCTATTCCTATAACTTCATTCTTGAAGCGATAAACGTTTTATCGATTACTTAAGAGACGTCTTGAGAAATGTTTTGGTTACGTTAAGTTACCGTTTGTGTCAACATGCCACATTCATTAAATTTCAAGTAGACAAATAAGTGGTACTCATCTGTGATATCACTACTATGTCAACCTCAACTATGCAACAGATTCCTGATGAGAATATAGTGTACCACACACAATGTAATACTTCAACTAATGAGTTTTCAATGATTATCCATGGCTCATATATACGGCATCAAATATTTTATGCATTATGATATGACTGGCAAAAAAAAAGTCACAGATTCATTAGCAATCAAATCATCAGTCTTCATATTACAGTCATGCATTCATTCATGAATGACAGTCGAGTGGTGACAGTAACAAAGACAGAAAAGAGGAGCGATGGTAGGGAAATACCGAAGAAACAAAACAGCAGAAGCGGGAGAAATAGACAGTTAACTCACATATTAAAAGGACATGAATACTATTCGTAACACTAATGAATTTACTGGATAACTTAGTAGACTTGTATAGTATCATCAATTTTAGTTTCTTACAGTAGTGCTTAGTAGAATCGTAACCAAAAGAAAGTTGTACAGATACGTTTATACTGCTTCACGCATAGTAGTACATATAGCCGCATAATTGGCAATACGGTAAGTATTCTGTTTAAGTCACAATTGATCACACTCATAGATTATTCATCCTGATTAGTAGATCAGATCTGACTGTATCTTACTATTTTCCTTTTCTAAACTACAAAAGGTCAGTAATAGTCAATTGATATGTGAAGGCGATTATGGCAGCACTTAGGTAGTCCAATATAAAAATGAATCCATCCAAAAGGGTTTAGTTACAGAAGATTTAGACACTGTGTGCAAGACATGGTGAACAGTGGAGACAATACATAGCAGAACTATGACGTAAAACTCTTCAGTATACGTTTATTTCATAAGTACTGCGAGTTGTAATCTTTCAACATTAAACAATACTTTGGCTGAGACAAGATGGAACTGCGTAGTCGTGGTTAGTCAAAAAAACGTGAACTACTTACTGTCCACATCCCACATGACAACCAGACATAACGGTCAAATCAGAAGTTAACATCCTCAGTCAATATATTGTCATACTAATAACATAATGATCACTAGTTCAATCATTATTATACTTGTCAACGAAAGACCATCCCAAGTAAATTAGCTATAAATTATTGTTGGAGCTATTAGTTGAATGGAATGCCTTTGAAAAGAAAAACTTGTATTGTATATTAAGGGTGAAATGACAGCGGACTATTGACCTTCCTGGTGCTCATCGACAAGGCGTATCTGCAACCTTCAAGACGCTCAAGTTAGAGACTTTACCACTAAGCTATTCAAGCCATGACTAAGCCTCTTTACGAATGAACTGTGTACACGAATTGTTCACTAGACGAAAACCGCTGCTGCTATCAAGCACCTAGTGTAGATCATAGTTGATCAACCAATTTTTGAACGAGGTACCGAAATGATATGATAATGCAGTTCATTGTATTTTGATACTAAACATTAGAATTCGACTAGAAATGAAAGAAATAATAAAAATCTTACAATTTCTGTAAACTTTGTAATGGTCCAGTGACTGGAGTAATTGAATCACATTTTTGTTGCGGTGTTATCACCTTTGATAAAAGATCTGGATGCCCTTTTTGACCGATTCGTAGAGTTTCCGTAAATCGTACAGCATCTTGTAATTCTAAAAGACGTTCTTTATAGTGATTACGTTCAGCCAAGATACGTGCCATTTCTGAACGTGTGAAACGTTTTCTTTGCGATGAATTACTAGACTCCTGTTAAAAAAATATATATCAACATTAACCGTTTAGGGTACCAAGTTATATTTTCAAACGAATTTTTCGTGAAAATTCAGATAAAACAGCTAATTTCCTTTTTTGAAGATAGAGAGTCATTCAACAGGAAATATCAAAAATCACTTCCAAGATGTAATACAGTTATAGAACATTCGGCGTCATTTTAAAAGATGAGCGGCACAACCAACCCTCTGATTGTACACTGTGTAATACAATACCAAAACTACTGTTTCACAATTCATTATCCATTGGAAATCAGCAAGAATTAAAATTTTAACACCTAGAGTATTTCTGCATACACAAAGCTGAACCTTTTAAAGGTTCTCTTTACTGGCTCAGTATTATATAAAACTTGAAACAGAATGAATAAATAAAGCTGTATACAATCGTTTTCAAACGTTAACCAAATTTTACGTCATTGGTATGCTTTACCGAGAATCTCGGGAAGAAATATTTTACACGACCTCTGTTCAGTACATCATATCTAGGTGTTGGGATAGTGGTTGAATTCGAAGTTTTAACACAATGGCCTAAATACTCGACTTTCAACCACTGGATGTAGTTGTGCTCCACTTATCAAGTTTGACCAGTCAAGTAGTACCAGTTGAAGTGGCTCATCCAGTGACTGAATAATATGCAATATAACTTCAGCCTATATAAAGTCATAAATACACTAAATGATTTACCTATTACAGCTGCCATTCTGCACCTATGGCTGTGAATGTTCAGTGGTTTCATACTAATCGAAGTGACTCTTACTACCGCCAACCGTTCGGAAATAATCTCCTATCCAAGAATCACTGCACAACTTGAAAGTCAACATTTTCATTCACAACAGGCAAAGACTTCATGAAATAATATCATGTTTTAGTCCAAATAACTAGCTTTTTTCGACGTAGTTCTACTTCAGTCAGCATAGTACATCACGACAGATGATGATAAGACGTGTGTAATACACATCAAAGCCATCTCAGTCGATGAAATTCACAACCGACTAGACTGAATTACCTCCGTTACCCAAAACACTATGTCTAACCTAATGGAATGGTTCCACGAAACTCAGCCAATACTACGAAATTAACGTTGATAGAAAATATGAAGCTTTTTATTTCTTCTACGTTTTACAGTCAAAGAGTAAGACAGAGCAAACCACTGAGTAGTACACCAGATCTTCAGTAAGTATCCGAATAGTTTACCAACAGTAAAGTGATTTAAGTTGGAAAAAGTCAGTCTGAATTTTGTATCCATTCCAAATCAAATAACCAATGCAGTCTACCACTTCACTCACTTTTATCAGAGGAGACATCAACATAGACCAGTCCTAAAGTGATGAGAAACACACCAAAAATAATAACAGAATGTTATTTGTTGTCCCAAGCACTCTATTTCTAGTCAGCATCTTCACGTGACCAGAGTATGTCGTCTGTGTACTCAAGTTCAACTAAGAAATCTCTAATAAGATCTTGAACGCCTCCATAAGTACTTTCAGGATAAAGTCCAATGAAAACACTGCAGGTCCTCATAAAAACACAAGTGTTCAGGCACAAAGACTTCAGCAAAGTAATGTATTTGTACACTGTACACCTATCAGTGAGAGACAAACTTTCTTTCGATCGACTGAGTTCAATGTTATCTCCAAGGTAGGAAATACTGTTAGTGTCAAAACTCGATGTGCCTATGTTCTCAGACGTTGAGAAGGATGAATATGCATTAGATACACACACCACCAACTATGAAACCTGTTGGATTTTTTCAAGCTTGCCGATCCCCAGTTCTACTTAGGCGTTAGATTATAACAAGCTTGATAGAAATCATAATTCAAGGTCATTCGCCGTTGGGTGGAAATATTTTCGTTCAGATCTTGATTTATCGCCATGTATGGTCAAATTAATCCTACTGAACAATTTTGTCCTGCGGCTGATTGGTGATCGAGTGACTTCATTTAGTGAGTAGAAGCTGTATATAAATACTACGTTTTTATCAAATTTAGTTGTCTTCCTTAAAGTCAGTCACAGGCCTGTCTTTGTCTTCTGATTTTCGCGGCTCAGTGAAGTATCAGGTGTGGGGGAGAACAGTCGCATTACTCGTATCTAGTCCAAGTATCTCGCTGCGTTATTACTTATTTCACTTATTATTAGAATCCACATCCTAATCCGATGCAGTCAAATCAAAGCTATAATTTTAAACACTACTTTATTCCTATGCATTTAGCTGCAGTAATTGCAAGAGGATTCCTATCGTTTCTTGAAGATAAGGACAATCAAAAATTGGTACCAGCAAGTGAAGTTCGTATCTGTTTCTCATACGCTAACCAACACTTTGATCAACCTAACCAATAATCCTCTGTCATCGTTCTTAAATACCTCTAGTGCAAATCATCCCTCGTTCAGGTTACCCACAGTCATCTCTAAGTTTGCAAGGTTGGAGGCTTCTTTTCGATGTTTTATTAAGGATCCAACTGAACAATGAGCAAAAGAATAGTAGTTGGAAGTCAGTTGAACCGTGCCCACAAGTGTTTCACTCATCCTTCTAGTTGTTTATCCCATCAGTGAACTGTAGGTCCGTCTCACCCAGCTGCAGTGACATTAACCATTGACTTTTTCATCTTCGTTTACTCGATTAGTCTAAACAACTGTCCATTGTTACCATTTTTGAGCCCTTCACCGACTATCGTTGATCACGGTCATTGTGTAGACTCTTTATCATCATACATTTGAGTTACTACCGGTCCCCAATTTCTTCATAATCTTCAAAAATGCGTTCATGTATAACAAATAATTCGAAAAAGATATTGAGATCCACTGACCCTTTTGTGAGCTGACCTACCTGGAGGTCTTGCATACCACATTTACGTCATTCAGAGACACTGACAAGACAAAAAGCCGAAATACATTGAGTGAAAATCTGAGACTACTACCAGTGTTTCGTGCCAACCAGCTACGCCACGAGTTGCATTAGCCTTGACTGTTGACTGAATTTCGACACGAACATAGAAAAATTGACATTTTTCCGCCTATGATAAAATACACTGAAATCACAGTTAAAGAGCGTATTCAAATATAAGCCTTTCACCCTATAGTGCCACAGTCTGTATATATAAAGCTGAAAATAACAACGACTTCACCATGAATATCCTCGCAAAATGTACTCGAAGCACGTGAATAGTGTTGAGGTTAAAGAAAAAGTCAGAGTCAAGGTGAGCTATTCGATGAGATTGTGAAACTCCATCAATTGTCATGTTTAGAACAGTTTAAGCATGTAGGAGAATAGTGAGCTCTTATAGACAATAATGATGGGTATAAAAATCAGGTAGATGAAAGGAAGTTAGAGAAACAACAAAACATAAGGCATGGCATCAATATATGGAGTCACTGATAGTCGGTTTGAGCTTCCAAGCAAAACGCTAAATACATCACTGCAGTCCTTGAGAAAGTGGGCGCAGTAACTGAGTAGTATGAGTGGAAGATAGAGAAGATGAATTAACTACAATACTCAGGCTGCAAAGAGATAACTGACACGCTTCAAATAACTTATTCTTCACTCAACCAACAATACTTATCATAATGACAGACGAGTCAACATTTTATCATCCTTTTGATTCAAAATTTTTGATTACTGTTTATTTACCAATGGTCTTTTCATTATATTCTTGTTGTTGCTACTCTTGCATCTTTCTGATTTCATTTGATTTTTTCTCTTTGTACTGTCTCGAAATGTGAGAAATAAAATCGATTCATTTCGAAGGAAAAATTAACTATTTCTGTTTTTGTCTACTAGTGCTTTCACCAAATATACGAGATATCTTGAATGAATCAATGTTGAAATGCCAATAGACATCTCTGCAGGCCTACATCAACGACTATAGTATTACGCAATACAGTTTAAAGCTTTACAGTAAAATACTGATGGTCAAACATACATGTTGTCAGTGTTACAAGCGGGTAAGAATTGGAGAATGATATCTAAGCATTATTCCATTGTGATGAGTGGTTATCCATTGTTAACAATGTATATGCATAATAGGCAACTGAACACTTGTCTCTCTGACTTTTATACTTGAATTCGTTTGATTTTGATGAACAACGAATTGTTATTCATTGAGTTCAATCTTCTGATTTTCTTTTCAATGAAAATTATTGATGAGTTGATAGAGGGGGTATAAAGATATATCACCTACGATACCTATCGAAAATAGCTTCACTTAACAGATTTAGGCTGTTTGTGATGGTGATAGAAAATGCTACAACCAGTCAGTCAGTACATTGTATATGCAAAATATGATTTTTATATGCGTAATCTGAGATACAAATTTCAAGTTTCGTCATTAATGAAAAAAATAAGTTGATACACAAGGCAGAGATGAAATTGGATACATTGAGGTCGTCTTTCAAAGAATGATTGTGATTATCCAATTACTAATTGTTATTGTAAGGATATAAGCGTTCTCTTCAGCCTGTAAAACTCGATTCACCTTTAATTAGAGCATAGTACAAAAATCTATCCAAGCTAGTTAGTCAGTTGGTCAAAGGAAATAAAACAAAACTTGAAAAAGAAATCAACAAATCTTATACTGCTTACTTCATTTTTACTCTCTAGACATGCTGATAACTTCTCATTTAACTGGTTAATTTCTGAACGAGCATCGCTTAACATTTGATCTGTACTAGTCAATTCACCTTGTAGATTGACACGTGCCAGTGTCAACATATCTACTGATTCACGCAATGATATATTTTCCCTGATAATAATAATTAATAATAATAGTGATAATGATAAGCATAATCTCAGTGAAAAAATATTATTATTGTATGATTAAGGTGAACAATATATATATATATATATATATATATATATATATATATATATATATGCATTGACCAACAGATAATCATGCATAAAACTCTACTACTATTGTTTAGTAAAAAGAAAAACAATAACTCAAAACTGATAGTATATACTGATTTAAGATATGAGATATCTTAAAAGTAGAAAGTTGATTGATGTTGTAAATGTTACTGAAAGTGATAAAAGAAACGATATGATGACACTGTGTGTGTTTGTGTGTGTGTATATATATATATGAATGAACACACTAAACAATAACAATATATTGACGATTTAGAGAAAGGGAAAAAGTAAACACATTTGCACTATTCTTATTGTTGATATTACAGTTATATACATATCACACAGAGTCTTTAGTGATTCATACATTTAGTTGCCTTGACAAATTTGAACAATGCAAAAATAAGGACATTTTCAGAATACAATGAACTTCCTTTACACCCATTTACAAAACATGTTGGGGAGGGGTCCTGAAATTTGTTGAAGCCTTAGCTATTAGGAAGTTAAAACCATCTTTATGTGTTCATAAACAATTTGTTGTTACATTAAACCTTCCTTGGTAAATTCAACTATTGAAAAACCAAGTTCGATGTACTATTATTTTTTCGCTCTATTGATTTTCATTGTTATTCGGCCTTTAAGTCAGCCTTCTTACCTGCCCCTTTTTATTTTCTCACCCCTTATCTTCATGAGTTTTTACATAACTACCTATGACAAGTAAGTGTGTGATCAGATAGTTCGAAATGTGTTGCACAAATACATTACACGATTCAGACAATTTACGTCTTCTTATTGTTTTGTCGAACTCAATTTTATTTCATGGAGTTTCATCAGATGCAAACAGCCTTCAATCGAAATGAATATGTAGAAATAAATGGAGATTTGAAATCTAGGATTATCAATAAGGTAGTGAAGGAGTCGAGGAAACACGGGATTAATAATTACACATCTTAATATATATATATATATATATATATATATATATATATATATATATATATATGATGAGATGGGAAATTCTGGAGCTGTGAAATGGGGGGACAACAAACGAAAATCAGTGTAAAAGAAGGGACTGTTTAAGGGCTAATAGGTTACGTAATTACATGAAAAACTTGAAAATAGTTAAGTGATTAATATTCAGTAAGTAATTAATGAAGAGATGATGCCATTTAATCAGTTCACCCCGAGAGTATAGCCCTTATATGTAAACAACTATACTATAAGCATATTTTGTCTTCGGTAAAAGTTAATTCCTTGAGTATAAGCTCTCTCTGTATCCTTTCTTCCCTCTCTCTTTCAATTTGTGTTAGCTAAGCATTTATAAATGGAATATTGTGTGACTAAACTTTGACGTGAAAGTTTCATACTATTGCAAAAATATAACATAACTATGAAAGTTCCAACAAACAAATATCAAAACATTTGATTTTACTAAACAGAAAATAACATAATTACTAAGCTTCGAAACACCGAATTACCAACCCATTTTAAGGGATATTCATAGAACGGTCCATTTAAATGTAAAGCACCCTATTAAGAAAAGAGAAGTTCATCAAAATAAACATCTGACCAGCTTTCCTCACTTTTATCATTGTGTTCTATTGTCAGTCACTGCAATAAGTAATAGCAAACAGTGAAGGTTTCACAAACTTTGATGGTGGCACTGCCTGATTGAGTTCCTGGTGAGGATACAAACCAAAAGTTGGAAAAGCTTGTTGATATGACTAAAAATCAGTCACAGTGGTTTAGATGTGTAAACTTTTTGTCATATCTGAAGTTTTGAACATTTCCTTTAACCTTCATTAATGTATTATCTTTCCTCTCATATACTTTGGTCAGATTTTGTCATTCTTTTTCTACCCACGTGTTAATTGTGCGCTCCTGTTAACGGTAACTGATGCGCTTGTGCACTAGGCTCTATCTCGATTTGTCTTTTAAAGGAGATATATGGGACCTTTTCCCCCACTATTTGGTCTACTATACCTTTTAATTGAAGCTTGAAATTCTCTGTGGTGGTCACTTAAGACTTAAAGTGATCGGTTTTAGTTGCGGTGTATTGTTTCTTTGAATATGTGCCATCAAAGTTTGTGAAACCTTCACGTTTTTCTATTACTTACTGCAGTGACTGACAATAGAACACAATGATAAAAATGAAACGTCCAAGACACTTAAAGGTTCATCGCATATGAGCAGCGATGTGAATAAAAGTTTAGTCGAGAATCCGTAACCTCTTCGTATCACCTTTTTTCAGTGTCAATTTCTTAGTCATTTGGTAGAATACAGAGGACTGTAGTGCAGTATATTCGCCTGAGCCGGAGATGACGCAAGCTGGCAAATGCCAAACAGATATTTTGTATACGAGCTGAGATTTTTTCAGCCAGCAACCCATTCGAGCTGATACGAATTTCCAAGTAAAGTAGTTGATGTATCCTACCAACTTTACTCTATATCTTTAAACTTAGAGTAGCTACAGACCAGCTCCGGAGCATCATCTTACATGTGACAGGTACAAGTAGAGAGTCTTGGTTAGCATGATACATTTGTTCGATAAATATGACAGTCAGACACTGCCATAACAACCTTCGATTGATGGCATCAACTGCCGACACCAGGTCAACATATACATCCAGTAACGGCCACCCGTTACCATCTCTGGGTATGGAAACCTGTCAACGGATGAAGATTTGATTGATGCATCTTTGTCTCGGTCTGAAAAAGGGGTGGTTTTCTTGGATTTGTTTTTGAATTCCTGGTACACGTCGGATAACTATGAACCTTAGGATCTCAAATATCAGAACAGTCAACCTGATTCAAGTATACTGGAATTATAGGCAATTTATAATATGCTGATGGGAGTATCTCTAGAATCTATACACTAACTAGCATCTTGATCATTCGACTAAATGATTTTTAACCTCCATCCTTAAAAATCCATGGCAGTAAACAACTAAGTGGCATTGGTTGCAATGACCAGGTTTGACGCAGCCTTCTCAACTTCAGTGAGAGTTGGAGGATCCATAGCCACATCTCATTTAGATTCGTGTTGGATGTTGGTCTGATTTTATGCATTGTAATACGGAAATATTGCTCTGGATCAAATAAATACACAAATAATCTGTTTTAGATTCAAGATTCAATTTGAAAAACTTCAAATTTTTTAACATCAGTAACTGCAATCAGGAAGAGTACAAACCATGTTTTACAGTGAAACAAAAGTATGAACTAATAAAAAGGCATGTAGTACAATTTATGTATCTCATTTTTAAAAAAAATCAGGAACTCACGAAGTTAAATAGTCAATTTTAGCCAATAAATCATCTTTCACAACATTTAAAGCATTTCTGTGATCGAAAAGAAAAGATGAAATAAAAGGGAATGAAAGAAACATTATCTTTAATCAGAGTAAATAACTTCATTAAAGGTGTTAATACTGATTTCACTAGACCTGGCGATGAAACATTCAATATACAAAATTAAAGCTTAGAGAACATTAAACTATTATCATATTTATCTTGAATTATCGATTCAATTAGTATACATGAGAAATAGTAACTCATGAGTTGCTTTACTGTATACACAATATAAGCTAAGACGAGATAATCACAGTTTGTCAACAGACGTCAGATAATGAAATTAGTCCCTTTTAAAGAGTAATTTTTGATCGATATGAAAATACTTTATTTTTGAAAAGTAAAGTAGAAAGTTTAAGGATTGTGCAGTTTATGACATTCCAGGATAATATAGTATGGAAAACGTACTCTCATCCTATGAGTATTAAATAAAAAATAGTAATAATGGCGCATCATCGTTTCAACTACAGGCGGCGGCATAGATGAGGACGTTAATACCAGGATCGGAAACGCAGGATAGGCTTTCACCAATCCAAAATCAGTGTGGAGATCCACTGCACTCAGCACAAAGAACAAGATCTGGATTTTCAACACTAATGTCTAGTGAGTCCTGCTATATAGTTCAGAAACTTGACGCGTTACGAAAAGCATTTCCAAACAAACTGCAGACATAGATCATCAACAGCTACCGCCTACGCTCACTGGATACTGAAGGAGAGATGGAGAGAATAATCAGAATAAGCAACAAGGAACTCTGGCTGGTAACGAACCAGCCAAGAAACTATCACCCAACAAATATGCAGAAGCAGAAAGGGGAGATGGATTGTATTGGGCATACACTGAGAAGGACAATTGGGACATCGCGCGCCACGCCAGGCTCTCGAGTGGAATCCAAAGGGGGAAACGAAGAGTTGGGCATGTGGGCCGGGGGTGACATGGAGGAGATCGTGTGAGGAAGAAATGAAAGCTGGTGGGCAGTCGTGGCACCAGGTTCAAAAGACTGGAGAGAAGAGAGTGAAGTGGCTATGTGCTACTGAAGCCCTATGTTTCACTAGTAACCCAAGGGGAAAAAATAATAGTAGTGTAACCTATTTTTGGTAAAGAGTTAGTCGATATATGTAGTAAAACCTTCCCATGTTATAGTGAAAACGTCAAAAAGTTGCATAAAAGGTTATAAGTATTACTCTGAATGTTCGTGAGCAGAAAGTACTGATGCATTGACTGCACTGTTGAAGTCTAAGTGAGAACAACAGAAATGCAATACGCGTAAACTGAAGTAACAAAACTCCAGCAGCACTCTTCAATCAGCAAAAATATACAAAGGATTTAGCATTACTACATAAAGAAATCTGTTGTCATATCTCAACATACAAAATGAAAGATAGAGAAACCGAAGAAATGTAAACAAAGTTGCAGAGAGTCACTATAAGAGAGGGAGAAGAGGTGAAAACAAGAACGAAATGTGATATGACAATTAGGGTAACTATAATACGTGAATGCATTTGCACTACTGTAATCGATTCTCAGTGATATCGTCTTGAGTCTCCAAACATCGATTACGGTTGTCACGCTGTTCTCAACCGGGGAGATTACATTTCCATATAATAATCAGACTAACTATCAGAAACTTCATGAATTGCTGTTACTTTTTGATACGGCCACCTTGAACTATTTTCCAACTAGAACCTACTTTGATAATGTGCGTCGGGACAGTACGACTTCGCTCTCGGACCCTGACCACAGTGTAAGCTATTTACAGTATGACAGTAACTGCTTTCAGTCCTACTACAATTCAACACAGCAATATGGCATGACAGGACAACTAAATGAGTCACTATGATATATGGAACCTAACAACCAAATCAAGGAAATAGCTATTGATCAGTGTCTACTGGTAACAAACAACATAAACTTGCTAAAGTTTCGCATTATAAGTGATACGCAATATTAACCGTCGATGTAGTCGAGCGAGGAACTGGGTTAACTATCAGTACAATAAATGATGGATAATCGAATAGCCTAGGCAATTGAATCACAACTTTACAATTTCCACTGTATTATACGACAGCTTGCACACAGAGTTACATATACATAAACACATTTCATATTATTCACTCAGATGACATCAATAGGGTATATTATTCGCGTGAAACGAATGATTTTATTACAACAATATGTCAAATACAAAAAATGAAGGTCACAAAAAGAACTTCTTTGGATATGAAACGCTTTTATTACTTTCACCCGATTCACGCATTTATAGTAGTGTAACTGTCAAAATATTATGTGTGTAAGTGTGCACATGAAAGTTATAATAATAATAATAATAATAATAATAATAATAATAATAATAATAATAATAATAATAATGGCTTTATTCTGAAAGGTATTTCGGGAATGCTCTACAGAATTTTCAGCACGTCATATAGCACCAGTTGGATAGAGACAGTGTATATGTATACATATCAAAATGAAATAAGCAGAAATTATATGAAGAAAAGATAAGAATATTACCTCCATCTACAACTTTCTTCAAAATGCATAGTCAATTTAGGTAGACAATCACACTAGCAATTAGATTTATAGTACGCAAAAAAGTAACATGCTCTTCTTCAATTAGTTTGCTTTCAAAAATCGTACAGATAAACCAAATACGCTATTGTAGAGTTTTATATTTTGTAGTATGTGGACAGAGTCTTATGTACTTGTTCCTCGTCTTTCCAGATGACCAACACATAGAGAGCTTTGGATGAAGATGTTGGTCATCTGATAAAATAACTATTCCCAGATGTTTACATGAGTTAACATATTCGTCCACAACAGTTTTAACTAGAAGGTTTAGGGGTAGACCACCAGTTCTCCAGACAATCTTCATAGTTCTACGCAATATAACGTAGTCTTTTTTTAGCAACCCAGGAAAAAATAAAGCAGAGCAATAGAGAAAAACTGGTAAGATGCAGAGGTTTATAAAACACAAGAGGAGAGGCTGAGCAACAACAGATACTCTCAGCTTCCTAATACAGAATAGTTAGGCGGAAAATTCTTTTGGAAACTAGTAAGATGTGGGAAGACCAGAAAAGGTCCGAAGAAAAACACAAGCCGAGATAAATCACACTTGTAACATTCTTTAAGGCGCAACTACCAATAGAACAGGATTCATGATAAGTTAGCGGTTTACGTAGGTTATGTTCACGTCTAAAATTGAAGTTTCTAGTCTGACATTTTGAAGAATTAAGCATAAGACCATTCTCGGAGGACCACCGTCTAACAGTAGACAGGAAATCATTCAGTTGGGAACAATCTCCTGAAGAGTAGATAGGTATAGAAACTGTTAGGTCATCGGCATATTGAATAAAATTGATACTAACTGAAGATGGTAAGTTACGCAGAAAGAATGAGAAAAGACATGGGGGAAGGATGACTCCCTGAGGAAAATGAGTGAGTGATTTTTTTTAATCCTAACTGTCTAACCAAATCACAAATAACCCTGAAAATCACAGCCAAGTTCGTGCTATCATGCAAGTGAATAGGTAATGCTAATCAGTGACTGGCAGCTAATTTTTGTCACTAAACAGACAATATGAATTTGCGACCGAATGCAAACGAATTCAGCTGGTCCAAATCTATGCAATAGTTATACAGAGAGCCAGTAGCATGACACTGTGGTATAAATTGATTTGTGTTATGAACGAATCTGTAAGAAGCTCATGAGTCAAAGTTTTTTGTTCATCGGTTTGGCACATCCGTAACTCTCCGATATTCAAACTAGCCTCACGCAATGTATTTAACTTAATAGTTTACCTAACAGTGCAGATAATGAATGAGCCAATCACAAACCCCTACTTGTAACTTCACAACATCTGCCACTGAACAAATAACCATAGCATAAATAAAGGATACGAAATATGCGAACAGCTATCTTGTCTCTATACCACGACTCCTGAGTAAACATTGGCAACCTACTGTTTTTTTTTCTTGGGTTAAATATAGTAGACCGGTGTTTTATGAAGAGTATATTGTTATGTGGAGAATATTTGTAGCTTAGGCGAATGGTCTTGGTTATATTGTGTTCTCTGAGCTGGGTTATTTAGTCGTGAAGCTTTCATAGTTCTTCTAGACGACATCACCAGCATTAACTTCATCATGAAGAAGAATGGCTACCCACGAAACTTTATCAGAAAATGCCTATCCCCTACATCATCAACTACAAAGTCATCGACAGAAATCAATAAACACATCGTCCCACCATACATAAAGAATATATAACAGAAATCACAACAAAACTACTGAAACCACTTGGTGGAATTGGTGTAACTCATAAACAAACACATTCTTTCCAAACACTATTATGCAGACCAAAGGATGAGACAACCAACGAAGACAAACTGAATATCATTTACAAAATCAACTGCAATAACTGTAGTCAACACTACATTGAATAAAGTGGTCACCCTCTTCGCCTTCGTCTACATGAACACCAATTGGCTACCAAACGTCACAACATCTCATCACTCATTTCAATACACGTGGATAACAACTATGGACATATATTCATGTTCGACAATGTAGAAATACTGGACAGAGGAAATAAAGAGCATATCAAACAATTCATACAAGCTCGGCATTCAGGTCAGTCAGTCAGTCAGTCAGTCAGCAATCAACAGATGTATAGACATAGACCCAATCTACCAAACAATAAGAAAGATGATAAACGACAGAAAGGTCAGAGGTCAAGCAGAGGGACAGCCAACAGGGAAATCTATACTGTCAATGACACAACAATCAAAGGAAACAAACAGTCACAGACCACTTCGTCAGGGCAAGCTACTGAAGCATCCACAGAGAGATATTGACAGCTCACTTCATACTGAAGCTAGTGCTGATGATGTCGTCTAGCAAGACGATGAAAGCTTCACGATTAAACAACCCAGCTCAGAGAAAATAATACAACCAAGATATTGTTGTTTTTGACAAATACCTTGAATACAATC